ATGTAAACATCAACTAGTGATTTCTTAGTTTATTTTTTTCTCTGAACGTATGTATTATTTTTACCTATTTTGTTTTGTTTAATCTTTCTTTAAATAAAATTTAAAAAAATAAATAAAGAAATAAAGTTAGAAATTAAAAAAAAAAAAGAAAGTTCAGACCTGGGGCTGGGGATCTAGCTCAGCAGATAAACACCTGCCTTGCAGGTGCACAGTCGTGAATTCGATCCCTGGTATAAAAAAAAAAAAAAGAAAGAAAGAAAGAAAGTAAGTTAGTTCAAGACCAGCCTGGGCTACAAAGTGAGGTCGAGGCCAGTCTGAACTATACAGCAAGACCCTGTCTCAAAAAGACCAAAAAAAAAGGAAGTTCTAGGTTCAATTCCCAGTACTGCTGAAAGGGAGAAGGGGTTAACAATTGTTTACAACTGCTTTGAGACAAAGATGAATCCAGGATCGGCCAGGGGTGGTGGTACACACCCGTAACTCCAGCATTTGGGAGGCTGAGGCGGGAGGACTGCCATGAGTTTGAAGCTAGACTGGGCAACATAGTGAGTTCAAGGTCTGCCTGAACTACATGCTGAGACCCTGTCTCAGAAAACTGGAGAAAGGGTTGGGGATTTGGCTCGGTGGTAGATTTTGCATGGATAGGGTTCTGGGTTCCATCTCCAGCACAAAACAAAAAACAAAAAAACTGAAGAAAAAAGTATCACTGTGTATTTGTTACCATTCTATTCTTCTTTTCCTTCTGACTCTAAAAGAAATGGAAACATTTCTGTGGGTCCCTAAAACATATCTGCAGGGACACTATTGAACTGTCTGAGTGGGTGAGGGGTACAGGCGGCAGGAAGGAGAAAGAGGTTCGGGTTTCAAAAGGTGCCACACACTGTGTTTCTAAGACCTGAGACCCCTCCACTGGCTGGTTCCTGTCCACAATCACAGGTGGCATGGGCGTCCTGCGCTTGCCTCTTGGAGTTTTTTAGAATACCCAGTCTTTATCTTGCTTGCATGCCTCCTCCTGCTTCTGCTTCATATTCCATCCTGTCTTAGCCAGTTTGCTGTTGCTGTATCAAACACCAGGGCTTGGACACTTTATAAAAAAAGCAGGCTTGGCTAGCTCACCATTCTGGAAGCCTAAGATTGCGAGGCCACATTTGTGAGCACCTGGAGACTGACCAAACTGAGCTAGAGACCCCTTACTTTACAGCCAAGCTCCTTCCCCAGGGTCCATTTACCATAACCCAGGAGTCCACTCATGTGGACAGAGCCATCCTGACTTGATAGCCCCTCATAGGTCTCACCTCTCGAACGCCATTAGCACCCGACTTTGAGATTCATGGTGGGGTGCAGCGGTGAAACCCTGTAACCCAGCACTCAGGAGGCTGAGGCAGGAGGACCATGAGTTCAAGTTTAGAGTGAGCTACATAGAGAAGCCCTGATATTGAGAAGCCTTGACTCAAAACAAAACAAAAAAATGAAATCACATTCAAACCACAGCATTCCCTATCACTTAGACTTCCTTGTTGATAATTCCAGAGCTGGTCTTTTTGTTTGTTTGGTTGGTTTTTGTTTTTGAGACAGGATCTCAAAACCCGGCTGGGTTCAAATTTGCAGTGATGCTTCTGCCTCAGCCTGCAGAGTGCTGGGATTACAGGTGTGTGCCACCACGCCTGGCTCAGAGCTGGTTTCAGAAGACCCAGGAGCTCCTCCCTCCTCTGTCCTTCATTTCTCTTGCCTCTCCCTCTTCTTTGGGGTTCCGGTAGTTGAACCCAGTATCTTCGCACTGAGTTACATCTCCAGCCCTTTTTAAAAACTGAGGTGCTAAGTTATCCAGGCTGGACTGGAACTTGTGATTCTCCTGCCTCAGCCTCCCAGAGGGAGATAACAGGTCTGTGCCTCCCTGTACCTAATTCTTTTACAACCATTCTTCTGTTCGGTCTCTCGAGCTCAAAGATGCTGGCTTTTCTCTGGCTCCCCAGTTCCCAGGATAGGGTCTGCCATACAACAGGTATTCAACAAATGCTTAATAAATTGCTGGGTGACTTTATGGGTAAAGGAGGGCACGAATGAATGGCAGAGGGGACAGGAAACAAGGGCAGCAGGCTGTGCAAAGTGGTCCCCTCTGTAGCTCACTCCAAGGAGGCTGGGCATTGCTGGAGCCAGGGCTGTGGTCTGGTTCCTGCACAGCCCGCTGACTCAGCCTCCCCAGAGACTCGTTTCTGAGAACCGGTCGCATGCTTGGCTCAGCCCTGGCTGGTTCAGTGTTGACAAAGTTCTTCCCCAGGAGTCCCCAGGTTCATAGTAACACAGACGGAAGGGCATTGTGTTGCTGGGGGCCGGCAGGATGGCAGGCGACACAGGCAGAGTTTGGAAAAGCCTCCCCACTGCCACTGAAGTGGACCCCGCTGCAGGATGCCTGTGTTCATAGACACAGGTTATTATAAGACTCAAAGCAGGGGACTACAAGGGGGCGCCCAGAGTCCAGGTGACATCCAGTGGGTGGGAACAGCTGCCATCTAGATCCCACAGTGACTACTGTCACTCTTCCCAGTGCTCAGTATGGGAGCCCCATCCTCCCCAGCGGCCCCTCTCCACCGCCTAGCAGACCCCTGAGGCTGGCTTTTGGCCCCAAGATGCTGAGGAGTGGGCAGCATGGGTTCCCTGCCTAGTGTCTCTGAGAGACAAGAGGCCTGGTGCCAGGACTTGTTCTCTAGGATGTGATTTGAGGCATGGTTCCCGGCTATCTGCAGCCTTTGGGCCTGGCTCCCTGGGTCTCTCCATGACTCTGAGAGCTAGCCAGCGACTGAACACTTTCTGGGGGAACATGGGTGACACGACTCAGGGACTGTGAGTGACACCACCAAGGACCCGAGGGGAGACGTGGTCTGTGTTTGTCCACTCTGGGCAGCCTCGCCCTGGGAGCCGCACTCCAGAAAGGCTGGTGACACATTGGACGGGAAGAGTGACCAGGTCAGTGTGGGCCTAGGCCTCATTCTGAGGTTGCAGTAGAGGAGTCCACAGGGTCTTGCTTGTTGGTGGCCTGGTCCATGGGAACAACCACTGATGTTGGATGTCTGGCAAATCCTCTAGAAGCCCTGGATGAAAGAATCTTTCAGGTGGGAATGAATGTATCTTCAGTAACATCTGTTCATATGGAATGCCTGGGACCCTCTCACCTCAGCCTCCCAAGCTCTAGGGGAACAGACATGCACCACCACACCGGGCTCAAGCATGGTTTTTTGTACCAGGAATCAAACTCAGGTCCTTGTTCTTGTCTGGCAGGTGCTTGTGCCACTGAGCTATATCCCTGGCCCCCTAAAGCATGTTTTATGTAAGGCTATACAGAGCTCTCTGAGATAAGAATGGAAACCGTTAGTGTAAACAGTAAGCAACTGTTTGTGTACCAAAGAAAAAACATGACTGCCGAGATTGTGTCTGGAAAGACGGACAAAGGACTGGATCCAGTAAACACCTCGGAGAAGGGGATGTGTGTATCTTCCAGAGAAGAGGCATCTACCTATGTCTATGTGTCCTTCTCCCTACACTTCTGTGGTACTGGAGATTGAACCAAGGGCCTCATGCATGCTAGGCAACTGTCCTACCACTGAGCAACATCCTCAGACACCTCCCTCTACCTTAAAAAAAGGTAGCTCAGCATAGCCTCACATTTGTGATCCTCCTGCCTCAGCCTCCCCATTAGCTGGAATCACAGGTGTGCACCACCATGCCAGGCTGAGCCTCATGTTTTTAAATTAATCATCAATATGTCTGGGTCTGGGTGTGTAGGGTGCAAATAACAGGAAAGGAAAACAGACTATGACGGAAACAGAATCCCATCTCCACCCCACCCCTTTTTCAGGTGTTACTGCTCTTGCAGGTCCCAGATGCACCGGAAGTGCCCAGGGCCAGGGAGGCAAGGAAGTGGCTATCCGGTACCCCAGTCTGCCGGACACCGGAGGCCTGGAGCTCCCCAGGCCACTTGCTATTGGGATTTAAAGCTGAGGCCTCCAGACCAGGCAGGCAACCCAGAAGGTAGAGAACCGCAGGCCCCCAGCTCCGATACTGAGTCTGGAGGAAGCTGCTGCCCCAGGAGAAACCCCCACGGTCCCAGTGTCCAAGGCCGAACTGGTCTTGCCTGGGCCAGCTGTGTGACCTCCGGACCCTAGGAGTTCATCTGCTGAGGCCCTCAACCAGGTTCCCACTGCGCAGGATGCAGAAAGTGAAAATGCAGAAAACGTGCAGAAAATGAAAAAGAGAAAACTCTCGCAACAGGTGTTTAAAAAAAATCCAGGTTTTTCAGACTCAGGGTTCCAGACCCTCTGGGCCTGAGCAGGCTCTCGCTGCCTCCTTCCGGATCTAACACAATCTCTAAAAATTGTTTGCTAATTTCACTCATCTCCTATTCGCTCCATTCAAGCCTACTAAGGGCTGCCCATGCAGATTGGGGTGACCTGAGCTGTCTTGGCGCCGCGTGTGCGTGCTTTTTTTCTTTCCGTTACTGGGCACCGAACCCAGAGCCTTCGAATTGAGCCACGTCCTCAGCCTCTTTTCTTGAGACAGGGTCATGCTAAGTCACAAAACTGCGCAGGCTGGGCTCGAATTTGGGAGCTTCTCGCCTCAGGCCACAGAGTGCCTGGATTACAGGTGTGCACCTACCCGCCTCCTTCTGCACGCCCCCTGCCCGTGTGTGCTGGAGCACCCCGTCAGGCCGACCCGAGGCCGCCCGGAACTGCGATCACGCGTGGCGCTCCCAGGCTCCGCGGGTTCCCCGGTCCCACCGCCCCGGCTGGCGCGCCTAGAGCCCTCAGGGGCAGGCGCCTCCGTGCAGCCCCCACCCCGCCTCGGCCAGGCAGCCAATGAGCGCTGCAGTAAGGCCAGCCCCGCCCCACGCGGGGAACCCCTGCCGCTGATTGGCGCTTCCCCACGCAGTGTCCCCCTCTCCCTCGCTTGGGGCGGAGGCGGGGCGGAGGAATGGAGTGGAAGCTGTTCCCCGCCCCCGCGCTCCTCTCCTGTCCGCGCTTCCCGCAGCCCGCAGCCCGCCGCCCTTCCCCGGGACCCCACTGTCCTGTCCCGGTCTCGCGGAGCCGCGATGGCCAAGCGCAGCTCGCTGTCTATCCGCATCGTGGAGGGGAAGAACCTGCCTGCCAAGGATATGTGAGTGCGCTGGGGGTGGGCGCTCCAACTTTCCTGGGAAGGACCCTGCCCCTCTTGACGCCTGACCTTTCCGTGGTTCCCATCGCCCGCCCACAAGGACAGCAGAGGCGAGAGGCAGGGAAAATGGGGACAGTAGGATTTGCTGCAGACTCTGGACAAGTAAGAGGGTTCCGGACCTGCAGGGGACTCAGCCCCTCGCACCTTGCGGGAGGAAGGGGCTTGGCTAGGGCTGGGCCTGGCGCGGGTGACTTCGCGGGGAGCAGGCCCTGGGTGTGGCTGGAAGGGGCGGGGTCCCGCTAGAATCAGCGTCCCCTAAAATCGGGGGTCCCCTCAATGGCTCCAAGCCGAGCTATCCGAAGTGTGCATCAGAAGCTTCTGGGCCCGGGGGGCCGTCCCGGGAATTACTGCGGTGCACCTGGCAGGGCGGAGGTGGCCGGGCGTGGGTGAGGTCGGAGGCCAGGACTAGGCACGTGCAGGGCGCAAGCGCGGGTGGTATAGTGGCTGTCCCCTCACTTTGACTCAGCCGTGCCTTCAATCCCACATCAGTCCAGCGCGCACATCTTACCACTCTTGTGCACGTGCGTGTGTGCATACTGGGCATTGAACCCAGGGCCTTTGCGTCGGGCTCTGTGCCCTGACCCCACCTTCCTTTTAGATTTGAGGCAAGCAAGGCCTCCCTAAATTGCAACATGGAGCCCAACTTGTGATGCTCCTGGCCTAGCCTCCCAGCGTACAGGGATCACAGGTGTGTGCCACTACATCTGTTTCGCCTTCCCATTTTACAGATGAGTAAATTGAGGCTCAGAGGCCTGCAGCACCCTCTTCGAGGGGGCAGAGCAAGGGCTTGAGTCGGGGGCTCCTAACAGGTGCTGACATCTTTAAGGCTTCCCTGGTCCCTGGCAGGGTTGGGGGAGCTTTTAGGGAGGGGTCCTTTGACCCTTCTCAAGAGGTCCCAGGATGATGTGCCCATCCCTTGGCTCTCCGTCGTAGCTGGGCGTCTCCCTTCCTGATGTGCAGCCTTAGGCAGCTCCTTGTTGGTGAAACCTCAGTTTCCCCTTCTGTTAAATGAGGGTAGTGCCTGTCTTCTCCCTGGGGAGGGTGGGAAGCAAACTGCTCTGGAGACACTTGTCGCCAGAGGGAGGCACAAGGTCCAAAGTCTGCCAGGCTGCAGCCTCCCTGGCCATGGTGCACCCAGCGGGTCTCCAGGAGGCAGAGAAGTGGCCTCCAGGAGGAGGGAGCCGGGAAGGGAAGCGGGCACCTCTCGCACGCACACACTGCTCACGCTCAGCGGCTCCCATGAGCTTCCCAGCAGCTCTGCGCCAGGAGTGGTTCCAGTTCAAGGCCCCCTGGGCCGGCTGAGGCCCAGCTCAGCGGTTGCCATGGCAATGGCGCAGGAGGGGCCAGGCGGTATCCAGGTGGGTTTCCAGAGACCTGAGGAGGGGGATGGAGCTGGGAAGGAGCTGGGGTGGGGGCAGAGGAGCTGTGGGGAAGGTCGAAGTCCTCAGGCCCGGGCTATAATCACCCTCCACCCCTCCCCACCCCACTCCATGCGGTGCTCTGTAACTAGGTCATTTTGGCCTCCTCTGGCTGGCGGTGGCTGGGAGGAGCAGCCCCTCCGTCTGTCACCTCCCTCCCGGCCCTGCAGCAGCTGGCCCTGGTGCCTGGCTCCAGGGCACCAAAGCTATTGGGCTGGGTCTACTTGGGATGCCAGGACCCAGCTTTCTGTCCCCTGTGCTGTCCAGGGACTCAGCAAGGGGCCTTCATACCCAGGGGAGGGCCAGCCGGTGTCCTTGGTCCTTCCTCACTTCCCTCTCCTTAGGCCTGCCCTTTGTCCCCTCTCCCCTGCCTTCCTTGTGATGAGGACTGCAGCTCTGGGACTGCAACTCTGTCCCCCATCCCTTAAGCCACTTCCTAAGCTTCATCCCCCACATTTTGCCAGCTCCCTTCACAGCTCAGCCTTTGTTGTAGTCTAGAAAACTCCTGTGCATCCTTCAGGACCCTTCTCTCAAGTCTCTGCTTTTCCTGGTACCCTTGGGCAGGCCCCTGGCCCTCATCCCTGCCCTGCAGCCTAGGTGGTGAGGCAGCAGAGCCCAGGGGGAGGGGGCCTAGGTGTAGCACTGACCCTTTAGGGACTGGGATTCACCCATTAGGGACCCTTTAAGGACCTGGCTGAGTAGGGAAGGACCGGAGTCCTCACTCCTGTTCACGTTTTGGGCTTGAATTAGGTCTCCTGTTTGCAGATGGGTCCCTCTGCTGCCTGCAAACTTGCCTTGGTGCACGGGTTTGGGGAAGTGTTACTGAGGCCCGGGTGGAGCCCGCCTGCATGCTGAGCTGCACCTGCTCCAGTCTCCTGAGCCTCCAGAGCAGAATGGGGCGGGGCTGGAAGCTCAGGGCTTCTCCTAGTGGTCGGTCTTGACTGTGTTCTGAGCCACAAGCCCTCCGTACCCAGTTATCACCTGCCACGTCCATGCCACCGTTTCCCTTCCTCTTTAAGACTCAGAGCACAGCCGTGCCATCAGCAGCAGCAGCCTCTGATGTCCGCTGGACCGGGCCCCTGTCTCCCATCCCTGTACGTGGCTCAGCTGGGCAGGAGCAGAGTCCATGGTGACCAGTGACCCACTGGATCCCACGCCCAGGGCTATTTCAGGGTTTGCCCTCTCCTTCCTCCTGGACACTGCCAAAGCCCTAAATATAGAGGCCAGATGGGGCCAGTGTCGACTGGCTATTTATTTATTTCTTCCAATACCGAGATTGAACCCAGGACCTCCTAACTGAGCTATAGCATCACCAACCCTTTGCACTTTTTGTGTTTTGAGACAAACACTTGTTCAATTGCTGAACTGCCCAGGTAGGGCTGGAACTTTCCACCCTGCTGAGTGGTGGGATTGCAGGTGTGTGCCCCTGTCCTGTGGCACTTACTCAGCTCTCTCTTGACACTGACACTACACTCCCACTCCTGCTGTCCTACACGCCTGGGTTCTGTTCACTCACAGGGCAGGAGCTTAGCCCTGGGTGGCTGGGAGGAACTGGGATTCCCTGTCCCAGAGCCATAGGCCGGGAGGCCTCCAGGGCAGGAGCCCAGAGAGAAGTCCTGTCACTTCAGCTGGCCCTAACCCCTGCCTGCTTCCCCTGAACTCAGCCCCAGCTTGTGGGGCACACAGAGGCCTGAACCCTCCCAGCTTTGGCTTTGGCCTAGGGGGCCCATGCTGGGTGTTCCCAGAAGGCTCCCTGGAGGAGGTGTCCTTGGGGTCATGGCTGTGTAGTTAGGGGGATGTTACAGGCAATGCTCGAATTCCCTAAGCGCCCCTCCCATGACATGTGAGAGACCCAGGGCAGCTGGACTCACAGTTCCCACTTTACAGAAGCCCAACAAGCAGGTGTGGTAGCACACCCTGTAATCCCAGCACTCAGGAGGCTGAGGCAGGAGGAGCACTGAGTTCAAGGAACTACAAAGTGAGTTCAAGACCTGCCTGAACTACATAGTGAAACCCTGTTTCAACAAACAAACAAACAAACAACCCAAAAAACAAAACAGCTTTGGGAGACAGTTCCTGTCCTGGTCAGGAGGCTTTTTGGCAGTGGCACCCTTTGGTGGCTCTTCCATTCCTGGAAGAGCCCTCTAAGGGAAGTAGAGCTGGAATTCCCCAGCTTGTGCATGTAAATGCACTTCCTCTTTATGGAGGGACACTTCCAGAGGCACCCCCCACGCCCAGCCCTGGCTGGAGCCCCTCAGTCCTCCAATCTCACCGCTGGAGACAGTGCAGCAGACGGGCTTTCTTCATCAGGGCTGGACAGTAGATCTCTGGATTCCTTCACTTACTCCTCCATTCCCTGGTTCACTCACTCAGCCAGTAAACACTTAGGGGACCCCTGTCTTGTGTCAAGCCCTGTTGTAGGCCCGAGGGACCCAGAAATGGTCTCCACCCTCCAGTAGGTGGGGGAGGCCACTGCTGACAGACAGCCTCACACTTCAGTCCTGGTCCTAGGATGGGGAGAAGTGGTGGGGAGGGGGAGGGGGAGCCCCACCTCCAGCCTCAAGGGATGGAGTGTTTTCTTGTTTGTTTTGTATTTAACCGCACTAGGTATTGAGTTCACAGCCTTCATGCTGAGCTGTCTTTGTCATCCGTTTTTAATTGTACTTTTGGGTCAGGGTTTTGCTACACTGATGACTCATCTAGGCTGGGCTGGAATTTGTGACCCTCCTGGCTCAGCCTCCCAGGATGAGGATTTGAAACCTGTGTCACCCCTCCCAGTACAGGGGAATTTTTTTTTAATTGGAAAAAGGTAAAACAGAATTTCTTAGCAAAATAGTAGAGTAACAATAGTTCATAAATGCATATTTTCATCTTCAAAGAAGCTACTCAGAGTACAAGATATGGGCATAAAAAATTCTCCAATCAATATTAGCCAAATCTTCATTTTCAATGAACTAAGAGACACATTATATCTACCTTGCATTTTTTCCCCTTTTTCTTCCTTTGTTTCCCCTTTCCTCCCCTCCTAGCTCCTTTTTCCTTTTTTTTGGTCTTTTTTGAGACAGGATCTCGCTATGCAGTTTGGGGAGGCCGTGAGCTCACTGTGTAGCCCAGGCTGGTCTCGAACTTGCAATGATCCTCCTGCCTCAGCCTCCTGAGTGCTGGAATTACAGGCATGAGCCACCACACCCGGCTTGCTCCTTTTTCCTTTTAAGCAGTTACTTCCCATTTCTCAAAATCTGTTGTACATTCTAGACCTTTGTCTTTCAGTTTCTTAACCAGGGAGAAAACACAGTGTTTACACATGGGAATGATTTATTTTACTTACGAATATGGTCTCAAGTTGCATCCATTTGGTGCATCCGTTTACCTACAAAGGTCTCAAGTTTATCCCTCTTTACTGCTAAGTAGTATTCCATTGTATAAAAATACCACATTGTGTTGGCTGTTTTTCTCTTGTTGCTGAGATACAATACCTGACACCCAAAATTAAGGAAGGAAAGGCTTATTTAGCTCAGTCTGTGAAGGTTTCAGCCCATAATTAGCTGACTCCAAGGCAGGCTGGCGTGGCAGAGGAGCAACAGTTCATGGCGGAAGAGGACAAAAGCAGGAAAAGCCAGAAAGGGAGGAGCGTGGGAGCAGCCCCTTTCCCTGCCTGCCCCAGGGCGGGTGCAGCACTCACACCCATGATCCTAGCATTGGAGCATGAGCCAGCAGGGGGACATCCAGACACAAACCATAGCACACATTTTTATATCTGTTCCTTGGTTGCTGGGCATTTGGGTTTTGCTGCCATAAACATGGGTGCACATACTTTGTTGTGGTATGATGTTCTCAATTCTTCTGAGAAAATACCCAGAAGGGGAATGGCTGGGTCAAATGGAGTTTTTTGAGGAATCTCCACACTGATTTCCACAGTGGTTACACCCATCTGCACACCCGCCAATAGTGGAAAAGACCCCCACCCCCAGCCCTGACCTCATTTGTTGTTGGTTGGTGTCTTGATCATAGTCGTTCTTTCTGGAGATGGAACCTCCAGAAAGAGGTTTCATTTGCATCTCTCGAATGACCATTGATGTGGAACATTTTTTCATATATTTATTTGCCGTTTCTGTTACTTCATCTGAGAACTGTGTGTTCATCTCAGATGCCCATTTTTGGACTGGGTCTTTGAATTTGGGGAGGGGGCTGAGTTTTTTCAATGTTTTGCATATTCTAGATATAAGTCTTTTGTCTGAGGTATGATTGGCTAAATTTTTTCCCACTCTGGGGGGTGTCTTTTTACACTGTTGGTGATTCCTTTTGATGTGCAAAAGGTTTTTCATGAGATCCCAGCTGTTGATTCTTTTAAATATTTCTCAGGGGAATGTTCTTAAAGCAATATGCAGGGACAGTAGAGGCAAAGGCTTGGAGGAGAGCAGAAGAGTTCAGACCCTGGGATCAGGATAGGGGTAACCCAGAAATGCCGGGCTGCTGCTGGGGCTCAGTCTGATGGTGCGGTGGGGGGGGGGGTGAGGGTGGGCAGGAAAGAAGAGCAGCGTGCAGTGGCAGTGCCCATACCTGCACCCTTGCCGTGGGTGGGGAGCCCCTCTCTTCCCCTCGCACTCCCAGCCCCACTAGGGGGTCCTGGGCCCCCTCCCCCCACCCCCACAGCCCCGCTCCTTGCCTGTCTTGCAGCACCGGAAGCAGTGACCCCTACTGCATTGTGAAGGTGGACAGTGAGCCCATCATCAGGTAGGAGCCCAGCTGGGGCTGAGGCCTCTCATGTTCACCCAGCCACCTGCTGTTCCCAGAGGAGCTGGCCAGTGACTCAGGGCCCTGTGTACCCCGATGCACCAGCTAGGAGGTGACAGCCCGATCTTGGGTGGAGGTACAGCTGGGTGGCAGAGTCACCCAGTGTGTGCAAGGGCCTGGACTCCGTCCCCTGTCTGGGGAATGAGAGACCGGCCTGTAACATTTGCTAATTGCTGACCCTAACACCAGTCTGGCAATCAACTGCTGCCCGCCGGGCACCTAGCCAAAGGCCTCTCACCTGTCTCCGTTCATCTCTGCAACCTTTACACCCCCGAGAGACAGATGACAGTGATTAGTCACCGCAGCTATCATTTACGGGGCGCTGGCCTCTGCGCTGGTGCTAACCTTTGCTAGCGCATTTCATTCATCACGGGGAGCTGAACACGTTGCCATTAAACTCTGCTGACAGGAAACTGAGGCTCAGACTGAGAAAGTCGTCCAAGGTCACACACTCAAATAGTAGCAGAATCGGAGCTCAAGTCCCTTCTGGCCTGTGTTGTCCTCACTTGGGCTCCTCTTCCTGGGAGAGTCCCACAGTGATTAACCCCTCGGCTGTGGAACCCTTCTCCCCTGGGGCACACAGCAAGTGGGGAGCAGGCATGGTGGCTCTGATCATCTCAATACAAACAGGACAACTGAGGCGCAAAGCCCACACGACCTGCTTAAGAAGTAACAGGGGTGGAAGTGACCCCATAAGCCTTCATCCTGGGCCCTTGATTGCTTCAGCTCTGTCACCCACTTTTCCTGCTGAGTCCCAGGTGTTAAAAGTCTGATCTTGGGGGTTTGGTCAGAGCTGGGGGGCCATGCATGTAGTCTTAGCTCCTCTACTGCCCTGTGCTGTGACCTGAGGCCAGCGCCACAGAGAAGTGGCCTCAGTTTCCCCAAGAATAACACAGCCTGTGCCCCATCTATCCAGGAACTGATGACTAACAGTGGGATCTAGGGTGACCAAAGGCACCCCACAGCCAGTTGTTGCTGGGGGTGTCTGGGGGAAGTGCTGAGGGTCCCCTCCTGCAGGACGGCCACTGTGTGGAAGACGCTGTGTCCCTTCTGGGGTGAGGAGTACCAGGTGCACTTGCCGCCCACCTTCCATGCCGTGGCCTTTTACGTCATGGATGAGGATGCGCTCAGGTGGGTGTGTGGCTGTCCCTGCTCCCCAGCCTGCTCCCAGAGAGACTGTTGGTCACTGAGAGGCTTGGAGTGTGGCAGCAAGTGTGTATGTGTGTGTGTGTGTGTATTTGTGGTACATGTGTCACAGCATGTGTGTGCATTCAAATAGGCACAGGTGTGTGTGGAAGTGTGAGCTGTGAACTGGGCACCGAGGACGTGAGCTTGACCTGTGTGTGGGCACAAGTGCAGGTCCAAATACAGGGCCATCTTTTGGCCATGAGTGTCCTAGTCCAGGACCTACACTAGCCTCATGGGGAGCTGCTCTGCAGCCCAAGAGGGGGCCTGGAGCTTGCGGGAGGGGCTGCAGGGATCCCCTCTGACTCTGTCTCTGCCCCTAGTCGGGATGATGTAATCGGCAAGGTCTGCCTCACAAGGGACACACTGGCCTCACTTCCCAAGGGTAAGATCCTTGCGGGGAACCCACAACCTCCTGCCCTGTCCAGCCTCCTCCCGCTCCCCAGCCCTCCCTCCTCATCTCCAAGCCCAGGAAGAGCCATCTCTGAGCTCCAGGTGGAGCACCTCCTTGGGGAGAAGAGGGCCTGCTAACGGGGATCCAAGGTTCCCACAGATGGAGGAAGGGGCCTTGTGTATGCTCCTGAAGTGGAGGGAGCCCCCCATGACAGCCTGCCTGGGGCCCTGGACGGAGAGCTGGCAGTGCTGGTCAGGCTGGCGAGCCCTGTGGATTCTTCCTGGAGCGTACATCCTGCCTTGCTGTGTTTCCCCAGTAAAAGCAGCCCCTCACTCACAAGTGCTCAGAAAGGTTCCTGAGGTGGTGCAGGCTGAGGGTAGAGGGTACGCAGGGGACCAGCCAGGCCCCCTGAGCCACAGCCACACAGGTTTCACCGGCTGGGCCCACCTGACGGAGGTTGACCCAGATGAAGAGGTGCAAGGGGAGATCCATCTGCGACTGGAGGTGCTGCCAGGACCCCCAGCCTGCCGGCTGCACTGCACTGTCCTGGAGGCCAGGTGAGCTGGAAACCGGACAGCCCCCCACCTCTGCATCCCAGGGCCTTGTCCCAGCAAGAGAAGGTCTGCGTGATGAGTGTGATCACGCACCCCTGTCACCCTAGCTCTCTGGAGGCTGAGGCAGAAGGTTCAAGTCCAACCTGAACAACTTAGTGAGACCCTGTACAAAGATAAACTATGAAAAAGGGTGGGGGAGGGGAGCAGGGTTCTAGCTCAGCAGCCTAAGTGCCTACCTGGAAAGTGCAAGGTCCTGAGTTCAATGCCCGGTACAAAACAGGTAAGTGGCCTGGGAACATAGCTTGTTTTGAAGGCCCTAGATTTACCCTGGTATCACATGCATACGGGCACACACACACACAAGAAGAGCTTGTCCTGATTCAGGCATGTATGAGGACTTCTGCTCAGGGATGGTGTGGCCTTTGGGGAGGGGTTGAGGTTCTGATGGTGGAGCTCCAGGTGCTGCAGAGAGTGGGGAAGAGGGTGCAGGAGACCCTGAACTGTGTGATTACAGCTCCATTGTCTTCTTTTGGGCGTGCGTGTGCGCACGTGTGTGTGTGTGTGTGTGTGTGTGTGTGTGTATTCACAGATCCTCAGTGCTGCAGGGTGAAACTCTCTGGCCTGGGCTTGGGATTCTCCCTAGGAGGGACAGTGGCTTCCACGGCTCTGTGAGCCTGAGTCACCTGTGACAGGGCCAACCCGGGTCCCAGGATATTTTTAACTGCAAGCCCCGATCCTGTCTGGGTCTGGGTGTGAGTCATGCGTTCCCTATGAGAGGCGCCTTCCCTTCTGGCTCCAGGGCCTCTCCCTGCACCCTTTCCCCAGCCAGCACCGCTAGGAATTGGTGCCTTCACCCTGGTCTGGTCACCCGTCTGGGAAGGAGGAAGATGTCTCTCCTGCAAACACAGGGCGTGGGTGCGGTGATGGATGCTTTGGGCATCCTGTGCCCCCCCCCCCCTCCAGGGCTGGTGGGAACCTCTGGGCTCTGGCAGAGCTGCAGTCTGCCTGTGCCTTCCCGGCCAGCTCCGCCCTTGCTTCCCGCTGCTCAGCCTTGCCTGGGAGCAGATTGTCTGGGGCATGAGCGTGCACATGTGCCCACGTACTGCTGGGCCTGGGCCACCAGCTGCTTTCCCCTGGGTGCTCCTGTTCCCCGCCCCAGCGCTTCCCACCCACCAAAGGTCTCTCACCGCCCTCACCTCTCAGAACTGTGGCCTGGGCCTGGTCTCCTCCTAGCACTGGGCTTTTTTTTTTTTAAATCCATACAGGGGATCAAACTCACAGCCACACACTTGCAAGGCAGGGGCTTATGCCACTGAGCTAAATCCCCAGCCCCCAGGCCTCTCTTTATAGCGTGGAGAAGGGGGACTCCGCCCTGATCCCTGCTGGAGCCTTGAGACAGCTAAGGAACTTCATTTGCTGCAGAGGAAGAGGAGCTACTTTGTCCTGACCATTCCTGGCCTAGCTGCTGCAGGCCAAGCCTTGGAGTTCTGATAGCTGTCGGTTTTGTTTCTGTGTGTGTGGATGTGGGATGCAGTGCCAGGGATGGACCTCGGCATCCTGTGAGTTAGGAGAGCAGCTGTACCACTGAACTGCAGCCTGAGCCCTGAGACAGTTTAAGGGGGGCAAAGAAAAGGCCAGTTTGGCGGTGCATACCAATAATCCCAGCACTCATGGAGGCTGAAGCAGGAGGATCACACTTCCCAGCCCAGCCTGAACAGCTTAGTGATTCAGTATAGCCATGTCTCAAAAAAGGGCAGGGACATAGCTCAGTGTGCAAGGCTCTGGGGTTGATTCCCAGTCTGGGGTGAGGAAGAATAGCAGGTGAGCAGCTTAAAATTTGAAATATGGAAAAGGAAGTGGATTGTGTTGTTTTTCTCCAGGGGCCCTGAAGCCAGGGCTGCCAGGAGCAGACTTGGGCTTGGTAAATATTCAGCAGCACAGAGAAGGAGGAAGGTTGACAGGGCTGTGTGTCGCCTGCCCCATGCAGGGGACGTTTCTGGGGCAGCCTTCTGCAAGCCTGCTACCTCACTAGACGTCAGTGGGGGGAGGGATCATATCCAGTGCACTGCTAAGGAAACTGCCAGGGGTCTCAGGTGACAAGTAACCTACTGTCCCCATCTCACCACCAGGGACTTAGCTCCGAAGGACCGGAATGGTGCGTCGGATCCCTTTGTCCGAGTTCGCTACAACGGCAGGGCACAGGAGACCTCGGTGAGAGGCTGGTGGGCTGGGGAGCCCACGAGGCCCTGTCCCTGCCACTCACTTCCTTGCCACCTCCTCCTCCTCTCCTGCAAGGTCAGGGCTTCGGGTGGGTCTTACAGAGGAGCCTGCTGGCTCTGGCCTTCTTTCCTGACCACCTGGAGGTGGGGGGCAGGAAGAGGTGCAGGCAGCTGGAGTCCAGCGACTTCCCGCTCTCTATTCTGTCAGCTCTGTGAACAATCAGGGTGGTAGACACAGTTGTGGGGAGGGATGAGATTTAGGTTCTCAGTGGAGTTGCTGTTTTATTGTGTGGCCTTGGACAGGTTTGTTCCCCACTCTGGGCCTCTTATTTCCCATCTGAAGCTGGGTCAGGTATTGCACAGCTGTAATCCCAGCACACGGGAGGCTGAGGCGGGAGGATCACGATGAGCTCAAGGCCAGTGTGGGTTACAGAGTGAGTTTGAGGCCAGTTTGAACTATGAGACCCTGTTACAAAAAATAAAGATTGTGTGTCTGTGAAAGGGATAAACTCTTGGAAAAGTGAGAGAAGGTCTTTCAGGGGCTCTGCCCTAACCTGGCCCAGGGAGCCTGGTGAAGTGATCCCTACTCCCACCAATCCCTCTCTGGGCAGGTGGTAAAGAAGTCCTGCTACCCACGCTGGAATGAAACCTTTGAATTTGAGCTGGAGGAGGGGGCCACAGACCTGCTATGTGTGGAGGCCTGGGACTGGGACCTGGTCAGCCGTAATGACTTCTTGGGCAAAGTAAGCAACATACCACCCCGACCCGGGCTGTACCTGCCCTAGCTGGTGTCCTGAGGAAGGCTGGCACTCCCCGGAGCAGCAGCTGTCCCCTACTGCCGCCTGTGCTCAGGGGCCATTGGAAGGTGCCCTTCCACCTTAAGCGGTCAGCCCACGCAAGGATGAGACCTGAGCACCCCACCCCACCCCACCCGCCTCACCTTCAGGTGGTGGTCAATGTCCAGAGAGTGCGTGCAGCCCAGCAGGAGGAGGGCTGGTTCCGGCTGCAGCCCGACCAGTCCAAGAGCCAGCGGGCTGAGTGAGTGTGTGGCTTGGCCTTGTGGCTGGGGGTGGACCGGGTGAGAGCTGGCTGCTGGCAGGGTAGGGGCAGGGGGTCAGGCACAGGGCCCCATGTTTCCTGCACCCCTCACCTTTCCCAAAGTCCACTCTGTCAGCCTTGTCCTCTGAACTTCGGGACCATGTTGATTTTCTTCCTGCCTTCAGGCTGTTCTAGAACAAGCCCCAGGCACTTTCCATCCAGGGGTCCCCTGTGGACCTCAGAACTGGCATTTTCAACCCCAGGGTCAGTGTCTCTGAGCACAGGTCTGACGCACCTTTCCCCAAATTCCTCTGAACAGGGTTGCAGGCTGAAGGATGGGGAACCCAGTTAAAACTGAATTTTAAGCCAAGTGTGGTGCTATGGGCCTGTAAGCCCATCTACTGTGGAGGTTGAGGCAGGAGGCTCATAAGTTTAAGTTCAGCCTATACAACTTACTAAGACTCTGTTTCAGAATTTTAAAAAGGAACTGGAGGTGTAGCTTAGTGACAGCTTTTGCCAAGTGTATGTGAGGCCATGTTCAATCCCCAGGGCTATGAAATAAAACAAAAACCCCCTTAGTTTCAGACAAATACTGTCCCAGTGTAAAAATGATCCTGCAATATTTGATACACACTAAAAACATTGGCCTGCTTGTATGTCCCCATGTCCCTTAAATGATTTGGTTTTGGCTCCCTGCAGAAGACCCCAGCCCTGGTCGTACCCTTTAGGACAGGGGTGGGTGGCATGGAGTGTGTCTGGAAGATGGTGGCTGGGAAGAGGCAGGGCCGCCTGGATGGCTTGTGCAGTGCACGGGGTGTGCACTGGGCCTCGCCTCTGCCAAGCTCCAGGACTGTGTGGAGAGCAGAAGGGGAGGTGGGGATCGGTAGCCCTGGGCATCCCCTCCCAGAGAGGTCAGAGAGGAAGCCCGTGGGTTGGAGCCACTCTGTGGGGAAGGTTGCTTAGCCTCCCTAGCTTCAGTCTCCCTGGCAGGTTTTTCTTCCCTTCCTTTCTTTTGTTCTCTTCCCTCCTTTCTTTTCTTTCCTTTCAGTACCCAGTCTCTCCCCCTCTATTTTTTTAAATTTTTATTTTGAGACAGGGTCTCACTGAGTTGCTAGTTGCCCAGGCAAGGCTTGAACTTGAGATCCTCCTGTCTCAGCCTCCTTGGTGCTGGGGTTACAGGTGCATGTCACCATGCCCTGGAAACTGCATCCAGGTGAAAGGGTAAGCAGGAAGATGTTATCTGGGAGCTTAGTTTTTGCAATCTGAGGATGGACCCCAGGGCTGCATCCATCCTAGGCAAACTACCACTGAGCTATACCCACCATTGCCCCATCCGGGTGTTTACAGATCCAAGGTCAGGGAGCCTGGCAGGCCAACTAGAGTCAAACTTGGAGTGCACAGGAGTTTGGAGGCAGCAGGGAGCCAGGCGTTGAAAATAAATGGGGTTTCTGTGAACCCTTAGGCAGGAAGGGCCTTCCAGATAGAGTAGCAGAGCAGAGCAGCTGGAGAACAGGAGCAGAGATGCTCAGACCTTGGCTGGAGGAGCAAAAACGCAGGACAGTGAGAGGGGGCTCGGCCCAGGGTGGCCTAGGTCCTTGGTGGAGAGGTCACAGGCTGCCCATTCCAGGGGCAACCTGGGCTCCTTGCAGCTGGAGGTTCGGCTTCGAGACGAGACGGTGCTGTCCTCTGGCTGCTACCAACCCCTGGTGCAGCTGCTGTGCCAGGAGGTGAAGCTGGGCACGCAGGTGAGGGGGCAGTGGGGGCAGGTGGGAGGGTCCAAGACCAGTGGGCTTGCCCTCCTTGACCTTCTGAACCCATCCTGCAGAATAGCACAGAGTTCTGGGCTTGGTAAGGTGCCGGTGGGACACAGGGCCCGCCCCTTCCTGTGGCGTTCTTTTTTGACTGGGGGCCACTTGTCTCCCTGCTGCGTCCTGCAGGGCCCAGGGCAGCTGATCCCAGTCATCGAGGAGACCACCAGCACCGAATGCCGCCAGGAGGTGGCCACCAACCTGCTCAAGCTCTTCCTGGGGCAGGGGCTGGCCAAGGAATTTCTGGATCTGCTCTTTCAGCTGGAGCTGGGTCGCACCAGTGAGGCGGGGAGCTGTCCCAGGCGGGGATGGGGGGGAACCTCCTTAATGGGCTCATGGTTCCCCTACAAGTGAGCGAGGTGGGCAAAAACAAGGGGCAAGGGGCTGGGGGTTTAGCTCAGCGGCATAAGCGCCTGCCTTGCAAGCAGGCAGTCGTGAGTTCGATCCCCGGTACCGATAAAAATGAGAAAGACAAAAAAAAAAAAAAAAAAAAACAAGGGGCAGAGGGGACAGGATGGGGTACTGAGACGCCTTTTACTTTTTTGAATTTTATGTTTTTGTGGTATTGGGCATTGAACTCAGCGCTGTGTGCACGCTAGGCTAGGCAAGCACTTTACTACTGAGTTACATCCCAAGTCCACAAGCACCCTTTACCAGCAGGGCCCCGCCCCCTCCACTGTCCTCCATCCCCCAGAGCCTTACCCAGCCCACTACTGACTGAGCTCTGCCTCTCTGCTTGCAGGTGAGGCCAACACGTTGTTCCGGAGCAACTCTCTGGCCTCAAAGTCCATGGAGTCTTTTCTGAAGGTCAGGTGCATGGTAGATGCCATCCCTCCCTGAGGGCCCTTCTGTGGCAGTGTCCAGGGCCTTTATTCAGTACGGAGAAACAGTTTGTGGAGGTCCCTAGTTGTATACTTGGCTCTGTTCCGGGTGGACACTGCAGGCAGATGGTGCGTGGGGTGGCCCGGGAGGCCGGGGAGGCCAGCTGCTAGGAGGTGATGCACCGGGAGGTTGGAGACTGACCATTGCGGCTCACGTTGGCCCCCAGGTGGCGGGGATGCGGTATCTGCATGGCGTCCTGGGCCCCATTATTGACAGGGTGTTCGAGGAGAAGAAGTACGTGGAGCTGGACCCCAGCAAAGTGGAAGTTAAGGACGTAGGGTGAGGCCGCGTGGTGGGCATTCAGGTCAACTGCAAGCGTGTGCTTATGGCTTTCTGTCTGGGTTTCCCTGTTGTTGCTTTGCCCACCTGTGCGCTATCTGTGTCTGTGTTTCGGCCGATACCTTTCAGTGTCTGCATCCCGGGATTCCTCATCCGCCGGACATGGGTTTGGGCGCTGACCGCGCTCTTAATGTCCCTCCACCCCGGCTCGCGCAGGTGTTCTGGGCTGCATCGTCAGCAAAGTGAGGCCGAGGTGCTAGAGCAGAGTGCGCAGACGCTGAGGGCTCACTTGGGGGCGCTCCTGAGCGCTCTCTGCCGCTCGGTTCGCGCATGCCCAGCTGTTGTCCGCGCCACCTTTCGCCAGCTGTTTAAGCGCGTGCGCGAGCGCTTCCCTGACACCCAGCACGAGGTTCGCTCCCTGCCAGGGAGGTCGGGAGGAGGGGAGGGCAAGGGGTCCCCAATACGAGTAGGGGCCGGGGTCATTCAGAAGGGGGTGGAAAGGGGTCTGGCAGGAGCCCACGCTTGGAGGATTCCAGCCCGATTCCGCTCCCCGCCAGAATGTGCCGTTCATCGCTGTCACCAGCTTCCTGTGCCTGCGCTTCTTCTCTCCCGCCATCATGTCGCCCAAGCTCTTCCACCTGCGCGAGCGCCACGCAGACGCCCGCACCAGCCGCACTCTGCTCCTGCTGGCCAAGGTGCGGGCCTGCAGACCTGGGTTGGACGGCTGTTTATTGGGGCTTAGGCTGGACTGCTGTGACCCCCAACTGGCTCCGGGAAGGCCTTGCCTGGAACTGCGCTTTACAGTTTACAAGGCTTTCTCATGGTTGCCTCCACTGAACCTGTCTCAGAGATAAGGGAACAGGCTCCCGAGGAGACGCAGGTAACCCTAGGCCTGTCTGGTGAATTGGAGCCCTCCAGCTGGGTGTCTGGTCGCTTCAGGCTGCACCTCTCTGCCCAGCACCTGAATAGGGTCTCCATTGCAGCGTTCTGGTGTTAAATCTGTAGAGGAGCTGGGTGGTGTGCACAGCTGTAATCCCAGACCTCTGGTAGGTTGAGGCAGGAGAATCACAAGCCTGGGCAATTTACTGAGACACTGTCACAAAAATTAAAAATTAAAGGGCTGGAGATGTAGCTCAGTGCAAAGATCCTAAGCTCAATTCTCAGTACCACAAAACAAACCAATAACTTCTAGAGGAAGGCTGATAGATTGTGCCCAAATGGCCTCAGTGATCAGGTCCCATTACTCAGTGCTATGATCCATTCATTCCTGATCCCCCGTGGAACTAGGACTGTGCCCATGGCAGGGGCTCTGCCGCCTCTGCTTCATCTCTACAGCTGTACACCAAAAAGCCTGGTCCTTCTGGCTGTCACCCGCAGGCAGTCCAGAATGTGGGCAACATGGACACTCCGGTTTCCAGGGCCAAAGAGGCCTGGATGGAGCCGCTGCAGCCCACAGTGCGCCAGGGTGTGGCACAGCTGAAGGACTTTATCACCAAGCTTGTGGACATCGGGGAAAAGGAGGGTGAGCACAAGCCTGTGCAGCCCCATCCCATTGCCAGTGTTCGCTGGGTTTGTTTTCGCCCCCAGCCTATGTCTCCACCACAGTCTCCGGTTCCCTCCGACTTGGCCCATGGCTCTGTCCTTTGCTGCCGGTATCACTCATGGCTCCGCCTACCGCTGCCCAACCATTCCAGTCACATTTGCTCCGCCCCTGGGCTCCGCCCTCCACGGTTTTAAGGCGTCTGTGTATATGCATGGCTCCACCCCTGGGTCCTGACCTCGCCCTCCTGGCTGCTCTCATTCTGCCCTCCCTCTGGGCCCGCAGAGCTAGACCTGCAGCGGTCTCTGAGCTTGCAGGCTCCCCTGGTGAAGGAGGGGCCGCTCTTCATCCACAGGACCAAGGGCAAAGGCCCCCTTGCGTCCTCCTCCTTCAAGAAGCTTCACTTCTCCCTCACCACTGAAGCCCTCAGCTTTGCCAAGACGCCAGGCGCCAAGGTGGGTAGGGAGGGAGGCCGGCTGGTGGGGTGTCCGGCTGTGCCTGGGATGTGTGTACGTAGGGAAGATGTCTCACCTGTAAATGTGAGAAGGCCTCCACTTTCCACTGTGACGAGATGGGTCTCAGCCGAGACCTGGCATATAGTCCCAGCTAGACCGATTGATTGCTGGAGCTGCTGTGTCTCTTGGGTTGCTCTCCATTGAGCTCTCTCCCCACAAGAAGGGCTGAGACTCCAGGCATTCAGGCCCTGGGGTGCTGTGCAGGGTGTTCAGCCCTTTTGAGCAGGTGAGTGTGGCATGGGGGTGGTGGTGAAGGAGCTTGTCCTCGAGGAGCCAGCCTAGGGGTCCTCTTAGACAAGGCACGAAGCTTCTTCCCACAGGAGACCCCTAGGCTGCTTTTACATGTCCAGTGCTCCAGGGTGAAAGATTTTTCCACACAGGCATAATTTAATTCTGGTCCCAATTTCCCTCATTAGTCTGTGACAGCCAGTAGGCTTGACCAGCACACTTGGGGCCCTGTTCCCCTAGGTGGGCCCTTGCTGTCACCAGAGGATGTCTACTCCCCTGATGTTACTCCTACTCACGTGACAGTTTCCGGTTCTCCCTACAATGCCATTGCCTGCTGGCTGGGATCCCCAGGACTGCTTAGTGGCTCAGAAGTTTTGGAGTTTTGTGGTGTGCATGGGGCAGGAGTGAACAAGGACCCAGACAGTGGCTGGGCTGGAGAGGACAGCCAGAGTGAGGAGGAAACCTGGGGCAACCAGGGAATGCTTCCTGGAAGAGGCAGGAGTGTAGAAGCACCAAATCATAACGTTAGAAGGGATTGCAAAGATCATCTTGTCTGGGTCACAGGTTGCCTCACCAAGATTTTCCCAGAAGTCTGTACACCTCTAATGACAGGGCACTCACTACCACAAATACAGCTTATCTGTCTGTAGCTCTGTTAGAAAATCCCTTATGCTTAGCATGATAGTGCCTGGCTGTAATCCCAACACTTGGGAGGCTGAAGCAGGAGGATTGTGAGTTTGAGGCCAACCTGAACTACAAACCAAGACCCTGTCTTTAAAAAAAAAAAAAAACGGCAAGGTAAGGGACTTGGGTTGCAACTCAGTGGGAGAACTCTTACCTAGTGTGTTGGAGGCCCTAGGTTCAACCACCAGGGCTACAAAAAAATGGAATGGGTACAAGAGGGACATTGATTGGACTTTGGCAAGTTGGGGGCCCCTCAGGAAGGTGGTGTTTAGATCCACAGCACCTCTCTGTTTCAGTCATGTTTCATTCCATTAAACAATGCCTGTAGGAAGTCCTGGGAATACAGAGGCCAGCTGGAAAATTAATCAGTGCACAGGGAGAGGTCAGGTCCTGGCAGGAGGGCTTGAGTCCATGGGGAGAAAAACCATTGTCCTTTGCTGTTCCAAAGCTCAGGCCTCCTGGGCCTGCTCTAACCCTCCCGGGGCCTGGGTGCTTGGTCACCATCTGTCAGGACTGTGTGCTGGTTGAGGTCACTCACGGAGCACTGTGGGTTCCCAGCCAAGCCTGGTACTGCCATGGAGGGGAAGGCCCAGAGGCAGGAAGTGAAGCTGCCCTGAGCCACCCTTTCTCTGCTTCCCCCAGAAAAGCATCCTCATCAAGCTGGCCAACATCCGTGCAGCTGAAAAGGTGGAGGAGAAGAGCTTCGGCAGCTCACATGTCATGCAGGTCATCTACACGGATGACGTGGGCCTGCTGCAGACAGCCTACCTGCAGTGCAAGGTGGGGCAGGGTGAGGCACCTGGGAAGGACTGGCCTCCCATCTCTGTGTTCTTTGTGTGTGTGTGGGGGGGAGTCTTTGGCCTAGTGCATAAGTGTGCATGTCCCTCTGATACAGAGCTCGCATGTTGCACATTTGTGGAAACTGTATTTCTGAATACCTGAGCCAATATCTGTTTCTGTGTGAGCACCAACATATAATAATCACACATGTATGTTCATGTGGGGCTCTGAGGCATGTTTCCAGATACCCTGCTCATCTGTTCATTACCATTCTTACTCATTCAAGAGTACCCACTGAGGATTCAGGCAGGGTCTTGCAAGCCTGTAATCCCAGCATTCTGGGAAGCAGAAGCAGGAGGATCATAGGTTTGAACTCACCTGGGCAACTTGGTGGTTTAAAAAGAGCCTGTCTCAAAATAAAAACAAATGAGAAAGGGCTGGGGGTGTAGCTTCAGTAAGAGGCCCTGGGTTCCATCCTTAGTACTGAAAAAAAAAGTGAGGTACTGAACTATAGGGATATAGTTCAGTAGCAGAGAATATGTCTAACATGTTATATCCCATCACCCAAACAAACATGCACACAAACACAGACTGTTCCTTGTTGAATGACTGTTCAGACTTCCAACTGAGGCAGGCTGTTTGGATTTATGATCTTTTTTCCCCTATACACATCTTTATAGATGATGGCCTTTTTTGGACCATGTTTCTTTTTTTTTTTTTTTATCGGTACCAGGGATCAGACTCACGACCGCCTGCTTGCAAGGCAGGTGCTTATACCACTGAGCTAAATCCCCAGCCCCTGTGTTTCTATAGTACTGTGTTTTTGCTGACTGCTCTATACAATACACTACTGTAGTTTATGTTGTTATAGGTTACAGTACTGCATGTAAAAGATGGGCACATAAAAGCAAAGTTGTCGAGTCAGTTTCCTTTGACCATTTCCTCGTTCTGAATATCATAATGTATACACTATAGACAGTTCCTCACTTAGGTCTGCATTTATCAGTCCTTGTTCAGTGATCTCATTGTAAGAAAAGAACTCAGTTTTTAAACAGGGAACATATGTGCATACAGAGTCCATCAAGAAAAGAAAAACTTGTATGAATATTTTAAAACTAAATTTATTGGACATCATGGGACGAATATATGTTACATTTGGTCTTTACAAATTAGAAGAAGAGTTCAGAGTGGTGGCTGTTAGCTCCCAGACATTTATTAGTATGGTGAACTGCTGAAGTAGCTACGTATTTTTTGGTGGATTCTGCACACATACCAAGAGTACCTTAATTTACAAACACTTGTTTGCAAACAGTCTGGCTTGCAAACAGAAGTGTCTGGCAAAATTTTGGCTTTGTTTGCAAACTGCGTTGGGTGATGGACATGGCTGCAGCTGTCTTTCCTGCACAAACACAAACATGGCCCTCTTTTCCTGAATCATAGAACTAACTAAGATCATGAACTGAGGCACCATTGTATATGGATACACATATGTAATATAAAGAAGCTACTAGGTTCTGGGCACAATTCTAGGTGAGGGATGCAGTGACTGAATCCCAGCCCTCATGAAGCTAAAGTCTGTGGGGAAAAGAATATTGAGTGAATGTTTTGGATAATGAATATTTTCGTGTTCTGTTTTTTGATTTTTTTTTTTTTTTTTTTAGTTTTTTGAGCTAGGATCTCATTATGTAGTTTAGGCTGACCTTGAACTCACCATGTGGCCCAGGCTGGCCTTGAACTTGGGGCAATCCTCCTGCCTCAGCCCCCTGAGAACTTTAGAAGAGACCAAAGGCGACTTGACGGGGTTGAGGAGGGAGGACCAGCACTTCAGGGTATGCAGGGAGCCTCTGACAGGTGGCATTAGACAGTGACATGGAGAGGGATGAGGCAGGTATGTGTATGGGACAGGGATAGGGACAAGCAGGCAGGAAGGCTGAGGTTGAGGGGCTTGGCTTCTCCCCAGGGTGAGTCCCAGGCTTGGGGAGAGGAGGTCACTAGCTTCCCTTTCAAGATAGAGCCCAGAGCCACAGACAACAGGTGACAGCAAGACTACCACATGCAGCAGGCAGGTGCTGGGGTGTCAGGGTGCTCTGCCCACCAGGCTGTGCCCATGGATTCAGAGCCACAGAGGGGCAGGGTGAGCTGCAGGCTGGCAGGGTGGCTTCCAGAGGTGGTGACTGTGCTGTCCCCACAGTGTGTGAACGAGTTGAACCAGTGGCTGTCTGCACTGCGGAAAGTGATCATCAACAATGCTGGCCTGCTGGCTTCCTACCACCCTGGTGTCTTTCGTGGGGACAAATGGAGCTGCTGCCACCAGAAGGACAGAACAGGTGGGAGTTCTGTGTCTATATGAACAGGCCAGGTGGTGGAGCCTTTGGGCGGTGCTTGGGAGCCACCTGGAACCCAACCCGAGGAGAGCCTGCCCTCCAGGCGCTCTGGGCACACAGGGCTCCAAGCCAGGCAGAAATGATGCAGGCAGTGCGCATGAGTGAATTTGCCGAGGCGCTGAGGAGGCCCGAAGACCCATTGTACCTTCTCACCAGCACTTCCCAGACACATCTGCCAGGGCTCCTGGGGAACCCTGATGTTTTTTTTTTTTTTTCAAGCACAGACAGAATTGTTTTTTATTCATTTGCACTTAAGCCCAACAGTCACACCTGATTCCTTGGGATGTATCCATGGTGTATGTAAGATAACTTTCTACAAATGTTAGTCAACACAGCATCATGGTAAACCCAGAGCCCAGGGGGATGGGCTGCAGGGAATCAGGGCAGCACGCTGTAACTTAACCCTTCACCTGAACAACTGACTTCTAAAACTATAGGGGTTGATTTCTTTCTGGATGTGGTGGCACACAAGAAGAACCCTAGCACTTTGGGAGGCTGAGGCAGGAGAATCCCCAATTCAAGTCCATCTCTGAGAAATCAAGGGCCTCAGCAAGACCTTGTTTCAGTTGGGTGGGGCAGGGTGAGAATGTATCTCAACGTGAAGGCCTTGGGTTCAATCCCAGTTCCACACAAAAAAAGTGGGATTTATCAGGTCTTCTTGTGGGGGAACCCTGATCTTGCAGTGTAGCTTCTTGTGTGACTGGTGTTCTGAGGAGGCCAGGCTAGTGGGGCCGTAGGCACTGGAGGTTGGCAGGAAGGGACTCCTGGAACTCTTAGTGGCAGTGGAAGTGGTGGATGTTCACGCGGTCTGGTACTCACTTGCATGCCTGGCTCTTGAGCATGGCAGTGTGGCTCATGTATCCAAGGGTTTGGGATCTAAATTTTCTAAATTTTAATTGAATTTTAATTAAATGACCTCTAGAATCTAGAGGCTACTCTATTGGACAATGCAGTTTTGGAACTTTTGAGAACTATCCCACCTCTGGGAGGCAGAGGCAGGAGGATTGCAAGCTCAAGGCTAAACTGAACACCTTAGTGATTTAGTGGACCCTGACTCAAAATAAAAAATGGAGCTGGGCATGGTGGCTTACGCTTGTAATCCCAGCACTCGGGAGGCTGAAGCAGGAGGATCATTGCAAGTTTGAGACCAGCCTGGGCTACAAAGTGAGCTCAAAGCCAGCCTGAACTTCATAGAGAGACCCTGTCTCAAAATTAAATTAAATTAAATTAAAAATAAAAAATGGAGTGGGCTGGGGATTTAGCTCAGCGGCATAAGCACCTGTCTTGCAAGCAGGCGGTTATGAGTTCGATCCCTGGTACTGATAAAAAAGAAAAAGACAAAAAAAAAAAAAAAAAATGGAGAAAAGCCTGGGATGTAGCTCAGTGAAAAGACCCTGGGTTCACTTCCTAATACTGAAAAAAAGCTCCCCCACACTTTCCCCCTACCTGCTTTATAGGGTGGTCTGAGCTTGGAGCCGAGGCCAGACCTTGGTCCCCAGGGCCCAGTGTGAAAGACGCCACAAGGCCTGACCCACCCTTACCAGCCCTGCTTGGCAGAGGTGGGGACCGTGCCTCTCCACAAGGATATTGCTGGCTGCTTGATCCGACCTGCAGCCTAGCTGTGACATCATAGCAACACTCTTGTTCCTAGTAAAGTGGAGCTCACTGTGGCCCAAAAAGCAGGACCCAAGGTCCCATTTTCTATGGAAGAAACTGAATAACTCAATCAATATCACAGAGCCAGCATAGCAGGGTCATCTCATTTCAAGGTGCACATTCCTGGTGGCCCAACTTTCTGTGACCTGATTTTAGTTTGTTTGGGTTTTTAAAAAATTTTTTTGAGACAAGTCCACATGAGGCAGGCTTTGAATTCACTATGTAGCCCAGGCTGGCCTCAGACTGGCGATGCCCCTCCTGCCTCAGCCTCCCAGAGTGCTGGGATTACAGGTGTGCACCACCATACCCAGCTGTTTTTGTTTTCACAGTATGGAGATGGAGCACAGGGCCTCCTGCATGCTAGCCAAGTGCTGTACACTGAGCTGCACCCCAGCTCTCTCCTCAGCCTCATGCTTTACCATGGATGCCCACCATCATGCCCCTACAACATCCATGCTAAGTAGTCAGGGGTCCCAAGGCTTAGGAGCAAAGTCAAGCTGATCTGCTGTAGCCAGAAGGGTGGGGAGGGAGCCAAGGCAGAGCCTGGGGGAAACCTGAGTCTATCCCTGTCCCCCCCAGGCCTCAGTTTTCCCATCTGTACCACCAGACAGTTGGGTATGGTGGTCCCATTGTAATTCTACCCTCTCTCTGCCATCAGATCAGGGCTGCGATAAGACCCGGTCACGTGTGACCCTGCAGGAGTGGAATGACCCTCTCGACCATGACCTTGAGGCCCAGCTCATTTACCGGCATCTGCAGAGTGTGGAAGCCACGCTGCGGTGAGGAGGCCACACCAGGTCCCTCGTGGGACACCAGGCAACCAGGCTGGGCCAGGCTGGGATTCAAGCCGGGACTGCTGGGTGGTGGCTGTCACTTCCCTTTGGTGAGGCCCAGCACCTCGCCATCCTCAGAGCCACTTCTGGAGAGGGTCTTCCGGCAGAGGGAGCCCAAAAGTCAGGCTGGCTACTTGCTGTTTGCCCTCCAAGTGGCCCTGTCCCCAAGGTGGCTTCAGAAGGGGCTATGGCAGCACTGCTTTCTCCCCACCCATCGCCCTGGGTGGAGGTGGCTGAGGTCCTCCTTGCTCCTCACTGATTCTCCTGGGCCTCTCTTTTCCCGAAAAGCCCTTCTAAGCTTGTGTGGTCCAAGTAGAGGCATTTGCTGCCCCCTGGGCTGCACTTGAAGCTGCCTGCTATCCTAGAGTGGGGTCCTGCCCCAGTCAAGGCTGACACACTCACTGCAGCCCAACCCTGGATTGGTGGCTGACTGGTAGGTGCGGATGGGTGGCTCCTTACCAAGGCGTTGCTGGCTGAGCCGTCTGGAGGCTGCTGGGGTTTGCCCCAGGGTCTTCTCACTGAGCTGTACTCTTAGCTCTTGTTATTTATTTTAAAACAGAATCTTGCTAAGTCTCTAGGTGGCCCAGGTTGAATCCAGCCTTTCTCCTCAGCCTCCCAGAGTGCTGGGGAGGACAGGTGTCACCACCATGCCTGCCCCCATTATTCTTGATGCTCATGGGCTTCATCACTCCCCGAAGCAATGCCACATCCCCTCGGTGTATTCTGTCATTTTGTTCCTGGGCTGTCCACCTCACTGTGAGCTTGAAGGCAGGGCCCTCTGAGCCCCAAGTGAGTCTGTGGGTCCAGCACATTCCAGGCCTTTGGAGAGCAGAGGAGATGGCATTAGAGCTGGGCTGTGAGGTCTGACGGGGTCTCACAGTGGAAGCAGAGACCAGCCAGGGTGCCAGCCAGGGGCACTTTGTCAAAATATGAAGATGTTGTCCCTGCAGAGCAGGGAAGGGGACCAGGCTGACCTGGCAGGGCCTGGAAGAGGAGTCTGCAAGGCCTTAGCAGAGGGACACATTTGCCCTAAAACAGCAGGCTGTGGTAAGAGGGCGGAGCCCCCAGACTGCTGGGATAAGTGTTGCACACCTGAGATCCACACCCTGCTTACGCTCCTGGAAACACAGAGCGACACCTGGCAGGGTCCAGGATCTTTGCAAACTCTGTTAGAAACTGTGTAAGCCCGGGATATTGCTGAGTGGCACAGCGCCTGCCTGTGGCAAATGTGAGGTCATGAGTTTGATTCCTGATACTAAAAAAAGAAAGAAGCGCTTACACTGGGTGTAGTGGTACATCCCTGTAATCCCACCAGTCTGGGAGGATGAGGCAAGAAAACTTCAAGTTTGACTCCAGCTTGGGAAGTTTAGCAACTTACCAATACTCTGTCAAAAAAATAAAAAGGTGGGCTTGTAGCTCAGGGCAAAGGCCCTGGGTTTAATTCCTAGTACCAAAACCAAACAAAACCTGTCTTCTACCCCATAGAAGGAAATTTAGACTAGGAGACATGATGGGGCATGGCTGTATCCTAGCACTCAGGAGGCTGAGGCAGGAGGAAGGATCACTGCATGTTATAGTTTGAGGCCAGCCTGGCCTACATAGCAAGTTTCTGTCTCAAAAAACAAAAAATATAAGAAGGTACTTTAGGGCTGGGAGGTGTGGCTGTGTGTTAGATGATAACTTAGCATGTGTGGGGCCCTGGGGTTTATCTCTAGCACTCAAAAAATCCATAGACAGTTCATTCCTTGGAGAGTTGAGACTGCTGACTTTGAGGCTCTGCTGGCCCTGCAATCTCCCAGAACCATGGTTTGAGCTTGGGCTGCTGACTGACCACACTTATGGGGACAGAGTTGGTGGCTGGAAGAGAGGAAGTATAGGTGACTCAGGGCTGAGCCGTGGGTACCATTTCTTCTTTATAGACTATGAGAGTTGGCATGGGCCCTGAAAGCCACTTGGGCCCAGGAGACCCGCACGGGATCACCCCACCTCCCAGCAAGCCTGGCTGTGGCCATGACCATCATCCTGTCCTTCCCACAGGGAGAAGCACCGGGAGCTGAGTGGGGGCACAGAGGTGGGTACAGTGCCCACGAACCCTGGTGAAGGTAGGTCCCTCCCGGCTAGGACTCCCTTGGGGGTGGCATGGATGGGGCCTGTGGGACCCTTACCAGCTGCCCTCATGGCCTCTGCCTCCAGCCCCCAAGGACCCCCTGGCGGCACTGCTTGGGGTGCTGCAGGACCTCCGGTTGTTGCACAGCTCAAGTCTACCCAGCTCTCCCTCTTCAGAGCCCCACTGTGCCCTGGATCTGCAGACGTGAGCAGGCACCAAGCCTAACTTGCCAGTCACCTGAGCTACAGGGTGGGCCTGGGCGTCTCCTGGGTAGGGCTGTCATGGCCACCTGAAGTCTGGGGATTTAGGGGCTTCCTGCTCCTCTGGAAGGCCTGACTGCTCCCTGCACTGCTGCAGCCCTCACTGTTCCTGACCCACTGTCTTCAGGAAATGTGCCCTCCTGCCTAGGCAGGCCCAGCCCACAGCACCCCTAGGACAGTCCTAGCCCAGGAGAGTGGGCTTGCACCTGTGTCCCCTCAATCCTTCCCACCACTACCTGGTTCCCAGGGTGCGGTGTCACGGTGCTCCATTACCCACAATAAACCTGCTAAACTACCAAGGCTTAGTTCTTGAATGGGGGCCCAGAGGGACCTGGAGGCTGCCGGGGCTGCAGCCATGGACTGGGGCCACTAGCAGAGCCTCTGAATCCTTTTCCCCTACTTTTGTTTCTGCTTTCCTGGAGCAAGGCCCCTTTCTCCTCCTGGCTGCTGTCACTACCTTCCTGCACCATTGGTGCAGGCTGTAGGGCCCACAGGTCTTCGTAGAACCACCTCTCTCCTTGGAGCAGCTGTCGCAGGAGCCCCCCTGCCCCCATCTAGGGTGTCCCTGAAGATGGCACAGCAGGGCTGCGGTAGAACATCCCAGCAGAGTTGGCAGTGCTGAGTGCTGAGCTATGTCCCAATGACGAGGCTCAAGGTGCCCTGTGGGGCCGTCTCCTCTGTCATTCTTGGACCCCTGGTCCCACAGCCCATCCTAGGCTGCCCTGGCCCATGGGATGTGTCTGATGCCTTCTGTTCTAGAAGCTCCAGGCTGATTCTACAAAGCTTGTACTGGGTCCAGTCCCTTCAGCAGGAGGCTGGAACCCTTGGGGCTGTGTCCTGGGAGCTGGTTTGCTTGTCCTTAATGTGCCTGGCAATGAGGACCAGTGGCCAAGGGCACAGCTGAGTTTGGCCTGGGTGGCTGAGCAGCAGGTGATAGGGACAGGGGCTCCTGTCACCTCTGTATCCTGCCCCTTGTGGCTCTCTGGCTGCTGGGCCACAGGATGTTGGTACTGGGGACAGCTGGGGCCAGGGTGGATGAAGGCCTTTGCACTTTTAGGGGAGGCCTCCAAACTATTCAGCCTTCTGTCCCAGGGTCCCTTAGCCAAAGCCAGGCTCCTAACAGCAGCAGCTGACAGGCAAGAGCCCCTGCAGTGGGCACTGTTCTAATGTCTTCCCCACTTCATTGCTTTCTCACCTGTCAGCCTATTAACAGCATTTTTAAAAAAAGCTATTAGGCAAGATCAGTAATTTGCCCGAGGTCAGGAAAGTAAGGGACATGGAGAGTAATTGGCCTTTCAGCTGAGTTCAACCAGGATATTTAAAACAACAGTCAAGCCAGGCATTACACCTAAAATCCCAGCACTGAGGAGCCTGAGGCAAAAGAATCACAAGCACAAGTCTTGCACAACTCAGTGAGATCCTGTCTCAATAAAAAATAACTGCGCCTGGGGTTCAATCGCTAGTACCAAAAAAAAAAAAAAAAAATGTTGAAGAAAGCTGACTCGTAGAGCACTTTGAGAATCAGGGAATTTGTAAGCGTTTTGAGACAAATGCTAGATAAGACTGTGCTGTTTGACACAAAAGTGGTTAATACAGTTTAATGTCAGTATCTGGCCTCAGCTGAACAGCAAAGCTAGACACAGGCACAGTTCCCAAGATTAGGATCAGCAAATTGCAAAGGGCCAGGCAGGCAGGTCTCAGTTACAGCTATTCTATCACAACACAAAGGCAGCTGCAGACAGTGCAGAAAGAAATGCAGGTGAACTCTGTAAGAACAGGTAGGAGGGAGGATCTGGTCCTGTGCAGGCCCTGAATATGCCCATTTCTGCCCCAGGCAGGTCTGTCCAGCAGTGTCTCTGGTGTGACACTGACAGCACAGGCTGCACACACACCCTTTGGCTTATTTCCAAGGTGACACAATTTTTCTAAATGTTCTATGCCCCTGTGCCTGTCTCTCCAAGCCCTGGCCTCCTGGAAACCAGATCTCACTGATCTGGGAATTAAAAGGCAGGTGTTATCAGAACTCTCCAAGACAGATCAAACTTCCACAGTGCCAGGGACGGAGAGGCCCCTGGTGGAGTAAATTATACCCTTACCCACTGAGGGGTGGTCAGGGTTGTCACCTCACATTTCTTCCAAGACGACCCGCAAGGGTGGGGTGACATTTTGGTGTCCTCACCTTCGTTGCTTTCTATTTCTCTTCTCACACAGAGCCCCTCTGTCACTTGGCTGGAGGGTCAGGGTCCTGGGTCCTGTGTGAGGTTTCTGAGGGCCACTTCCTTGACCGGATTTCCGTGGGGCTACCCAGCGTGGAGCAACAGTCACCAAGATGTTGGAGCTCTGTAGCTCATCTGAGACCTTTATACTAAACCGGAGCCTATAAAATGACAGTTGGACAGGGCGGGGAGTAGATTTAGTCTCCAAGCACCTCTCTCACATCTATGTGCTTGTGTCCTCCCTTAGTCTTCACCCAGTTCTCTAGCTAGCGCGAGGCTGGTAACACCCAGCCAGAGGTTTTCAAGAAGATGGTGCAGGTATCCATACCCACATGCTCCTGGCCAGGAGAGTGCTTCAGCCGTCTGGACCTGCTGTGAGCCACAGCTGCCCACTTATTCCGTGGCTCCATTCTCTAATGAGTTGACACTCCGAGGCATATTTTCTTTTCTTTTCTTTTCTTTCTTTTTTTTTTTTTTTTTTTTTTTTTGTCTTTTTCATTTTTATTGGTACAGGGGAATCAACTCACGACCGCCTGCTTGCAAGGCAAATGCTTATGCTGCTGAGCTAAATCCCCAGCCCCTTAGAGGCATATTTTCAAAGAGAGATAAGGGTAAGGGAAGCCGAGAGGTACACAACTCTGAATTCCACTTAGCTTGATCTGCCGTCTCTGCAGAAGCAACGCAGCCCTTTACAGCACTTGGAGCAAGCACCAGAGGCACCCACGGGGCGGGGCGGGGTGGGGGGGGTGTGCTTCTGGGATGACGCATGCGCAGAGCCCGCGGAGCCCTCGGACCTCCGGCGCCTGCGTAAAGTCCTCCAGGCCAACAGGAGGCGATGAGGCGGTGCTTAAAACTGGCGGCGCTGGTTTAAGCCGGAGGAAGTCGCGTTTAGCGCTGTGACGTCGGCGGCCGCTTGGAGTGCGGACGGGGCTGTAGCTCCAGGATGAACGCCCCTCCTGCCTTCGAGTCGTTCTTGCTCTTCGAGGGCGAGAAGAAGTAAGTGGGACCGGCCACGGCGCCAGAGGCGCCCGAGGCTCTCGGGTCTTCTTGGCCGTCGGCGGTTTCTGGGGTTTTTCCTGTCCTGGGGACGAAGCCGTTTGTTTTAGCTACTGGGCATTCACTGCGCCCTACGTTCCCAGCTGTTTAATATTTTTGTTCCATTTTGCCACAGGGTGTCACTAAATAAGTTGCCCAGGCTGGGTTCGAACTTTCAGTCTTCCTGCCTCAGCCTTCCCGTGTGCTGGGATTACAGGCATGTGCAGCCGGTTGTGCTGGACATGTATCTGCCAGATGTACGGCAGCCTAGGAAGGCATTGGCCACTATACCCGTTTTCCAGATGAGGAAACTGAGGCTCAGGCAGGTTAACTTTCGCTAAGCTCCCAGAAAGTGGCAGAGCCTATTTTGGAATCCAGAATTTGGGTCCAAAGTTCGTTTCCTCTGGAACCCGGTAGCCTCCTCGCTTGTCTCCCAAGTACTCTGTCCTTGAAGCAGCAACCACTTAAGGCTCTGGAGCAGATGTCCATTTCATTGCCGGTGTAGAACTTGTACTCACTGTGTTGCCTGCAAGTTGAAGCCCAACCGTCAGACCTCTTGGGATTGGCTCTTGGGGGCCCTGTTTATGGGCTGACTCTTGTTTGGTTGAGATTTAGTTTCCTTATTTGGAAAACGGACTTATTACTGGTTGGTTTTGCTGTTGTCTGTTTTTTTCTGCCTCAGTCTGTGGTGTGTTGAGATTACAAGAATGTGCCACCATTGCCAGCTCTTTGTTTACTATATTTACTAATAGATTTTTCTCCTAGAGGAGGTAGTTTGAATCTAGGACAAAGCACATTGGAAACCTCTGAAATACTGGATTCTCAGTCTTAAGCTGTTCTGCCCCTTGCCAGGGCTGCTCCTGAGGAGTTGTTTGGCAATGCCTGGAAACATCTGTGGTTGTCAAATGTGGCAGCTTTGTTATTGGCATCCAGTGGGTAGGGACCAGAGCTGCTGTTAAAAGTCCTACATTGAACCGGGCACGGCTCAAATGGGAGGTTTAAAGCCACATTTGAGCAGTGCAATCCAGGACTCAGAGAGACTGAGGCAGGAAGCCTACCAGTTCAAGCCTTGTCTGGGCAGTTCTGCGACTTGGCAAAACTTAAAAAGGCTGGGAAAGTTTCGGGGTGGGGGATCCTATGTTGTGCAAGCAGGCTCCCTACAGGGAAGAAACATCTGGCTAAAATGACTGTGCTGCGGAGGTTGAGAGGTTCTGCTTTAGGCCTTGTTCGGCTCTGAGCCACACCGCAGCCCTCAGAGATAGACAGATGGAGCAAGGCTTCTGGCAGGAGGCAGCCTTTAGATCTGGGGGAACAGCAGGGCAGTGTGTCCTGAACCGTTTGTTGCCTCTGCCGCGTCCTAGGATCACCATTAACAAGGACACCAAGGTACCTAATGCCTGTTTGTTCACCATCAACAAGGAAGACCACACCCTAGGGAACATCATTAAATCGTAAGTTCCAAGCCTATGAGGTTCTCTTCTCTTTCTCTGTAAGAATTTTTTTTTTTTTTAGTCGGTACTGGGGATCGAACTCATGACCACCTGCTTGCAAGGCAGGTGCTTACGCCGCTGAGCTAAATCCCCAGTCCCTCTTCTCTTTCTCTGAATGAGAAGCAATGCTTCTTAATGCCCACTCCAGTATTCTGCAGTTCCAGAGCCTTTTTTCCAAGAATGCCGGTTCCCCGGTTCTCCTCACATAGGGCTCAGCGCTTCGTTGGCTCACATGGGTGACTAACACGAGTGAACGTGCAGCGAGTTGCAGGAAAGGCCTGCTTGAGTGTTAGTGTTCGTGGGCATCACGGGTGGTCAGACTTAGCTCCCCTGCGCTTCATTGTGACAGTGATCTCAGTGACAGCTGGCACTCTTGAGGTGCTTGTAGCAGTCACTGACCTCTGCAGAGCAAGGGAAGGCAGGCGCAGGCCATTCTGAGGGTGTCCAGTGCCCTGCCGCGGGTACTCCATGTGGGCTGCTGGGTGCTCGGTGAACTCCCTGCTTAGGTGGGGTCAGGGACAGGTGTGTGCTGCCGGCCCTGGGCCTTGCCATTTCCTTAGGGAGACTGGTGCAGAGCATGTGGAGGGAGAGGAGAGGCAGGCAGGCCTTACCGGGTGGCTGTATTGAAGGCCATGTTGGCAGCAGGGCCTAGGGTCCAGGCACGGGGATGCCCGTGTTTTGGATGTCTCCTGCCCTAAGCCAAGCCTGTGGGGTACCCAGCTTCTCCAGGGCCTGCTGTGAGCCCAGTGTGCCCTTCTGTGCAGACACCCGCTCTCTTTTCCTGGTGGGACTAGGATTGAATCCAGGGCCTTTGCACTGCACTGCATCCCCTACCGCCCCTTTGAGACCAGGTTTCACCAAGTTCCCCAAGTTGGGCGTGAATTTGTGGTCCTCCTGCCTCAGCCTCGCAGAGTACTGGGATTATAGGCCTATTCACTACTCCTGGCCAGAGGTCTCCCTTGTGTGCTTCCCCTGAGCCCCAAGCTGCCCTGGGCTCCCCACCATGGCCAGGGCACAGACTAGGGGACAGGCTTCAGCTTCTCCCCCTTCCTGCCGCTCCGTGGAGCAGGGCCTGCCCAGTATATGGACAGCACTGCCAGCGCAAGACCCTGGCACCCCATTTCCATCTCAGGGGCTGCTTGGAGCTACCGCCATTCAGGTTTGCTGTGCCGATGCCTTACAGCCTGGAGGATGGGCTGTGTTCTCTGCTGAACTCTGCTAGATGGGTGTGGGGATGAAGACGGATCTGCAGTGGCCTCAGGGTCGCCAGAAGCCATTTCCTAGCCACAGTCCTCATGCCTCATAGATGTAGGGTGTGTTGGGGAGGGGGTCCCCAAATGTTATGACTTGGGTGTCTTTTACTTGAGACGTTTAGGGAAGGTCCTGACCAATGAGCCAGGTGAGTCAGCAGCTGGGGGCAGAGCCCAAGGCTCCCCTCATGCCACCTGTCCCTGCCTCACAGGCAGCTGCTGAAGGACCCACAGGTGCTGTTTGCTGGCTACAAAGTCCCCCACCCCTTGGAACACAAGATCATCATACGAGTGCAGACCACCCCGGACTACAGTCCCCAGGAGGCCTTCACCAATGCCATCACCGACCTCATCAGCGAGCTCTCCCTGCTGGAGGAGAGGTTCCGGGTGAGGCATGGGGCCCAGTGTGGGCCAGGTGGGCAGGACGCTGGCCACAGGGTAGAGCTGATTAGAGTGGGAAGGAGCCGCAGCTTGGAGACTTCCACCTAGTGTCTGTGACTTGTGCCCCCCAGCAGGCACCCTGCCCTGGCTGACTCAGGCAGTGCAGGAGGCGCTGGAGGAAAGGTGCGGTCAGGGTCAGCCAAGGGTCCCTCCTGCTGCTGGCTCAGGTCAGGTCTTTCTTGGGGTGCTGGGTTATGCCACCCATTTCCTGGTGGGCCCTGGGCGGGGGATACTAGAGCTGTTTATAGGACCTTCGTCCTGACCATTCTGGCTAACTCTTGCCCTTCTTCCTGCCCCCAGGTGGCCATCAAAGACAAACAAGAAGGGATTGAGTAGGCAGCCGGAGGTTTCATGTGGCCTGGGAGCCCAGTCCCTGCCCCCCCACTACTTTGCTCCTGGCACCGTGCAGAGGATAACAGCCAGGCCCAGCTGCAACCTCTGGGGCTCCTGTGTTCACCCAGCCCTAACACTTAGGTGTCTGGCATAGCTTCATCCTTCTAAGCAAGCGTGGCCAGAAGTAGCGGTGACTTCACGGCACGTGTACTGTCGGGTTCCATGAGTCAGACACACCGATTCTGGAATCTGGGTGCTGCCAGCGAGGCGGTCTGGAGTAGAAGGGATCCAGTGCCTGTCCACGCTGTGTTCTGGAAGTAGCAGCCAGGCCCACCTGTCTACAGCTGGAGCTAGGATGGGCCCACAGGACAGCACACAGCTTTCCACAGGCTGCTTGGCCATAGCAGGAAGTTTAATAAAAATACTCGCTGATAAAAAACTCCATCATAAGCCGTACACTAAATAAGTTAAAGTGTCCCTGGTTGTGTGCCGCAGAGGCAGGCATCCTGCCCTGCTAGCATCGCCTCCAGATGGCCACAATGTTGGAGTCTGTCAGAGCCGTGAGGTATGTGAAGGCAGCGTTGGCCACCACCATGTTCACCATGGTCCTGATCACTGGCTGGCCGCCGGCCCCTGGCTGGGGCCACTTAAGGATCTGCGGGGGAGGGGAGAAAGGGCTGGGCTCCTGTCTCAGACACCAGCCCCAGCTGGGGGAAAGCGCCTGAGTGGGGACACTACCTGTGTGGGGGCCTGCGGGGCTGCTGGTGGTGGAGACAGCTGCTTCAGGAGATGCCCAACATCGTAGATCCACACGCTGCCCTCCTCATCCCCGCAGAGCACAATGCCTTGGTCTGCGGTGCACAGCAGAGAGCTTAGGGTGGGATAGTGGCGGAGCCTGGGAGGTACTAACCGGGCAGGCACACTCACCAGGGCAGGTGCTGAGGGAGAAGTAGGCCAGCTCCGTGTGTGACCACTGCAGCTGAGCCAGGACCACCACGGTCACCGAGGACTTGCTGCCCCGGTGCAGCCACGTCTGGCTCCAGCTCCACAGGCAGATGGTGCCCAGGCCGCTCCCCTTGGAGGCTGTGGGGGGAAGAGACTCACGCCTGTGCTGGGCCCTCACTGCTCTTCCTGTTGCAACCCTTGTGGGTCTCAAGCCAGGCTGTCCCAGGCGGGACACACTCACCCACGACATCCTCGTTCACAAATGCCAGCCCATCCACTCTCCGCGTTGATGTCTTGGAGCCCTCGGAGAAGACAAACTCCACCTCACACCCCCTGCAGGCGGCAGAAGGTGACACTGGCTGCTCTGTGCCCAACAAGGAGCTGCTCGGCTGCTTCCAGGTCTGCCTAGCACCTGCTGTGGACCCAGCAGGTGACAGGTGGAAGATGCCCCCAAAGCTGCATTCCTAGAGAAGGCCAGCCTCAACCTGAAGGGGAATCAGCAGCTGGCCACACGAGGACAGGCAGAGTGGGTGGCTGTTGTGCAGCTGTTATGCGTGGTCACACCTGGGCTTGCCCGGGGCCTCACAGAGGTACCTGGTGCTGGAAAGGCAGCCTGGCACCCAATAGGGATGGCCCGCACCAGAGTGGGTAAGAAGAGATGTCCTGAGACTTGGGGATGGGTGGGCATGGCATAGACGGGCCCAGGTGTAGCAAGGACAGCTGGTTGAGAGCAGTGAAGCCCATGGGTGCTACTAGCACCCAGCTGCTACTTGTGCTTAGGATAATGCAGAATCACACTGGCCAGCAAGCCCCAGCCCAGGCAACCATGCCCTCACGGTTCCCAGCTGTGCTCGCATCCCCTGGCCCTTGGCACATGCTGCTCCCATTGGAAAAGCAACCCCCGCCATGGCCTGGCTGACTGGTTCACAGGCTCCCTGGGAGCAGTCTGAAAATCTACATCCACCCTATGTCCCCTTAGCAGTGCCTTGGTCCCCCACCTTAAAGGGGGCTCCTTTTACTTTCCCCTCTGATGCCACCCTCTGGAGTTTTAGTTGTCCCTGTTTGATGGCCGGTCTCTCCCACCATCCTGTGTTTCATGAGGACAGAGACCCACATGCCAGGAGCACAGGGACAGGGTTGAACACTAGCCTAGGGGCCTCCAGAGGGCATTTCTACAGCCCCCTCCCTGCTTAGGCACCATCTCCTTGCCCTCCACTAATGCTGGGGTGCAAGGCATCATCCCTTCTTTACAGGTGGAGGAGGACATTACGCTAGGACACAGGACGGTCCCTGCTAACTAGCAGGAGTAGCACTGGGTTTAGTCAGCTGGTCATGGCATGTTCAAGGTGAGGAGTGGCCCAAACAACCTCTGAGGCTGCCTGCCCAGCTCCAGGCCCCCATTAGCCTCACCTCCTCTTTTGGGGCTGATCCAGCCGCACGTCCCAGCAGCAGCAGCCACCCTCACAGCCAGCCAGCAGGTGGGCATCAGGGCAGGAAGGGACAGGGCAGAGGCGCAGGGGAATGGAGGTGGAGTCCAGTGTGAAGAGTTGACTGCCAGGAAGTAAGGAGCTACCCTAAGTCCTGGAGCCCAGGCAACTTCCTGCTCAGCAGCTGGTCCAGCCCCAGGCCTGCCCACAGCCTCACCTGGCTCGGAACTCGTAGTCGTGGTTGGGCACACCGATGTCCCAGAGGATGATCCGCTTATCATAGGAGGCCGCTGCAGGGAAGGGGGGGAAGTAGCCCTGAAGAGGCCCTGATCCCCCCTGCAGGCTGCATCCCAGATAGAGAGGGCAAGGCTAGAAGATGGGGTGACTCAGGCCTGCAGTCCCCACCGTCCTGCTTGAGCTAATGTGCCCAGCATGGCAGCTGCCTTTTGCAGCTCATTCAGTACCCTTGTTGGCTAGGGGTGTCTCTTGCAGGTTGCTAATAGCAACAGAGTGGTCCTGGTTGCCAGGAAACTGCAAGGCCACAGTAGGCTGGTGATAAAGCTGGAATCCACAGGCCAGTCACTCCCTGTGAAGCCACACAGTGGGCTAGCCTGGGCCAGTGGCCATCTAAGCTCCCTACCACCCTAGGGAAGGGACACTGACCCCCATCAGGCAGCAGGCCTGGGGTTGTGGGGAAGCCCCAAGGCAGGGAGTGTCTTACTGAAGAGGTGGGTCTCATGGGTGGGACTGAAGCAGAGGGTGGCAATGGCCTTCTTGTGGGCTCGGATGACACCACAGCAGAAGCCAGCACGTACGTGCAGCAGGCGGACCTGTCCTCGCAGGCCTGCTGCAGCCAGCACACTCCAGCGCTTCTTGTGGCCAGCCTGTGTGACCACCATCAGGGCTGTCCAGGCCACTGAGAAGAACTCCTGGGGGGCAGCAGGAAGGGCGGTCACCAGAGCAGAGCGACAAGTGTAAATACACCTGTGTGACAAGGCCTTGGGAAGGGAGGGCCCAGCACAAGCCGACAGCCATGGAAGGCTAGGTGTGGCTCAGCAGAGAAGCACTGGCCTGTATGTGAGGACAGGACCTCAATTCCCAGCATGACAAAGGTCACGACAAACAGGTGGCTAAGCCTGGACCAACCCTGGGGCTCCCATCTGCAGGAACAGGGTCCTGGGACTCACCTCCCCAGGCGCCTTGTACTTGTGGAGGACGATACCTGTCTGGCAGTCAATCACACACACAGCTTCCCCACCACACGTGGCCACTGTCTGGGATGTGGCCCCCGAATCCCCTGTTTTGAGGGATCAGCAATGTGAAAACATTTGCCATGAGATCCCCCGTAGCTGCCTCCTCCTGGCTCACAGACACCTCTGTGGTGCTGGGCACTGGGCCTGGGCCCTTCACGCTGAGCTATAGCTTCAGCCCGTTTTATTTATGTGTAAGCCAGGGTCTCACTCAGCTGCTTAGGCCACCTCACACTCGGGATCAGAGTGCTGGGGTACAGGAAGTGCTGTAATCCCGGTTCTCTATGACACTTTTTAGGTCATCTCTCCTTGAAGCAGGACTGAAAAAGTCAAGTTTCCCCAAGTTCCCTCTCCCTGTAGCTGCTGTCTTTTTGTTCTAATACAGATACAACCGTAAATAAGTTTTATAACCTCCTGTTCTAACATCCTGTTTTGTCCAAGCTAGGCACCAAGATACGTTGCAAAACGACTTAACAAACTGCCTTTGTTCTACTTCTGTAAACTTACTCATCCACAAGTTTTAAGCCTTAGAACAACTTGTGTAGAACAGGAGCCCTTCCTTTGTTCAGGGTTTAGCCCTTTGGACATGAGTCTGCTGAGGCTGTACACCTAAAATAAAATCTTCCTGTTTCTCCTGTGAGCTCTCTGGTTTTTTTTTTTGTTTTGTTTTGTTTTGTTTTGTTTTGTTTTTACCAGGAATTGAATCCAGGACCTCAAGCTTGCCAGGCAGGTGCTGTACCACTGAGCTATATCTCCACTCTCTCTGGTCTTTTAAATTCTGCAACATGCTGATTCCCTTTCCATCCAAGCTGGCATCCCCTGAGAACTGGCTCCACTGAGAACAGTTATGTGGCTTGGTTTTCCCAGGACCTTGTCCTCCTACTGGTCACCTGACCCAGGACGCACCTTCCTCCCAGGCTGGCTCGAAGGCGCAGGCCCAGAGCTGGGTCTTCAGGTCCTGAGGGCTGTTGTTCCTGCTGTGGCACTGCAGGAAGTGCAGGGGCTCCATCCTCAGGCCAGGCTGTGGGTGCACAGAGGAGTCAGGCCTGTCCTAGCCCCTGGTCCAGGGCCTATTCCCTGCCACCTTACCAGTTTACCTGGCTGCCTTCCACCTGGGCTGGCAGGGAGGCACATACCCGCTTGATGGGAGAGAGGTTGAGGGGCGAGCTGTCGAGTCGCTTTATGGCTGCTAGCCTGGCCTGTGGAGGGAGCCTCGTGACCATGGGACCCCTGCCTGGGGCTTCCTTCTTCCTGATCCCAGTGCACCGTGCCCTCCCACAGGCAGACAGGAAGAGTTGGTTCAGGGTCAGGGAGGGAGTCTGCTCAGTGTTGAGGTTTGGATCTTTAATGTCTCCCAAGGCCTGTATGCTAAAGGCGTGGCTGCTGGCCTGTGGAAGGCAGGACCTAGAGGAAAAAGTTGGGTCACAGAGCCAGGCATGATGGCACACTCCTATCATCCCAGCACTCAGGAGGCTGAGGCTGAGACTGAGGCTGGAGGATCATTGCAAGTTCAAGACCAGCCTGGGCTACAAAGTGAACCCAAGGCCAGGCTGAACTGCATAGCAAGACCCTATCTCAAAAAGACAAAAAAAAAAAAGAACCTAGGTCACAGAATGTGTCCTTGAAGTAGTAGCCCCTGTCCCTTGATCTCCCTCTATTTTTTCTCTCACTCTCTCATCTTGGCCACTTCTGCCACAAGCAAATGCCAGGACATACTGTGCCACCACACATCCAAGTGACCAGAGACTGAAACTGTGAGCCAAAACAAATCTTTCCTTCTCAGAAGCTGGTTACCTCACGTATTTTGTTACATCAACAGAAAACTGACTAACACCTGGGCAAGGGCAACTAGCTCCTGGGCTCACCCTGAGGATTTCCTGCTTTCCAGCAGCTGCCATGGGTAAGCAGGGCTAAGACAGAACCCAAAGAGCCACACACAGCCAACTCACCCTGGGCCTGGAGGCAGTTATCACTCCTGGGGGCTTCTCTGGGAGGTCAGCGTCACTCACCCTTGTCCCACCGGAAGCCGCCAGTTCCTCAGAAATCATCTGCACCTGGGTGAGCCAGGCCTTCAGGAAGCTGGGCACAGTTCTGGGAGCCCCCAGTCCCTCCCCAGACACCTGGTCACAGGGAGTGTGTGCCTCTCAAGTTAGGAGAGGCCCTCTCCAGCCACAGCACTAGCTTCCCTTAACCATCACACTCTCCACTGCCCCCCAGCCTAGTGTGGCCAGAGACCTCCAGGGCAGCTCAGAACCACAGAAGCCAGCAAACAGCAGGGAGCGTGGCTCCAGCACAGTGGGGTGAGGACATACCCGCCACTGGGTGAACTCGCTGAGGGACTCAGGTCCATACCGCACATGCCTAACAGCAGACTTCACAAAATCTGCCTGGACTTTCTCAGGCTTCTCCTCTGGGTCCCTGGCGGCCACGAACTTCTCCCAGTGAGCAGTGACCTGGTGTGAGAGGGACCAGACAGATCGTGGCCACTCAGCATTCCTGGCCCATCAGCTCCTTAGTGCTCTCTCCACAGCCACAGGTATCTGAGCACTACCACCCAGCAGAAGCATCTCAGCAACACAGCCTCTGCTACAGCTGGGTGAAGGGAAGTATGACATGCATCTGAACCGTCCCAACCTCAGTGTCTCAGCTGTCCCTGCCATACCACCTGCACATTTAGAGGCTTGTTAGGGCCTAGAGCCCCCTGTTCTTACCCTGTTGGTCAGCTCCCGGTTCAGGCTCTCCACCTGGCAGCAAGTTGAGGAAGCATCCTTGCCATTGATCTTCCGAAGACTGGGCAGCAGAAAGGCGACTTTCAGATTGTCATTGACCTGGGAGATGAAGGGAGAGTGGAGCCTGAATCCCTCATCATAGGGTGCCGGGAAATGGGCCTGCTGAGGGAACCTCACTTACCGTCAGAAAGGGGTTGCCTTCCAGGCTCAGCTCCTCCAGCTTTGGGAACTGGCACAAGGTGGTGACGTCCTCTAGCTGGTTGTTGGCACAGTGGAGGATGCGCAGGTGGGACAGACCCAGGCTGGCTGGCAATGTCTCCAGCTGGTTGTTGGAGAGGTCAAGCTCCTGCAACTGGGTCAGGCGGCACAGCAGTTTCGGGTCCAGGTGCTCCGCGAGCAGCTCCATCCCTGACAAGCTGGGGTGGGGACGCAGCAGGAGGGTTCAGGGGGCTGCTGGGCCTTAGGTCGCCCTGCCAGTCCTCCCAGGCTACAGCGATGCGTTTCCACTTGCTACTTCTGCATGCACAGCCTCCTCTTGTAACTACTTAGGACTCCAATCGTTGGCGCCTTCCAGAAGACTCCTGCTGGTTCTCTGGGAGGCTCCTTTGTGCTGCCCAGGCCCTCCGAATACTCTGACCCCGGCAGGGGCAAGACCATGCGGGTCCCACCCTGGGCACTGTGGGGCGGCAAAGGTCCCACGCATCTCTTAATGAGATGTCTGGCGCCAGAGATTAGCGACTCCACGGAGCGAGGGGGGGGGGTAATGGGGACCATCGGGGTGGGTGGGGGTGAGCCTTTCTTCCCGCCCAGCGGAAGACCCGGGCCGGGCGGGGGTCTGCAGAGCCCCGCGGACACATCCCCGTCCCCGCCAGACCCTTACTCCAGGCATCTGATCTTCCCCAGACGGTCGGTCCTGGGTTGCCCGCGCTCCATAAGCAGCCGCGCCGTGAGGGGACTCATGGCGAAGAGGCGCGTCTCGTGCTGGCCCGCTGGCGTTCCAGCGGCCAGTAGAACCCGTAACACCTGCGGTCAGGCACCAACGATCCCAAATGAGGTGCTCAAAAGGCTGCACCGCTCCGTACAGCGGCTGCTGCGACCGGAAGGAAGCAGTGCGGAAATCGCAGGACCTACGTGGACTACAACTCCCGGCAGGCCTCGCGCATACGCATGCGTCTTGCCCTCCCAGAAGGTGCGATGACGGCTGCGGCGGCAACAGCAGAGGCCTCCGAGGTTTTTCAGAAGTGTGGCTGCAAAGGTATCCGGACCTGTCTGATTTGTGAGAGGCAGCTCCAGGTTGACCCGCCCTGGCAGTTGTCCCCGCAGGTAAGAACTGTTCTTCCTGTGGAGAAACTGAAGCCCAGCTTGGCCCTATACTTGGCCGGGATCTAAGCCCGTCGGGGACCTTAGCGGCGGGCACGCTGTGGGGTGAAGGGTGTAAGCAGGGATCTCAGCAGTAGAGAGGTAGCTAGGACGTGGGCGGGTCGGACCAAAGGGACCTTGGGGGAATCTGTCAGCAAACCGCGGCTTAGCCCCTCGGGTCTGATTTTGGGAGCTTCGCTTCCACAAGAGTCACTCTACGGAAAGGGCAGAGGGCGCTGAGCACTAAGGTTGCCTGAAGGCCTTGCATGGAAGTAATTATGAATGAAATGTATGAAAAACCCTTGGAAGCCGGCAGGGTAGCGCGCGTCTGTAGATCCCAAAAATCAAATATGGGTTTTAGAAGGTTCCAAGGGACGCGAGCGCAGATATGAAGATGTGGAGGCGGGGAAGCCCGTGGGGAAACTCCGTCTGTGGTACAAGTGCCCAAGGGCCTGTGGGAAAGTGTGCATGCCTCATAAATTAAAAATTGGGACCAGGGATTGTGCGCATTAGCGCAGTGCCTGCTTTGCAAGCATGGGTCCTGAGTTCATTTCTGGTTCCCGTCCCCGCCCCCCCAAATTTAAACAGATTTTATATATGCTCTGCCAATCCCTTTCCTGGTCTGTATCCAAAAGAAATGACAGGAAGATATTACGATAGTGTTCATGCCAGATGCATGCCTATAATCCAGGCACCTGGGAGACTGAGACAGGATTGCTGAACGTCAAGGCCAGCCTAGGCTCCATACTGCTTTTAGGACCTAACTGATAGGGAGACCCTGTCTCATAAAACCAAAACAAACCAGGTGTGGTGGTGCACACCTGTAATCCCAGCACTAGGGATGTTGAGGCAGGAGGATTCATTGGGAATTCAAGACTAGCCTAGGCTACAAAGTGAGGTCAAAGCCAGCCTGGAATGCATAATGAGACCCTGACTCAAAAAGACAAAAAGCAAAACAAAACATACTGTTCACTATGTTTGCTAAAAATGGTTTAGCCATACAGTGGACTATTTATTATTCAGCCTTAGAAAAGAAAGAAATTCTGACATATGCTAAACATGCATGAACCTTGTGGGTCCCCAGTGAAATAAGTGGATCACAAAAGGACAGATACTGAACAATACCTTTATATAAAGTTTTTGGTATAGTCAAGATCATAGTGATAAAAAGTAGAATGGATGCCGGATTCTCGGGGAAAGGAGAATGCTTAATAGGAACAGGGCATTTTGCTTTGTTGAGGTAGTCTTGCTATGTAGTCTGGGCTGGCCTGAGATCTGAGATTTTACATTTGGGCACTATTCTTGGCTAGTGGACAGGGTTTTATTTATTTTTGCGTGTGTGTGTGCGCGCCAGGAATTGAACTCAGGACTTCACGCTTGGCAGGTACGGTGCCACTGAGCTTACTATTTTTCTTTTTCGAGACGAGGTTTCCTACCATATGCAGTTCAGGTTGACCTTGAATTCAGTATGTAGCCCAAACTGGCCTTAAATTTACAGTGATCCTCCTGCCTTAGCATCCTTAGTGCTGGGATTACATGTGTGCACCACCGTGCCTGGCAAGGGCCACGATTTTTGTTTTGCAAAATGAAAGTTCTAGAGATGGAGAGTGGTAATGGTTGCACAGTGATAGAATATACTAAATGCCACTGAGTTGGACACTTTAAAATGGCTAATAGAGCCAGGCATGGTGGTCATGGTGGTGCACACCTATAACCTCAGCACTCAGGTGGCTGAGGCAGGAAGTTTGCCGAGAGTACTTTTGGGCCTCAGGGGTGGTAGCAGAGCACAGATACATGGATGGGATGAGGGGAGTCCAGGTGTAGGCAGGGAGAGCTGACCGCTGGGCTGAGACGCAGAGGAGGGATTCCACTGGGACAGGAGTCAGGATGGGCCGGGTGTTAGGAGCTGAGGTGAGAGCCCAGGTCAGAGCAGGGGACAAGGGACAAAGCCTCTTGTATGAGACTTCAGACTTCCAGATGGGGGACTTTTGTGGCCTGGGCAGCCAAAGCCCCCTTTTCAGGGTTTGGTGGAGATAGTGGTGGCAGGATCCTTATCTGAACCCCACAATCTGGGAGAGGGCCCAGAGTAGTGTGCTATGGCTTGGGGAAGCCAGGACATCTCGAAACGGCCCTCCTGGCCCTCTCAGAGGTGACAGGCTCAGGCCTGGACTGCATGTAGTCAGCAAGGCTATCAAGAGATTGGGGGTACAAGACATGGGGAGGGCAGGGAAGTGGAACAGCCTGGGTCCTCCTGGAAGGAGATGTTTGGACAGAGTTAGGAGTACAGGAGATGGGTGGCATGGAGGTAGCAGTGATGGGAACAAAACAAAAAGGTGGTGGCGGGATCAGTTAAGATCTCACCGCCATGGCCCATCCAACCCAGCCCTCAGGGCACAGGGTCCCTTAGAGGAGCCTGGGCTGGGGCAGAGTGGCCAGGCCTGTCCTGGCCCTGTAGAGCTGGCAAGGCTCCCCTCTGGGAGGGGAATTTCTAATGTGTGTCCCTGGGCTCCAGAGGACAGGCGAGTGGCTGGAAAGGACTTGTCCCCTGTGGCTCCTGCCAAGCGCTGCCTTCCCCCATGGCCCAGCCCAGGCCTGTAGCATTAGCTTATCATACTTCTCAGGCCCCAGGCTGGGATGCACTCAGCAGATCCTGTCCTCTGATCTTCCCGAGGCTGGGGGACAGACATGCCTGTGGTGACATGAGCTAGTTCATCGGCTCTGCTGAGCCTCTGCTGTGAAGGGGAGAGGGACGACAGGGTTGAGGGGTGAAGAGCAAGGAGTGAGAATTCACAGTGGCCTTAGAGGGCAGGGCCCTCTCCTGAGCAGCCCCCACTTCTCCTAGACAACAGCTATGTTCCCAAGGGGCTGCTGGGGATGGAGGAGCCAGTGAAACCTCCTCCAAGGTGGGGGACACTGTGCCAGGACCTGTCTCTCTTTTGCAGAAAACACACCGCTTCCTTTACAATGTGGACACAGGTTGGGCCGTGGGGGCTGAGGATTCCAACTGTGAAGGCTGGGGCTTCCCCTTCCCGGGGGTGACACTGATAGAGGATTTTGTGACCCGGGAGGAAGAGGCCGAGATGGTGCGATTGATGGACCTCGACCCTTGGAAGCTCTCTCAGTCTGGCCGGAAGAAGCAGGTATGCTGACCCAAGGGACCATGGTGCTGCAAGGCCTTGGCTACTTCCTCTAAGGGCCCCAATGGGACTTGGGCGGCCAGGTTCACTGACGGCTGTGTCCAGTGTGTACAGGGCACAGCCCCTGGGCTCTCCATGCCCCTTTCCATAGCCGACTCAGTGGTGGGCGGTTTCTAGACAGAGATCCCCATCCTCCAAGGCTGCTGGAGGCTGCCACACACCACCCTTCTCCATTCTCTCCCATCATGTCCCTCACCCTCTTGTATGTTCCCACTCTCGCCTGGAACTGGTGTCCTTCCTCATCCTTCTCAAGGTCCACTGCTGACTGCTCACTCCTTTCCTCATCCCCGGCCCCCACAGGACCCGTCCACCTTCTCACCTTCCGCCCATCCCACACCGGCATGGGATGGCTAGTCCCTGCCATCCCTGACCCTCTGTCCCTCAAGTCTTCATGGTTTTATGTCACAGCCCCAGTGATATCCAGCCAGCTGGAAGTTCCCTCCTACTCCGCCTCACGAGGCCCTCCCAGCCACCAGCTCTGCTGCTCCTCTTGTACTGGTGTGGTGCTGTGGGATCACTGTGCCCTCACCCCCTCTCCCTCACATCCACCTTCTGAGCAGACGCCGACTGGTGCCACCGTCCCGAGGGATGAGTCTCACTCCCCCAGCCATCTCCCCCCTCCCTCTCCATTAACCTGTCCGAAACCCGCAGCCATCCCCACCCCGCCAGCCCAGCCTGGCACCAGGCCACGGGGGCATTTTCTCTCTTCCTGGGCCCGAAAGGAGGTCTTCCCGGCCTTGTCCCTGTGGCTCATGCACCTCCGAGCTGCCATTGCTATTTCCTGCCAGCTCTTCCTGCAGAACGTGTCCTGACTGCGCATGTTATCTTCACAGCTGCCACCACCAGGACCTCCGCCACCAGGCTTGCTGGGGACCCTGCCAGGGCTTCTGTAGCAGCCCTGGCTCCTCTTGAATCCTGGGTAACCTCTGTCAGGTCATGTGTTTTTTCTTTGCAATACTGGGGACTGAACCCAGAGCCTTCACACTGAGCTATGTCTCTGACCTTTTTTTTTTTTTTTTTGGTACTGGGGATAGAACTCACAACCTGGTGCTTGCAGGCAGGCGCTTACACCGCTGAGCTACACCCCCAACCCCCTTTTGTATTTTTTATTTTCATACAAGTTCTCATTAACTCTCTAACTTGCCCACGCTGGGCTTGAAATTTTGATCCTTCTGCCTCAGCCTCTCAAAGTTTTGGGATTACAAATGATACGTGTTACCACACCTGGCTTGGTTCCACTTTGTGGCTATTGTGAATAATGCAGCTGGGAACATCTGTGTACAAGGTTTTCTGCATACATAGAGCGCATGTGCAGGTGAGGAACTGCAGGTCACGTGCCCCCTTCCTGTGGTTCTGAGCCTCCGCTGACCTGGCGTTGACCCGCTTGATGCTGCTGCCTGGTGTAGCCTTACTCCAGCCACTCGCTCTCCCTGGGTCCTGCGCCTTGGGACTGTCACATACCAGGGCACACTCCACATGTCGGCCCTCAGTTCCAGCTCTGCTGTGGGGTAAGGTCTAGGACACCCAACCTCCACCATAGTCTCCTTCCCTACTTCATCTTTTCCTCCGAGTTTTCTACCAGTGCACTTTGCCATTGATTTCCACCCACCAGCACCTGCTTCTTTCCAGAATGTGCCATCTGTGAGGTCAGGGTCTCACACATGCCTTGATCCTTCTAACTGAATTTCACTGGCTAAACTCAGACACCTCGCCACAGGACTATGGCCCCAGAGTCAACTTCCGGAAGCAGAAGCTGAAGGTGGCGGACTTCCAGGGCCTGCCCAGCTTCAGCCGGGAGGTGGTGCGGAGGATGGGCCTCTACCCCGGCCTAGAGGACTTCCAGCCTGTCGAGCAGTGCAACCTGGACTACAGCCCCGAGCGCGGCTCTGCCATCGACCCCCACCTGGATGACACCTGGCTGTGGGGTGAGAGGCTGGTGAGCCTCAACCTCCTGTCCCCCACCGTGATGTCCATGTCCCGGGAGGCACCCGACACCCTGTTACTCAGCTCGGCTCCTACCACTGGTCCCAAGGACAGCGTGGACAACCTGATTACCCCCAGCTGGTCTGTCTTGTGCCAGGATGTGGAGGTGGCCATCCCCATCCCCCGCTGCTCTCTGCTGGTGCTGACCGGTGCAGCACGGCACCAGTGGACACATGCCATCCACCGCAGGCACATCACAGCCCGGCGCGTCTGTGCCACCTTCCGGGAGCTGTCAGCCGAGTTCCAGCCCGGGGGGAGGCAACAGGATCTTGGACGTGAGCTCCTGCAGATCTCATGCTCTTTCCAAGGGAGACCTGTGTGAACTGCCCCCCTGGGGACAGGCCTGTGCCAGCTGGCCAGAGGTGCCAGGGCCCGCTGTCTTCCCCTCATTATGTTTTGGTAGAAGCCATCTGACCCTGATGCCATGGGTAGGCGTGAGCCCTGACCAGAGCTGATTCTGATGGGGCCACGCACAGGGTCCCACCCCTTGGATCTACACTGTGGCCACTGTTTGGATTAATCTGTTTGGAGAGAGTGGGAACTTTCTTTCTTTCTTTTTTTTGCCTTTTTTCCTTTTTTATCGGTACCGGGGATCAAACTCACGACTGCCTGCTTGCAAGGCAGTCACTTATGCCGCTGAGCTAAATCCCCAGCCCCAGGAACTGAACTTTCAAAATGCTAGTATTTGCTTGAAATGACCCTTGCCTTTACCCATCTCAAGGTCTCCAGACACCAACCAGTCAGGACCAGGAGCTGGAGACCCTGTGGCATGGGAGGGTGCAGGGCCAGAGAGTGGGACTAGTGGCAGACTTGAAGTTCAGGCTTCAGGTGGTGGCAGCTTCTGAGTTGGCTCAGTCTGGGTCATGCTTGACCTTAGGGTAGGGGGTGTGACAGGTGGAGACACTGGAGAGCCTGGTTCCTGTCACCTCCCCAGAAAGCTGTTCAAAGTAGGAAACAAAGCTCTTCCCCTCCTAAGACACCTTGAGGTTGTTTCTTTTGTGATACTTGTGGTGCAGGGGGCGGGGGTGCTTACATGGAAAAGGTGGCTGCCCTGGCCACCTCCATCTGACGGGGAGGGCAGGGTACCTGGACCTCTTTCCTGCAGCTCATGAGATAAAATACCCTCAGCTGAGTGCCACCTGCTAAGGCCTCTGGGAGGAATAGAGCTGCATTGCCTCCAGGAAGGGGTCCTGATCAACGTGCTCTTTAAGTCACTCTTGAAAACTGCTAAAAGCTGTCAGGCTCCATCTGCAAGGTGGCTTCCTGGCCACTGGCCAAGCTCAATCCTGTAAAGACACTGTGAGAGCTGGCTGGGTATGATAGCATATGCCTGAAATCTCAGCACTCAGGAAGCTGAGGCAGGACTCCGCTATGGATCAAGACTCTGCCTTCAAAAAAAAAAAAGACAAAAAGTCCCTGTGAGAAGTAGCTGGCGGAGCAGAGCATGGTGCGCACTCCTGTAATCCTAGCACTAAGGAGGCTGAGGCAGGAGAATCATTGCAAGTTCAAGACCAGCCTGGGCTACAAAGCCCAAGGCCAGCCTGAACTGCATAGTGAGACCCTGTCTCAAAAAAGACAAAAAAAAAAGTAGCTGGCAGATGGGCATAAGCTTCTAGGCCACCCCGACCAGTGCCTCTGTGTCCCTCTCCTGGAGCAAGAGGGTGGAGGGCGGTTTATCATCACCCTGTTCAAGTCTCACTGGGCACTGAGACACCAGCACCTAAGCTCCGGCTGCATCTAAGCAGCCCAGGGCCTAGGGGAGCCTCTGCCTGAGCAGAGCCTACAATATGCACCAAGAGGGGTAGGGGCAGGGGACTCAGCCAGGCAGCAGAGAAACCTGTGCTTGCCCAGAATTGCACACTGGCCTGGCCTGCAGTTCCACAGAACACATTAGGAACTGTACCTTTGACTGTCAAATTGGTGGCTTCCACAGCTGAGAGTCCACAGAGCTGCTAAGACCTGCTGGGTCCCACAGCCACATCTTAAGGTAGGCACAGCAGTGCATGTCTGTGCTCCCAGCACCGAGGGACACTGAAGGGAGGCTGCAAGCTGAAGTCCTGCTTGGGCAACTTTGTGAGAACCTGTAACAATCAAACAAAGCGGGAGCTGCATGCAAAGGCCACAAGTCCCACCGAGAGCACAGAGAGCTTGAAGAGCTTTACTGCTTTATTCAGTTCAGTCCTGGGCAGCTGTTAGAAACCCACACACAGGACAGGAGTTATGTTTGCCACCTGTGCCATGTCCTGCACGTAAGCTCAATGGCACAGGCAGGTGCCCTCCTCAGGTGAGTCCTGAGCCAAAGCTGATAAAGACTCTGGGCTGCAGAGATGAAATGAGGACGCTGTGCCTCCCACTGCAAAATCAGGTCACACCTCCAGAAGCTGCGTCTCCAGCCTGCATGTGGCCTTCCCATCCCCCAGGCTGTCCCAGTGAATTGTCTGCCCCTCCCAAGGGCAGTTTGCCTTCCAGCTAGTGTGGCCCAAGGTTCCCTATGAGCACTGTGCTTCTGTTCCTGTAGACTAACTGTCCCATGCTCAGAACATGCAAGGCCAGAGCTGGGAGCATGAGATCATCGGGACTCTGTCTGCTACTGCGGCACTGTCACCAGGCACCCGCTACCTGGGGCTGATCCTGTGTGTAATCCCTAGCTCTGTGCTGGCACAGTCTGTGGAAGTGGGCACTGTGGGCAGGAGCACCAGATGGCCTTGGGAAGTGGGTGGCAGGAGTGTGTCCAGTGTGGCTCTCCTCCAAAGGCTCTGCCTGGAGGAAGGGCCCTCTGTTCCCTCCCAGCCACGAGCTGCTCATTTAGAAGGGCCTATCTCGCTCTTGCCAGGACATGAGCAGCTGTCCTGAGTGATAGTGACATTCTTTACCAAAGCATACCTTAAAGGAGACAAGCCTTCGACAAAGCTCCAGGAAAGCAGACACGAGTCAGAAGGCAATGGTCCTACACAAATGTCCTCTAGGGAGGTGCAGGACCTGCCCCAGAACATACAGGGCTCTGGCCCCAGGGCACCGGATGGCAGGGCTCCTGCCAGATGGCACAACTCACAGGGGAGGTTGGCGCTACATCTCCCCATGTGCTAAGGTTTACATCGTCATGGCATGTCCCACTTCCAGAGACCTCAACAAGGCCACCCAAGGTCCCCTGGCACTCAGTCCAGACATCACAGAGACAGTAAGCTGTTAGGTTAAGTGGAGCGCAAAGAACTGACACAACTGTTTGCAGGTGACCTCTGAAAACCCAGGTAAACACGATCTTGGAGTAGCTCGTGGTGTAGCACGTTCCCACACAGCCTCAGGTCTGCCAGATGCCAGGTGCTCAGGGACAGTGCCACAGCCCTGCCGCACAGCTGTGTAAACGGTGTGGGACCCTGCAGTGCTCGAGGTCATGATGAACGTTGGGCCTGGCCAGCAGCAATGCTGAGGGGAAGCTGTCTGCTCTTGGCACTATGGCCCTCAGGCAGCAGGGAGCCGGGCAGGTGTTCTGCCCTGCTGTTCACGCAGCCCAGTGGGGTGGAGGCTTAGGCTCAGAGGAGGTCACCCTGGACTGTGGTCACTTCCCCACCTGGTGGCTTGGTGAGTCAGAGGCTCCACTGGCTGCAGAGGGAGATCTGAGCCTGGTGAGCTTTGGGGCATCCCTCAACTAAGCCTCTTCAGCCTCAGCCAGGCTTCCCTTCCAGGGAACCTCCCACAGGGGTTGACAATTCTGATGCACCCACCTGGCACCCACCACACTCTGAAGCTGACTGTGCCCCGGGTTCCTGCCTTCATCCTGTAGGCCAGGTGACCCAGCTCCCTCTACGGCTGGGAAGAGAGCACCAAACCACACCAGCAGCCTTGCTAATCCCATGGGCTTGCACCTCAGTAGGCAGCCACAAAGCCCAGTTCTGCATGCTGGGTACAAAACCTTGAACTCACAGCCCCAGGTCCACACCACAGAGGCCTGCACTCTCGGATCCCCTTGAACACTGGTGCTGCCTGCAGCCCTTACTGGGACAGTGCCTCTTGGGCTTGCCCCCAACCCAGGAAGTGCCAAGGGCCAAGGAGGTGGCTCTTAGCCACAGAACCCCTGCATCACTGGAGCTCCATGGTCCCAGGGACCAGCGTCCAGCTTATTATGGCACTATGACAGGAGGACACTTTGGCCTTGGAACGTCTGGCAGTGTCTAAGCAGCCTGCTGCACCGTCTGCCTTCCTGGGCCCCCGGTCCCTCACACCACCTGCAGGCTGCGCTCCTGCCCATCCAGCTGCACCTTGAGCTTGTGTAGCTCCTCGATCTCGCGGTTGTGGCGCTCGGTCTTGTGGCGCACCAGCGAGCGGTAGAAGTGGATGGTGAAGACCACGAAGATGAGGCCCACAGGCACCATGATGATGGTGGACACCAGGGCAGCCTGCCACCCCGTGTGGGTGCTGGACTCATGGCCAGGTTGGTGCCTGGCATCTACAGGGAGGAACTTGATCCAGCAGAGCAGTACCACCTCAGCCAGGAAAAGCAGGATGCCGAGCACGGTGGAGAAGCCCCAGGCCAACTCAATGTAGGGATGCATCCGCTCGTGCGGAGACTCGCTGATGGAGTTGAGGTTGTGGATGTTGCTCACGGCCTCCACATTGGGCAGGATGCAGGTGCTGATGAGGAGGGCGAACAGATGCACAGCCACCAGCACTGTGGTGCAGGCGCTAAAGGCGATGAGCAGGGGCCTTGGGTACTGGTACTGCGTCTCCAGCTGCACCTCCACCATGGCCACCTGTGGGGACAGAGGGCAGTGTGAGGCCAGGTGGGCAGAGCTGCACTTCACCAGGGCCATGCGCACCCCAGGGGGAGCGGGAGGGTTGCAGATGCAGGCTGGCCCATGCTTCCAGCTCTCAAGGTCCAGACACAGGCTCCCCAGGTACCCCAGACTCAGGGCTGCACACCTGGAGTGGATACCTCTTCTGGGCCACAAGTGTGTTCCCCAGCTGAGACCCAAAGAGGGGGTGGTGACCAGCTTCGAGTCCAGGGGAGGAGGCCATGGAAAGGAGGCCAGGCTCGGGACAATTTGGGCAGTTGGTCACAAGGGCTGCTGAGTTTGTATAAGCCTTTCAACAGTTCTTTGCTGTTTTGATTTTTTTTCCAGATATGGTCTTGGTTTGTAGCCCAAGCTGGCCTTGAACTTGGCAGCAATCTTCCTGCCTCAGCCTTGAGTAGTGGGGATACAGGGTTTTGCCACCATGCCCAGGTTCAGCAGTTCTTAAAGGTTTTTTCCCCCCTTCTCTCTACACATCCCTATTTCTCTCTCCCTCTCTCACACTCATTACATTTGCCTCCAAAAGCTGACCATTTCCAAAAAATCTACAAGAGGGGCCAGGGATATACCTCAGTGGCATAGCACCTGCCTTGTAAGTGCGAGGCCTTGAGTTTGAGTTCCACAAAAAAACAAAAACAAAAAAAGAAATCTGGGGATGGCGGTACATCCCTACAATCCCAGCAACTGGGAGGCTAAGGCGGGCCAACTGAAAGTTGCAGCCTGCCTGGAGTTACATGGTGAGTTCTGGGCCAGCCTGGACTACTGAAGAAACCCTGTCTCAAAAAATACAAAGTCAGTCCCCGGTACCGCAAAAAAAAAAAAACACAAAAAAACCACACAAAGTAAGAGTTGACAACTTTGTTAGCAGCCACCACAACCTGAGTGAGCCCTCATCCTTCACTTTGCCTTCCCTGGTGATGGAACATTCTGGTAGGGAACATACACCAGTCCTAGTGGGCCAGAGCTGAACAGCAACAGCAGCAATGATGGCCGGGCTTTGGCCGGGCCCCCGAAAGTGGCGACATGACATGGGCTGAAAGATGGCCTTTCCTTAGCACCCCAGTGGCTTGGATAGGCTCTTGTTACCCACAAAGGATATGGCCCAACCAAGATACCACAAACTCAAGGCCTCCAAAATAAGAAACAGCGGTTAGAAGGCAGAGGAGAGAGGGCTCACGAAAACCAGTGCTGTTTCGTCTCCAGAGGAGAAAGGCCAGAAGGACATTTCTCATTGTGTTTATGCAGGGATTTTATGAGGTAACTGGTCTCTGTCTTACGATAAACATGAAGAAATGTGCTTAAGGTCAGGCACCAGCACCCATAGTTGGACAAAGAAGCAGATTCCCAATTCTTTTTTTTTTTTTTTTTTTTCGTCTTTTTGAGACAGGCTCTCCCCATGCAGTCCAGGCTGGCCTTGAGCTCATTTTGTAACCCAGGGTGGTCTTCAACTCCCAATGATGCTCCTGCCTCAGCCTCCCAAGTGCTGGGATTACAGGCGTGTGCCACCACACCTGGCTCAGATTTCCGATTTTAATCAAGGAATACTAACAGAAACCGAAGGCTCCATCTGGGAAACTGCCTATAATCCTTGCTGAGTCAGTGACAGCCTTAGTTACCTGCTTCCCAGCCCCTCGTTGCCTGGATAAGGACCAAGTTTACTGGCAGCGTGTAAACTAATCTAACAGTGCAGGCACATTGATCTGCTCCCCCACCCCCAGGCTCCCCACCGCCCCTGCTGAGTCTGTAGGACACATTTGTCTGTGGCTGCCTCCCCGATAGGGGACTTCTGAAATGCACTCCCTGAAAGTTTAAGGGTACCCTTGCTGCTACCAGAGACAGGGCACAAATGGGGCAGAACTAAATTACTGCTAGAAAACATGACTGCCACAGTCACTAAGGACAGACAGCACTCCTGGGATGCGGGGGCGGGGGAGTGGGGTGGGACAGAACAGGACTGAACGGGACACAGACCAGGGTTTCTATCCCTGCCTCTCAATGTCTGCCGCCCTGAAGGCTGCCGTAAAGTCTCAGGAGGCCTCCTCTTCTCCAGAATTCTCACTGCCCGCTGGATAACTCTATTCCTAAGCCTTGTCTGCAAGTCTCCAGTAAGAGTCCTGAAGCCTTCACCTAAGCTGAGCATTTTGTTGGGATGAAACACAAGGTCTCAGGGGCAGGAGGATTGCCAAGTTCAAGGCTGGCCTAGGCAATTTGATGAGACCCTGTCTCAAAATATAAAATACAATGGGCCAGGGATGTGGCTCAGCGATAAGAGTGCCCCTGACTCAATCCCCAGAAAACAAAACAAGAAACCCAAAAAACAAAAACACAAAGACAATGAAATGTCCCAGTTTGGAAAGCCAAATGTTTGGAAGGCCTGGGTCCAAGAACACAACCACAGACCAGAAATAAATCCCAGAAGGGCCTTACATAGAAAGGAAACCATCTTACCATATTAAGTCCTATAATACTTCTGTTTTTTAAAAGTTAAAAAAAAGTACAAGCCAAAAAAATCTAATGCAATCCCACAATTCTGTGGTATGGAAAACAAGTGCTCGTGTGTGTGTGTGTGTGTGTGTGTGTGTGTGTGTGTGTGTGTGTGTCTGGTACTGGGGACTGAACTCAAGGCTCTTTATAAATATGCTTTTATTTTAAGACAATTCTACTAAATTCCCAAGACTGAGTTCGAATTTGCAGTTCTTTTATCTCCCAACTAGCAGGAATTACAATCATGTACCACTGCGCCCAGCTGACCTCCAATTTTTAATAGTGACATCTAAACTTCTCATACATATTTATTTTCTTTTTTTTCTTTCTCTCTTTTTTTTTTTTTTTTGAGACAGGGTCTCGATACATAGTCCAGGCTGTCCTTAAACTCACTGTGTAGCCCAGGCTGGCCTCAAACTCTCAGTTATCCTCCTGCTTCAGCCTCTCAAGTGGAATTACAGGCACGAGTCACCACACCTGACACACATGTCTTTAAATTAAACTTGAAAGTTTTTTTTTTTTTTTTTCTTGTGATACTGAAGAAAGAACCCAGGTTGGGCTTGAATTTGTCTTACTTTTGCCTCAGCCTCCCAAGGTGCTAGGATTAGAGGCAGGCACTACCATACTCAGCACGAAAGCATTATTTTTTAAATTTTTTGTCAGATCAAACTCATGACCGTGCGCATGCAAGGCAGGCGCTTATGCCGCTGAGCTAAATCCCCAGCCCCGAAAGCATTATTTTTAACACAATAAAAACTATGGGAAGACAATCGCTAGGAGCCAGAGCTGTGTACCACCTGATTATGTACTGTTGTTATTGTACTTATTTGGAACTTGGAATCAAACTCAGGACCCTGTACTTGCCAGAAAAGCACTTACGCCACTGAGCTACATCCTTGGACCTACTTTTTTTTATTTGCAGTACCGGAGATCAAAGCAGGCAGGTGCTTATGCCACTGAGCTAAATCCTTGGGTCCCCCTGGACCTACTTTTACAATAATTATATTTTAAAAATTAAGGGCAAAGACTTCAGTGTAGTAGCCACATCTATAATCCCAGCAATGTGGAAGGCTCAAGCAGGAAGATTATGAGTTTAATCCTGGCCTGAGAAGTTTAGGAAAACCCTGTTTCAAAGTAAAAAAATAAGAAAAGGACAGGAGACAAGCTCAGTGAGAAAGCACTTGCCTAGCAGATGTGCTGGGTTCCATCTCTAGCACTACAAAGAAAAAAAAAAGACGTAACGAAGCCTTTTGTTCACACTACACAACTAAACCCAGATATACCACCCTCTAGGCCGGTGAGCTCTACCCTCCCTGTGCAAAGTCTGGCCTCTCCCGCTCTCTGACCAGGAAGCACGGCTCCAGCCAGCCTGATGACTGCACAAGGCCCAGCGGCCACAGCGGCTCACTCTGCCAGCTTTTTATTTTACTTTGCACTGCCAATTTAACAATGGAGGCTGTGGACTACCAAAGTATGATCGTTTTTATATAAAGAACTACATCTGGAGCTGGCTGTGACGGCGCATTCCTGTAATCCCAGCATTTGGGAGGCTGAGGCAGGAGAATCATTTGCTACAAAGTGAGAGCTCAAGGCCAGCCTGAATTGCATAAGAAGACCCTGTCTCAAAAGGACAGGAAAAAAAAAAAAAAAAAAAAAAAAAAGAACTACATCTGGATGTGCACGCCAATAACCCTAACACTTTGGGAGGCTGAAGCAGGGGGACTGTGAGTTAAGAGCAGTCCGGGTGACTTAGTGAGATCCTGTCTCAAAATTCGTAAAATATAATAAAAGGGCTGGGGATGTCCAGTAAAGAAGGGGGAGAGGGGAGGCCAAGGGGCAGGGAAAGGAAAACATCACTTCCAGAACAGCACCGGGCAGCAAGGGGCTAAGCCCCGACATGCTTCCTCTGGGGGTGTGGGGCCCTGGTCTCTGAGGCTGCCCCCAAAGGACTGGAGCAGGGACTTTGGACTTAACAACAGATGTGGCTTTACCCACACTGGCTCCTGTGCTAGGATGACTCGGAAGGAAAGTGGCAGCCGGGAGCCAGGCCAGAAGCTCTGCAGTGTCACCCCAGACGAGGCCACATTTGGCAACTGTCTGTGTCCCCAACTGGGTTAACCCAATCCATCCCTGAGACCCTGCTGAAGTCTCCAGACTGCTGGGTAGTACCCGGATGGGGCAGATGTGGGTACTTGCCCCAGGAAACCCTGTCCACAGAAGCTCGATCATTTCCCCCAAGCCTCCCTGACTGGCAAATGCCCTATGTCAACACAAGGGCAGGCTACTGAGGACTCTGGGGCTTGGTGCTCCCCGGGGTCCTCCCATTATAGTGAAGCACTCTGGAAGGACAATGCCAGGGGGTGGAGGAAGCATCACTGGGCTGTACTCACCATGGCGAAACCGGAAAGGAGGGCCGACGTCCGGCTGGAGGCCTTCAGTTTGGCCCTGCTCAGGTACAGCTTCCTCCAGGACAGGGCCTGCACTGAGTGGTGGTTGGAGGTGACCAGCTCCAGGTAGCTACGGCGGACCCAGTCCCGGTAATCCATGCCCTTGTGGCCAGGCTCTGGGCGAGCAGTGGAGGGGTCTGCAGGCACGCTGAGCTCGGCGCTCATGGTGGGAGCTGGGCTGGGGTGGGAGAGACAGCTCAGGCACCTTAGGCAGTATGTGGCCCTGCGGAGCCAGATTCCAGCCCGCTTCTCCTTCCCTGGGCCCACAGAACACTGATGCCCAAAGGCGGCGTGGGTGTGGGGCCCTGGTCTCTGAGGCTGCCCCCAAACCATAAAGTGGGAACCACCTGCAGACAGGTGTATGTGTGTGGGGGGGGTCAGGCGTGCATTCCCAGACAGCACTGCAGCCAAACTGTTGTGCTGCAAAGCTGGAATCCACTCCCAGCCCATGCTCAAGGAGCCCAGCTTTGAAGCCTGGCCACAAGGCTGTGAATTCAAACTCTGGCCAAAAGCACACAGCATGTAATCTTTGGACTTGAACTGTCTTCTGGGAACCCAAAGCTGTAACATTCAGAAAAAGCCTGGATGCTGGGCTGTGGTAGCTTTGCAGTAGAGCACAGCCCTAGCATACAGGAGGCCCTGAGTTGCATCCCCAGTGGGCAGAAGGAGGGGAACCTAAACTTACCACACCTAGATTTGACTCTGCCATCTGTCTGTCTGATCTCATGCCCTCACTTTCAGAATGGGAATTTCCCACCTACAGGACACAAAATAATGCAGCCAAAGACTCAAAACTCAAAACGTCCAGGTGCCAATTACAGAACGAACGCTGCTTCCAAGTAACAGCTAGCTTCTGAAATCCAACGTAGTTTTAATTAATTAAAAAATGTTTTGTTTTTTTTTTCTAGAAGTCACCAACAGGGAAAAAAAAGTTTTTGTACTGTGAATTGAGTCCACAGCCTTCACACTGAGGTACATTCTCCAATCTCCAGTTTTTTTTCTTTTTCTCTCTTTTTTTGGTCTTTTTTGAGACAGGATCTTGCTAATGCAGTTCAGGCTGGCCTTGAACTCACTTCGTAGCCTTAAACTTGCAACAATCCTCCTGCCTCAGTCTCCCAAGTATCCAGGCTTTTTTAAATTTGAGAAAAGATCTAAGCTGTTAAATTGCCCCAGCTGGGTTTGAACTTGCAATCCTTCTGCCTCAGCCTCTCAGAATGCTGAAATTACAGAGAGGTGACACCAGGGCCACTCTAATCAATATAGTTCTCTCCTAAAATCAAATATTTGTTTTATGTAATTCAAAGTCAGTTCTACACTGTAACAGGAAAACCTTTAGCAAAATGAAAAACTAAATGCATCAACTGACATGAGTATATTTTAAGGAGCAAAGACCTTTGGAGTCCCTCGTGCTAATCATCCGGCTTGACAACATCAAGGATTAAAGGGCTGATCTCCTGAAATCTGTGAAGTGAACCCCAGATCAGCCCCCTTCAGCCGCACGCCACGAGGGATCAGCTCTAATTAATCTCCAGGATGTGCTTCAAGGGCACAGGCACCTTGCGGCCGCCCTGGCATCACACAGTCACTTCTCTGTTCAGGCCCACCAGGCCCCATGGTAAGTCTGCCAAAGCTATTTGGACCATATGGGGTGTGCAGATCCCATGGAGCGTGGCTGGGGCGGACAGGGGTGTTTACCAAGGTCAGCATCCAAGAAAGTGCCTTCCACTTGATCCATCCATGGCAATGCCGAGCATGGTCCCAAGGGGAAGGCCCTGGAGGCGGGCAAGGGCCTCTTTCCGCCTCAACTTCCTCTGTCTTCCTCCATGAGGTATAGTCACAGCTCTTACTGGGCGGCTGGCAGGATCCCTGGGGAACTGCCCGTGTGCTGTCTACCAGAGGATGCCCATTAGCAGGTCATTTACAGGAATGCCAACTTGGGCGCCCTGTCACATCTCCTCTCTTACATCTGCAGCCAGCAGCACTGCATCCAAGTGCTCCATAGCTAGTATGTCCCTTCCCTTGGGGAAGGAATTCAGAGAAATGTGCTTGCTAACCAATCTGTTGGTTCGCCTCAAATAACTACAAAATGTCATAATCTGGAACTGTACTTTCTCTTTTCCTTTCTCCCATACAAAACAGAACCGAGCCTGTGGATTGTGAAGAGGGGATCTGACCTGCGCTCTCTGAGTCCCACCCCATAGAACCTTACCACATTTGGTTCTGAGCCATGAAAGGTCAAAGAGGCAGATTCTCTGCCTGCAAGGAACTCACTGACAGCAGAAAAGCAAGGGAGTGACCCTCACCTGGCGGGCTACCATACAGGAGAAGACAGGGGGGCAGAGAAGGGCCACTTCCCCCAGCTGGGCACTGCAAAGCGCGCTGCAGGCAGTACCCAGGAGCCAGGTCAGGGGTCTCAGTCATGGGGAGTGAAGACAGGCTGACAAAGAATGCTCCCTCAAAGGCAAGATGCGTCCCAAATGTAGGGTCCCTGATGACCAGCTCCAGGAGCACTGAGGAGGTGACTCCCACCCCAGGGAGTCAGGAAGATGAGAGTACAAGACACTTCCCCGGCTGTCCCTGGCCAAGGGGCATGGAAGCAGCTAGTGGCAGGAACAGTCCAGCACTGCTGGGTCCATCTGGGCTGGGACCACCATGCACCTCAGTGAGAGGCCTGGGAGGACCTGGGGGACTGAAGGGAAAAGGCAAGTGTGGGAGGAAAGCCGGGGTGCCACCAGTGTGGGTAAGCTGGGCTCCAATCTGACAGTAAATACAGATAGGGTGCTTCAGGGTAGGCCTCCAGGAAATAGCTGGGCCACAGATGTCCCTGAGTGGGTGGGGACAGCAGGAAGGGCTGTCTGGCTGGTGCTGGGTCTTAGAACAAGCCTGCCAGGCGTGGTGGTGGTGGTGGAGGCAGCCCTAGGCTGAGTATGTCGGCTCACACTTGTAATGCCAGCACTGGGAAAGCTGAGGCAGGAGGATCACCACAGTTCAAGGCCATACTGGGCTACATAGTGAGTTCAAAGCCAGCTGAGACGATAGCACGACCGTGTCTCAAAACAAAACACAAGGCTGCTGGTCCTGAAGAGACCTCCTCCCAAGGGACCAGCTGGGACAGGACTCAAATCCACCCTCCACCCTCTAGCTAAGGCCCACCGTGTCCGGGCTAGCCTGTGCCTCAGGGATGTTACAGAGAGCCAGCCTGTGCCTCAGGGATATTGCAGAGTCCTGTCCCTGCTCAGGCTGGTGAGTTCCTGTTCAGGCTCAGCAAGGGGTGGGCTGGGGCAAGATGGAGGCCACATCTGTCAGACAGCCCTGGTTCCTGGGGATGCCCTCTCAGCCGTACCTTCTAGGGATTTTTGCTTTTATCTTTGTAAGGAGCAGAGAAAAGAGTCTTGTAGAAAAATGGTGCCCTCTCTCTCAGGATTAGGGAATCTTCCCTGACAGGCTGGTCTGAAACAGATCCAGGAGACAGGCTCTGGAGTGCGCCTGTGGTGACTTCCTCTAAATATCTGGGGCACGGGAAATGTCCGTCACAGACTGGCGTGAGGAGGGGACCTGCAACTGCCACGGGGCCTCCTAGACACGTCCACCTGCATCGCTGCGCCTTCCCGTCAAAAGACCCAGCAAGAGCAGAGCTCCGATCTGGTGGGCACCGCATCGCGCCCAGGAACCCAGGGGCTGGGAGACGCCAGGTGCCGTCCTCTCCTCCATCCACTCTATCGAAACCCGCCCAGGAGGAAGCCCTATCCCCTTCCAGTCAAGTATCCCCGATCCACCCCACCCCAATCAGTGCGGGGATCCCCCCTCCAGCTCTTCCCTACCGGCTTCTCTGCGGCTGAGGGAGGGGTGGACGCATCCGCTTGGAGCACTCACCCGAGCATTCGTTGCCGCGCAGGCTTTGGCTTGGGGCGCGGAGCAGGCGATGGTGCGGCCCTGTGGCCCAGTGGCCCGGCCGGGGCGCAGACCGCGGCCCCCTCCCTCCTTCCGCCCGGTGCGCGGGTCCCCACCTCCGGGCTCGCCTCAGCCCTGCCCCCAGCCGCTGCCAAGGCAACCCGCGCGCCGCCGTCACGTGACAGCTCCTGGGGGTGCTGCGAGCCACGTGACCCGTTGGGCCACGAAGAGCTGGGCTCCTCCCCCCCCTCAGCTCCCCAGATCCCGTTGCTTGTCGGGACCACCCAGGGCGATGCGCCTAAGATATTTGTCTGGCACGCTCTTCTTCCCGGAGCCGGAGCGCGGAAGCAGCGAGGCTGGGATGCAACGGTCCGGGTCGCTGAACCGCGAGCTGGGCTTTCTAACTCTAGGTCAGAGCAGCAAAGACCGGCATGGCCACCCCTGCTGGGCCCCCGGTGGGTGAGTGGGTTGAGTACAGAAGGAGAGCGCCGGGTGCCCGCATCCGTCCTCCGCCTGTGGAGGGTGGGCTGGGAGAGGGGTGGAGGGCAAGGCTCGGCCTGGCCACACCTATTCCCAGGCTCTGGGATCCCGGGACCTAATCCTGCACTTGGAGACGCGTACCTCAGCCGCAACTGCAGACAGCCTCTCACCCTCGCTGGTGAACTCTGCGGCTTACAACTGAGATATTCAAGCAGGAACTTTCTTTCCAGGAAGTGTACATGAATAATTCACCAAGTGACGAATGGGCTCATAGGAACCCATCGCTGCCAGACGGCCCCTCCGAGTCCTCGCTGCGTGCCCTACATAGGATTTTTCCATCTGCCAAAACGGCATTGGACCGTGACACATTTACCAAATAAGTTTATTGACAATGGGAAGGGTATAGATGTTGCAGATGCCAGGTTAACTCTGGGCTTCCAGCTGCTTTACAGAGCCCACTGCTGAGCTGAATGATGTCTTTTAATCCAAGAGGACACTTAAAACCAGACGGAACCATTTGCCCCTCCTGGAGGCAGGTTAGGCCCTAAGTAAGGACAGGCTGAGAGACCCAGGGCGACTACAGCCTCCCACTCCCAAAGATGCCTGGAGAAAAGCAAATTTCAGAAACCAAAATCCGTCGGCCCTGGTTTTCTGGCTTTGAAACCTCAAATTTGTGACAAGTAAACTTGAAAACAGGAAGAAAAGACTTTGTAAACGACAGCCGTTGCATCACAGACGGAAATCTTTCAGCGCTAGAGCTCGGTGCAGTCTCGGGAAGCCTGTCTTTGCTGACCTGCAGCAGGCTTCCAGCACCTTCCAGCACAGTGAGGTCTCCCCCAGCAGTTATCCTCATGGCCAGGTGGAAGCAAGTGCCAGCTGTAATTACCAGTGCATTCGGAACCACTTTCTGAACCAGACGGGATGGCAGGGTGTTTATACCTTATACAGACACACACATGGACATGGACACACGGAGGGAGCCGAGCCCAGTGTGCTGGTGCAGCGCGTAATCCCAGCAACTGGGGAGGCTGATTACAAATTTGAGCACAGCCTCGGGGATTTAGCAGGACTGTCTCAGATAAAAAATTAACAAATAAAAAGGGCTGGGGTACAGTGACCCTGGGTTCTACCCTAGTACTAGGGGAAAAAAAGGTTGAGGGAGGCAAAAACACCATGTTGCAAGATTTAGTAGTCACAGACTGATGTGTGGAGGTCCAGTTCAGGTGCACAGGGAGCTGAGTGGTAATTATACAGTTACCAACCCCTTTGTTTTCTGGCTGGGGTAAGTGGTGTTGACACCTTGCGCCCCTCCTCACCTCGGACCAAGACAGTGGGCTGAACTGCAACCCTGGGGTGACAAGTCAGTTCCTCTCCTAAGGTCTCAGCTATCCTGGCTTTGAAATGACCGGTTCTTTGAGGAGGTTTACACCCAGGGCCAAGCACCTGCTAGATCTGTGCATCCTATTCCCCCGTTCAGTGTGAGCTGTGGTCTCTTTCCCTCCTGTCTTCCACTTAGCACTGAGGATGACTACGGTGTCCCCTCTGTCTAGCCCTTTTTTTTTTTTTTTTTTGTCTTTTTTTGAGACGGAGTCTCACTATACAGTTTAGGCTGGCCTTGTGCTCACTTTGTAGCCCAGGTCTCGAACTCGCAACGATCGTCCCACCTCAGCCTCTCGAGTGCTGGGATTACAGGCATGAGCCACCACCCTCACCCAGCTTGTCTACCCCTTTTCATCACTCACAGCCCTTCTGAAGTCCTAAAGCAACTATGTTACTGAATTAGCTTTCCACTGACATAACAAAGTACTACAAGCTACTTGATAAAGACAAGGTTTATCTGGTTCCAGAGGAAGCAGTCTCAACAGCATGGCCCAGGCTTTGGAGAGGACCCCTGGGCTCACTGGGTCATGGTGGGAGCAGGTGACACCCTTGTGTGGTCTTTCCCTCTCCTTATGAAGCTACTAGGTTTTAATCATGGAGGAGCCACCCTAGTGACCTTAGCTAGCTGCTCCCCAGAGGCCCCACCTCTAATACTGTTAACCCGAGACTTCAGAGATTAAGCTCCAGCATGGAAGGGGGGACCCTAATGTCTATCTTCTGAGCTTCCCACCCACTCCAGCCTTCCTCTTGACCTTGCTGAGACCCATCCTTCTCCCTTCCGGCCACTCTTGTGTCTTCTCTTTAACCTGTCATCACCGGTCCCCACATCACGACAAATTTCTCAACAGAGTTGTCATTGCTTCACCTCCTCAGTCCCCTGCACTGCACGGACATTTGTGTCACTAAAAGCAGAGGCTCTTTCGGCTGTCATCCCTGTCTCTTCCTCTCAGGAAATGCCTTGATGGGGCTGGGGATTTAGCTCAGCGGCATAAGCACCTGCCTTGCAAGCAGGCAGTCGTGAGTTCGATCCCCGGTACCGATGATAAAAAAAAAAAAAAAAAAAAAAAGGAAATGCCTTGGTGACCTGCTTGTTTTCTTGCTGCCGGGGTCTGTCACCTAGATGTTCCTCAGCTCCTGCCGGGTCCTTCCTTCACTACACTCCTCCCTGGCTGGTCTCTTCTGCCCCATGGCTTCGAGAACCACATGCAGCCTGAGGACTCCCAAGTATCACCTTTAGCCTGGATCTCACCTCCTGACCTGGGTGACATTTCTGCAGCAGTTCCAAGGGCCCTTGACTTCACCATGCCCCAGCTGAACTTGTCATTTTACCCTGACACACCTGCTCCACCTTCAGGCCACCTGTCTCAGGGAATGTCACTTCATCCACCCAGGTGGGGTGACTTGATCTGGTATCGTCCTGGACTCCTTCTCTCCCACTGCAGTCCTGGGAATTCTGCCACATTTCTCAACTTTTCCCCATGTGCCTCGATTCAGGCCACTGTCACTACTGCCTGCCCTTCCCGCTTGTCCCCTTCCAGTGTGTTCTCTGTACAAATCCCTGCGCTGCTCTGTTCAGAGCACAGCTCCTGGGAGGTGGGCTTCCTGGGTCCTGCTCAGGACACTTCCTGTGAGCATCAGACACGGGCCCTGGGATCCCTGGGGCGGAGCCCTGCCAGGTGTTCCAGGAGTATCTGCTGCAGACCTTGGAAAGGGCAAAGCCACCCACGGCCCCCCTGCGCTCCCTCCAGGGTAATCTCCAAGAGTGCACTCCTGATGGAAATACTGCTGATGTGTGGTAATTGTAGCTCTCACTTTCATCAAGCAAGCCAAAGAGTAAACATAAATTAACTTCTGAAGGGGAGAAGGGGAAACACATCTGCGAAGGAAAATTTCCACAGTTCTCCTCCCATGCAGCCGTAGGGACTGGATCAAGCCATATTCCTAGGTCCAAGTCAATGCACATCACTTCTCTAACTCAATTTAACAATTTCTTTCCAAGACGTATGTTAATGGTGTGCTCCCATAATCTCAGCACTCTAGGAGGCTGACGCAGGAGTGCAAATTTAAGCACTGCCTGGGCAATTTGGCCTTTTTTTTTTTTTTTTTTTTGGTCTTTTTTGAGATGGTCTTACTATGCAATTCAGGCTGGCCTTGAGCTCATTTTGTAGCCCAGGCTGGTCTCGAACTTGGGAATGATCCTCTTGCCTCAAACTCCCAAGTGATTGCATTACAGGCATGCACCACCACACCTGGCTCCTGTTTGGGCAATTTGGCAGCTCAAAATAAAACAGGGTTGAGGATGTAACTCAGTGCAGAGGCCCTGGGTTCAATCCCCAAAGACTGAAGATGTTCAAAACAGGAAGTAAACTTAAAATAGTAACAGTACTTCATGTGCTCCAAGCCATTTTGCAAGGCGGTGGTGGAGGAGTCTCCCAGGATATCTGCCTAAAATGTGTATTCTGAGCCTAAACTATCAGATCTCTAGGGGCGTCACCCAGGAATCTGGATTTTTAAAGAGGTTCCTTCACAGGTGTATGCCTGGGATGAATCACTTTGGTGACCTCCTGCAAACTAGCTACACGCAGCTATCTGTTCTTCCTGTATAAGCAGTCTGTCAGGTTTAAAGAGTGTCCTTGTTTGGGATTTAGTTCAGTGGAATAAAGGCCTGCTGGATAAGCACAAGGTCATGAGTTCAATCCCTGGCACCAGAAAAAAAAAAAAAAAAAAAAAGTAAAAAAAAGTGCATCCTTGCCTGCTTTCTGTCCTTAGGGTTTGCTCAATTGTGAAATGGATATTTAAATGAGCACCTACTATGTCCCAAACACTGTGTGGCACTAGAATTGCAGCAAAGAACAGGACACAAGGTCCTGGGTTCTCAGGAAGCTGCTGGGACAGTGGGAGGCAGATAGTAAATGAATGATACGTGGTATGGAAGAGAAGGAAAAAGAATGACGGGTGAAGAGGTGCCTCCAAAGAGCTGGTATCTCAGCTGAGGCCAAGTAAGATGCAAAAGCAGGGTTTCTGAGGTAGGTGCGGGGATGCAGATACTCCATCAGGAGTGGGGGTGAGGGTGGCATGGGAGGTGGGAGGGGAAGTGCTAGACATTAGGGCTTTGCAGCTTGTATTTTACCCCAAGTCAGGGAAGCTGCTGGCGACCCCATACTAGCAGTGACAAGATCTGGTTTCTGTGGGAGACAATTTGAGTGACTCCTCATGAATGCAGAACAACTGCTGTGACTTTGATTAATCGAGACTTATTTCCTTATACTGCTATGTAGACCTGACCATGGTATTACTTTCTCTCTTCAACTGGCTTGAAGCATTGCAAATAAGGCTAGCCAGGTACTGGTACTTAATCTCTAAAGCCATCAGACAGTCCGCTGTTTCTTCGCACAGTACACTCTAAAATAATGAGCACAGCAGGATGGTAGCGGGATGACAGAGCCAGTCAGCTCCAGGAACATCAACTGAGTGTGAGCCTGGAGATAGAGGCTACAACTCCCCAGGGCACAAAAATTTACATACCAGAAACTGAAGCAACAGCCTCCAAAAACAATTCAGTTGTTACTTCAATTGAATTATGCAAATTGATCCTTCTCCATATGCTTATCTCTGCATTTTGCAGAGATGCTTTTCTCACTACCTGGCTGACTGGCTCAAGTCACTCACATAGTTCTCGCCATCCTGTCACTCATCCTGAAGCCACCCCCCTTTTCATAAGATAATACATTCTTGGAGAGCCCTAGAATCAGGGCTTTTGTCCTCACATCCTCACGGGAACTGGATTTAGGACCCCTCAGCTGCCCTTAACTTGGAATATGTCTCAGTGTTCTTACTCTTGCCGTGGGTTACACTGAGGTGGTAGATTGGAATTAATTTGCAGGATTCCAATATTGTCTCGATGGGGTTATAAGTATAACTTTTTGGATTCTGAGGAAGACTGGAAAAAGGATTACACCACTTGGATGGCTGTTCTCAATATCTGGGATTACAACAGCTTCCATCTGTGAAGTATCTCCTGACTGCTACATGGAGAACAGGGGTTAACAGAAGAAGAGGTGTCATCCACCAGGCTACGGAAGCTGGTGGTGTAGACTGTGGGGACAGGATGGGCATCTCGAGTGCAAGGTCCAGGCCTTGGTTAAATGGAGGTCTATGGGGAGACTAAGAAAAACAGAAATTGAAGGCGATATAGTCACTAAGGTGGGAAGATCAAGGGGAGGTGCTGGGGTTCAAGTTCCCTTTTCTTATACTATGTTCAAGGTGTCTGTCAGACACCCAGGGGTGGCAGTCAAGCAGCTGATAGGACCTCGGTGTGCGGAGCTCCAGGGTAGACAAACCTCAGACAAACGCAGAAGGTACCAGTGAGGACAGCACTCAAGCTCATCACCCCCACACTTAAGGGCTGAATGGGCCAGGAGGGATACTGGGAATGCTACCCGGGAAAGGCTGCTATGTCACCCAGGGGCTGGCTTGGCAAGGAAGAGCCCAGTGGTGATAGGTGGGGAGAGGATGCTGGAATGGCCTGGGGGCAGGAGGACAAGGAGCTAGGTCTATGGTAACGGGAAATCCCAGGGCTTGTCTATGGGCCATGGGAGAACCATGGAACCGGACCTTGGGGGAACCAGTGAGACCATCCACACTGTACCAGGCTGGAGATGAGGCACCCAGCTGGCTCAGGCCCAAGGCTCTGCTTTCTCCAGCCTGAGACAGTGAGGCCCATGGAAGGGAGAGGTCTGAGGGGAAGAGGACGTACTTCCTTCTGGGAAGCAGCAGGCTGGGGGGGGGCAGGCAGGGGGTACAGTGTGACATCTGTGGGCCCCATCCCACATGGGATGAGCAGCACAGTGGCCAGTTCTCCAGGTGAGACAGTGTAAGCTTCACGGCAAGGGGCTGGGCTCAGTTCCCTGCTTTGGGAAATGCTTCTCTGTGCTTCAGGCTGCTCATGCACGCTCACCCCATCCGCACAAAGCCACACCTCATTATCCACAGAAGCTGTGCTCTGTGAAGCCACCAGACACTACATCAACTCAGCCTGAACCTTGCTCCTCAGGGAAACAGGACTGAGTTCCCGCCTGCCTCTGACCACATTTCTAACAGCTGAGGCTGCACGGCCTTGTCTCGTATTTCTGTTTGAGGGCAACTTACTCACTTCTTACTGCTGATTCATCAACGGCGGACTCACAGCCAAAAGGACTGCAACAGACATCCTCCGCGGCGTGGGCACACGCCGGGCCTTCCTAAGGAATTGTAGAGGCGCTTCAGCACTGTGCTTGGGGGATACACTGACAGTCACCAAAGCGAGGAACGCAGAGAATCTGCCGCCTTGAGGACACTGTGCACTATGAGCTGATACAGGCAAGCCTTGCCTTATTCGACCTCAGGTGAGGCCATGTATCGCTAGGCAACGCAAACCTTCCACACAGCTGTCTGGAAACAGCTGTGAAAGCAAGGGGAGTACGGACTCTGGGGCCACAAATGAATCTAAGTGAACAAATTCACAAATATGGGATCCAGGAATAAAGAAAAATTTGTTTTTCTTAGGACAAGGAGCTTTACAGTGCACTGCACTATATTATTGTACACACGCAGCCACGCTCCAGATGGCCCACACGTTCCTGTCTACTTGAGCCACCAGGGGTATGAGCAGTTTGTACCACTGCTGGTAAAAATAGATCTAATCAGGGGCTGGGGATTTAGCTCAGCGGCATAAGCACCTGCCTCGCAAGCAGGCAGTCGTGAGTTTGATCCCTGGTACCGATAAAAAGGAAAAAGACACACAAAAAAAGATCTAATCATGTTTATCAGTGTTTTTACTAATAATAGTACAAACTGCTTGGAGGGGCAGCCATGCACACACCATCATGAACCTGTGAAAGGAGGGTCTTGAAGCCCACAGCCCTGGTAGAAACCCCAGGGGGCTCCTTCCGGCCAAGCCTCTCCCCAGGACAGCCTATCTGTACGACGGTCTCTAGAGTCATTCTGGCTAGGTTCAGATACCAGCTCTATCACTTACTTGCTGGGAGATGAATGCACAAAAAATGTTCTATCATAGACGGCTCAGCCTGAGATGGGGCGTTACATAGTGCTCAGTACAGGAGTTAGCAATGAGTGGATGGAGGCCTACCTTGTTGGTAAAGCAGAATCCTTACAGGCGCCTTCTCCCCTCCAGGCACTGACTAGGCTGACCTGCTTAGCTTCTGAGCTCAGGTAAGACGGTCTGGCTGCAGAGTTGTGAGGTTTTATGAAGGGAGAACATGTCACTGCACTCCTGTATTCCCTTCCAGGCTGGTCTCCACCCACAAGCCATCAACCAGGGCATCACTTCATGAGTCTCCCCTAATTGTAGCTTTGTGTGTGTGGGTGCACCATAATCTTACCTACTCCCTTCTCAATGATGACATCTGCCTGCTTTTCCCCAGTGCTAGCTACCCTGGAGACTGGGAATTATTATAGCATTAGAAGAATTAATGAGCCCCAGCAATGGCCAGAAACTGCTGCTGCGCGGTTCCCGCCCCACCTCAACAGCTACTTGCCTAGCGCCCGCCATATGTCTGCTTAGTGTCTCTCTCTCCGTGTGGCCAGGGGCAGGGAGGGACTCGCTCCAGTTCTCACTTACCAAGGCAAAGTCAGACCTCAAATCCAGGTCTTTGGGCTCTGAGCTGGGCACCCTCAGTGGCTTCCAAGAAAGAGGAGGCTGACCAGGTCCCAACTGACACACATTTGGGGGCGAGGGAACAGAAGTAAGAAAACAAAAGAGTCCAGAGACAGGAGAACTAGAACAAGTCACAAATAACCAGCCAGTCCCCGACACAAGAAAAATACAAATTTCAAAATGTACAACCAGGGCGTGTGTTAATTTATTAGGGCTGCCGCTTCATTTTGGCTTCCTGAGAAAGAAAAGCTCCTGTGACTCAACCTACCAAAGGGACAGATGTTAGCACAGATATCATGGGGCTCAGAGCGGGCCAGGGAAATCTATGCTACAGAAGTAAAAGAAAACGTTCCTGTGTTTCCCATCATTCAAAACAACTACTTCCTCAATGCCATCCCAGCCCATAAAAGGCTCACACAATACACTTAGGAGCTGGAGATAATCCAAAAACAGAGCAAAGGCTTTAATGTGAAACCAACTCTGTCAACCCTGTTCACCTGAAGGCAGTGAGGACAAAGCTGTCCTGTCACCTGGCAAGCGCTTTGGCTCCCTGCAGTGTCCGGCACTCTGGAGGTGCCTTTCTGTGCTAGCCAGGATACACATGTGGGTCTGGACATGGCTGGCTGCTTCTCTGCCCCCAGCACCCAGAGAGAAGTCCCCAGGAGTTTCCCCAACTGCCAAGTGTCGTCATGGGGCTGGGGATTTAGCTCAGTGGCATAAGCACCTGCCTTGTAAGCAGGTAGTCGTGAGTTTGATCCCCGGTACCAATTAAAAGAAAAAAAGCCAAGTGTGGTCACTTCAGGCCCCCATCTGTTTAGATCCCCTTTGGCTTCTGGATGAAAACGCAGCTTTTGAGATACCCCTCCCCCTCCGGTACGGCTAGGACCCCTGTGGGCTTCCATTGGTTCAACCGGGTCTGGATTCTTTCCCTGCTTATTTCTCTGGCCATCCAGCTTCCCTAGAAGCTCTTTCCATACAGCAGGCCCCTGGCTCAGCCCTCTGCTGCAGCAGGGGCTGTGCTCCCCACGGGAAGCCAGTGATGCCCACACCTGAGTCAGCCTGGCGCCCAGGCTGCATCGCTGCCTGAGTCTGGAAGCAGGTCCACGTCACAGGACCTGTTCAGTCTTGAGGCCTCTCTACAGCTTTGGTGATTAAGGTTTCACATGTCTGAACAAAGCCTAGAGGTTTTTTGTTCTTTACTGTAGAAATGTTCTCTCCCAAAAGCCTGCCCCAAACTCCTCACGGTTTGAATATGAGAACAGGCGCCAGCCACTGGTGAGGCCCTTTCCCCTTCTAGCAGGAACATGGCGGGATGCCGTGAGGCAGTGTCCAGAGCAGCCCCCTGACCACAGGGTCCCAGTCCCCCCAATAGGCAGGCAATGAGCACTGCGGCTTCCATGTGCTCCCTAAGCATCAAGTCCATGCAGACCGAGGTAGGTGCTGCCCCTGCTGGGTGCACTGAGGGTCTCCTAAGGCTCGTGACAGGCGCCGTGCAACCTCATCGCCCCATGATGAAGCTGGGGTTGTCTTCCTCCTCCTCTTCTGTTCCAGACGTCTCCTCAGAGCTACTGGCTGGCTGCTCCTGGGACTGACTGGCTCCTGTAACCACACAATGCTGGATTACAGACCTAGAAAGTCTGCCCGGGGAGTGAAGGGGCACCTCTCCCAGATAGCACAGCCTGGGGCTCTGAGGTGATCCTCCTGGTCCTCCAGGGTGCTCAGCACGACCTTGAGCTTGCCAGGTAATTACTTATGCCACTGAGCTACATCACTGGCCTGGGACCTTACAGTGTTAGGGATAAAACAGTACAACTATAATTATGGTATTAACATAAATAAAGATTACACATGAAAAAGCGAAGTTACAGAAATGATGTTAAAATGTTACACTTATTTTACCTAATGAATACAGGCAGCAATTTTGACTTTATTTTCTGCATATTCAAAAATTTTTTTAAATTTTAAACTATCTTTTCTCTCAAAAGACAAAAAGGAGGGCTGGGGGCACAGCTGTAGACCGTGAGTGTTTAACATGCACAGCCCTGAATCCCATCCCCAGCACCATGAGAAAAAAAAAAGAGGGGGAGACAGGCAAAGAAAATAATAAGATGAACACCCCAATAAGCTGCTTTGTGTCAAGTCCTGACTGGAAAGAGTTAAATCCCTGCTGGAGGAAGCAATTCTGCGAAGCCAGAGCTGAGAGCCAGAAGAGCAGCTCCAGGCACCTGGCTATGAGTTGCCAGCCCCTCTGCGCAGTTCAGCAAAGGAAAGAGGAGGGGCGGGGCTACACAACAGAAAACTCTCTCACTCTATAAAGTCTACACCCACATCCGGACAGGCATACACACATGTGATTTTCTACACTTGACAGAGTCTGACAGGACAATAAAAACCAAATAAAACCTATTTAAGAGTTTGCATGTAGACAGTGATGGCCAAATTAAAGGCCCTGGGGCCTACAACAGCCAATCAGGTTGTGACAAGTTGTGGGGTTGGGGCTGGGGTATGTGCCTGCCACAGTAATAGAGCTGAAAGCAAAGGCCCTTGGAATTTTGGGCTCTGGACCCTCTCTCTACTCCTCTCTCCTAGGGTGGCTTTCTTTCCTCTCCTCTCCTGCAAATATTTTTGTTTTCCCTCTTTTAAAAAAAAAATTAATCTCTAATTTTTTATTGATATGAAGTTTATGACCTTGCTGAGATGCGTAGACAGACCAGCACCCTCCGACTGTAACAGCAGCTTTCAAATTTAGCTTTGTACCTAACAGTGCAACTTAAAACCCGAGGAGAGTGCTTCTAAATCCTTATTTCTCAGGTGGTGGGAATTCTGTCCTGTCTGTCCCAGTAATCTTGAAGGCATCTTTGACAGCAATGCCTGGGGGAAAGATGGGTGCTGCATCTAGTGGGCAGAGGCCAGGGTGCTGTTAAAAACAGGGCGCAGCCCCTCCCAACAAACATTCCAGCAAAATGGACAAGGCTGAAAAACAGTACAGGAGCACCTAGCAACAAATCACCTCAGGGCCACCCTGGCTTTCTGTGGCGGGCAGGTCTGCTAGCATAACTAAGACTCATGTAAAATATATCACTTTGTAAGTTCCAGGTTTCAGAATAATCCAAATTGGCTTCATGCCATCATCTAGATGTGAGTTCCACAGTCACTGGATCAGCACAGAGACCAAGCAGTGACACTGCCTCTCCAATGACACAGCAGAACAGAACACAACTGCTGGCCGGCGGCCCCTCACTGCTTTTTAGAACAGGAAAGAGAGTGATTGGAGCTCCCCCTACTCCCCCAGTGGTGCACCAGGGCTACTCTGTGGTGCAACTAAGACATTAATTCCTATTCATTCAGTGGGAGAACCAGAAGTCATGTTACTCTCTCACAAGAAGAAAAATAAGGAAAAAAATGAAAGCGAAAAATAAGGAAAAAAATACACGCCAGTTTTATGACAGTTACTGCTGTAACACTCCTATTTACCTGGTACAAACTGCTGCCTTTGCAGCTGAGTAGGGCTCACAAACCAGACCAAAGATCTGCACACTGGTCTGACTGTAGCCCAGAGTCCACGCAGAAACCGAGAGAAAATTTCAGAAAACGGTATTTATTCAATGTGATGCACTGTGATATTTTTCAGCCTACTTTATCCCTATTTTTACAAAGATAGCTACAAACTGAATTCCTGCCTTAGTGATGAGAAAGGCTCATAATCCCCATTTTGAAAGCCACAGCGCTCCATGGTACAGTACCACAGTGGGATGTCCATAGACATCTTTCTTTCTGCCCAAATTGTGAAGCACAAGGCAGGGGAGAGGCAAGGCTGTTTTAAACAAGGTGGAGGCCTTGAAGGAGGTGTACTCAAAAGTACTAGTATGATCCTGAACATTCTTTATAGCTCTGGACAAATTAAGGAAGGGTAACGAGAAGCTGGGCCCGATTTCATATGCTTGCAATTCAGCACTTTGGGAGGTGAGCAGGAAGATCACAAATTCAACTTAATGACTTAGTGAGATCTTGTTGCAAAAACAACTAGGGCTGCAGCTTAGTGTGAAGGCATTGTTTCAATTCCCAGCACTACAAAATGGGGGGTGGGGGCTGGCTACTAAAAGCTGCAGGATAATCAAAGGGTTAGGAAAGGAGCTTTAAGGAACTTTAGCACACTGGGCACAGTGGTACACATCTATAATCCCAGCATATCGGACGCTGAGGCAGGAGGATCACTGTGAGTTGGAGGCCAGCCTGGGATACAAAGTCAGCTCAAGACCAGCTCAAAATGCAAAGTGAAACTCTGTCTCAAAGAGACAAAAAAAAAAGTTACTAATTGTGAAATTCTTCAACCATGACATATCTTTTTTTTGTCGGTATTGAACTCACGACCGCTGACCGCCTGCTTGCAAGGCAGGTGCTTATGCTGCTGAGCTAAATCCCCAGCCCCAACTATGACATATCTTAACGATAAAATGGAAGCCCAGAAAACCAGAAAATGTGAGATCATAGAACAGGAGAAGATGGGAAGAGACATCAGGCTGTCTTCTGGGCTCCTGCTGAGTCCCATAAGCTGGGACGCGGCAACCCTTATCTCAGCTGCATAAGCACCAAGCCAAAAAACACTCAGAAGGAAACGGAAAGAACTATGTTCAGATTGGCCACTGAGTGGCACACATGGGACACAAGTGTGTGGATGGAAGCCCAACCCACAAAAGGAGGTTAGAACTCATGTTTGGACATAATCAAACTGACTGTCACTAGGTGAATATCAATAAGGCCTAGAGAACTGTGGTGCTACCAACAGTCAGAGTCTACGTTACAGGAAAAAAATACCCAGCTCATAAAAAAAAATCAGGAAAATCTGGGGACTGGGGGTTTAGCTCAGCAGCATAAGCACTTACCTTGCAAGTGTGCAGTCGTGAGTTCCATCCCTGGTACCGATAAAAATGAAACAGATTAAAAAAAAACCAGGAAAATCAACTTACATGGGAAAAGCAAATCAACAAAGGCCAATGCTGAGATTGCCCAGAAGCTGGAATGAGCAAACACTTTACAAGCATCTATTTTAAAAAATGTGCAGGAGGGTAGACACTGTTGAGTGAAATGGAAGGCAGAAGACAGAAACTGTAGCAAAGACGGCATATGAGGAGGTGGAGGTCGGGGCAGGCAATTTAGAGACCCTGTCTCAAAGGTCCAAAGGCTGGGGATGCAGCTCAGTGTGAAGGGTCTGGGTTCATCGTCCACTACTACGAGGGGGGTGGGTGGGGAAAGGGGAAAGAATTGAAAGGAAATTTTAGGACTTTTCAAAAGAACACGAAAATTGAAATAAATCAGAAAAAATTATCAAATTTGATAACAGACATGCCTCCAAATTCATGCATAAACATCACACTCAAACTTCTAAAATCTAAATATAGCTCCCCCATCTACAGTCTGTGGCTGCTTGAAAGCTGGCACAGTATCAAGGCTTACACATGCAGACTGTGTGCTATTATACACACACCTACCATACCAGAAATTAGGCACGTGACGAGATTAATAGCAACTAATAATAAAGTATAACAATTATATTATAATCAAAGTTATGTAAAACTTATGATATTGCTGGAGTTTTCCATTTAATACTTTCAGACAGTGAGTAAATAAAAGCACAAAAAGCAAAGTTTTCAAGTTCCAGGTAAGGGGAACTTCATTACTGCACTAAAAAAATCTCCAGCAAAACAAAGCAATGACACAACAATTCAAATGACCACCTATTTACTATCCGACACCACGGGCGCAGAAGACCGTATCCACAGTGCTGATGGACACACCAGCCAGAATCCCAGGTCCTGTGACAAAGGTCAACAGACAGGAAGGGAAGAGGATGCTGACCTGTTCTGAGTGAACAGAGAAGGATGTTCAGAAATGAGTGAACGTCAGGAAGGAGGGGAGAGGAACAGGAACAGTATGAGTCTGGTTAATGTTTGAAACTGTCCTCTGGAGGTCTTTACAAACATGTGACATTTGACGATAAGCAGAGTCAGGGTGGTGGCCTGCACCTGTAACCCTAGTATTCAGGAGGCTGAGGCAGGAGGCTCAGGAGTTCAAGGCCAGACTAAACTACATAGCAAGACTCTGTCAAAAACAAGCAAAACAGTTCCCCTCTTCCCTCCAAAAGAAAAGAATCACAAAAGGAAAATAAGCTGAACCCCTAATGAAGTTTTCAAGGTCCGAAGGTATTCATTTGTAAGACAAGTAAAAGGTCCTGTGTGGGGGAAGTCTCAACTTCCATTTTGGTTGATGCAGACCAGAAGCAGACTGCAAAGGCAGTAAACAGACAGCAATCCCAGAGCAACTGCTTAAGTGCTACAAAAGGGGATTAAAGAATTAAAGACACAACTGACAAATCTAAACAGGATAAAAAAATGTTCAAATGAAAGCCAGGTATGGTGTTTGCCCACCTGTAATCCCAGCACTTGGGAGGCTGAGATAGGAGGATTAGCACGAGTTTGAGGCCAGCCTGGGGTACACAGTGAGTCCAAAGCTAGCCTCAATTATACAGCAAGACCCTGTCTCAAAACAAAACAGTTCAAATTATTCAAAAAAAGACATAAAGGGAGAAACAAAAAACAGAGACAACAATAAGCAAAATGGTGAACCTAAATCCAAGCATACTAATAAAAAGTTTGACAGACCAGATTAAAAAAAAAATCAGTACAGGTTGTGCTCATGGTAGGGGCTTGCTGAGCAGAGGCAAGCCCCTGGCTACCATTCTGGCAGGGCAGAAACCAAAGCCCCCAGTATTTACAGGTCATGTCCTTCAAACACAACTAAAGTCAAGAGAGATGGAAACACTTCCAGAACTGCAGTCGTACCTCTATATCCCAGAGAAGAACTCTAGAAAAGTAACAAGAACGCTAGCAAAGACTACAAAAATCACACTTCTTCAGAACAGTGAACAGCTCCCTGGGCTGTCTGAGAAAAACACCTGGATCCCTAAAGTAAGAATTCTGAGGTGCTCCAATGCGCCTTATTCCTCTTCCCCTCTCAACCCAGCAGCTGTGAAAATCAGCAGCCAAGAGGGGCAAGCAGCCTGGGAGTCGCATCCCTATAGGGTCTGTCTGGCTCCTTGGAAAGTTCTCGCAGCTGATCTGATTGGGAGCACAAGGAGTGAACAGCAGCTTCCCCCAGGGTACTTGTCAACTGCAATCCACGGCAACAGATTACTATGGCAGGCCTAGAGGCCTCCGGAGCCCACGCGACCTAATGAACTGAGGAGGAAAAGCTGGGACCTCGTGTAATGCTATGCACATGCCCAGGAAGCCCTGCAAAGGCCCCAGTCTCTCACCTCTGCTGCCCTAAGCTCCGTGCAAGCAGGAAGTGAAGGTTGAGCAAACTGCATTTGGCTTGCCAGGGTAGGTGCCTGGCAGCATCAACAGTAAATGCCAAATGGGGAGGGTCACGTGACCCAAAGCTCAGAGACCTATTTTTATAATACGGGCGTCCAAACTATAGTATCCCATAGGCCGGGAGTGATGGCGCATGCCTGTAATTTCAGCTGAGGAGGCTGAGGAAGGAGGATTGCTGTGAGTTTGAGGTCAGCCTGGGCTACAGTGAGTCTAGGGCTACCCTGAACTACACAGCAAGACCCTGTCTCAAAAAAACAAAAACAGAAACAAATTAAAGAATCCCCTCAACAGAACCTCTCTCTTACTTTTATGCCAATTCCACATGCGGATCAAAGATGACCAAGTGGTCTACTTGAGGGATGAGGTCCTAACAGATACATTTTAGCAGTTTCAAATAATTTACTCTAGGAGAGAGTGAGGGATGCCCTAAAACCATCCAGTGTGTCACCTAGTGATGCACAACTCTTGAGGGAGTTGGTTCTAGGAGAGGCCAGAATTTCAATAACCTGTGAAAGTCTGGTTTTATCCTGAGCTCAAAACCACAATCTCATACCTAGGAGCCAGCTGGGTCAACCAGGACAGCCACCAACTCAGTCCTGAGGCAGACAGCTGCCTTTTTTTTTTTTTTTTGGTACCGGGGACTGAACTCATGACTTTTGTGCTTGCCAGGTTTGCCTTATGCTGCTGAGCTAAATCCCCAACCCCAGCTGGCATGTTTTGGTCTCAGAATGCTTGGCACTTTCTGGCTTTTTCTTGGCCATTGGGGACCCTGGATGGCAACCCAGCCTCATGACAAGTTTGGAGGTACAGGATTAGGAACACCATGCAATGCTGAGCCAATCTCCAACCCTCATTCCTCCTCATCAAGAGACACTCTTCTGGTCAGGGGCAGCAATCTACCAGCTCCCAGCGAGGGACTACACTGTTTCAGGTAATCATGACAATTCTATTTTCTGTTCTTCTAACCTGATTGCAGGTGGGCATGGCCAAGTGACCTAGTATGTAAGGTTACATCTACTGCACACTTCTGGGGAAACTTTTGCTCTCCAGTTTAAAAAAAAAAAAAAAAAAAATACAAGAGAGGAGGCAGGTACCTATAATCTCAGCACTCTTGGAGGCTGAGACAGGAAGATAGCAAGTTCCAGCCCATCTTGGGCAACTTAGTGAGACCCTGTTTCAAAATAAAGTTAAAAATACCACCTCTTGCCCCTTCCTCCTGCTTTGAACATGGGAATGATGGCAGGAGCTGTGGCAGCCATCACACACTCTGAAAGTAACAGCCAAGAAAACTGCAGAGACAGAGGGCTCAGTGCTGCTGAGATGCTACACCCAGTGGGCTTCCACCTACTACCAGGCTTCTCGTCATGTAAAAGAAGCAAACTCTTTTAAGCACTGTGAGCTGACTTTCTTGGCAGATATATTCTTAACTGACTTGGCAAGTAACTCAATCAAAACCAGGAGACACAGTGAGACTTCTACTAGGACTGCTGAGATAGGTCCTGAACCTTTCCCCTGCTGAAGAGTGAAGCAGGGTGCAGTGTGGGGAGCAGCTGCAGGCGCCTCCCAACCTAAGGCCCATGAGAGGCCAGGAAGTGGGGGATGCATAAACACTGCAGCAGTGACAGCCCTGCCAGGAAGCAGCCAGAAAGAGCCAGCCTGGACTCAACGAACACCAGCAGCTTTTTTTTTCCTGCTGAAGCCAGCTTGGCTTTCTGACGCTCGCAACTAAACCAGAACCGGTACAAAAGCTGTCTTTTCCTCAATGGCAGTCACCCGCCCCACACTACGGCCACAGGATGCTGGACAGTATGAGAAAGGCCACTTGCCTTCCTTCTGTTTCTTCTGTTCAAGTTTCATCTTCTTTGCCAGCAGTTTCTTCTCTTTTAACTTCTGGCTACAAAGGTAAAAACATATATACTGATTGGTTCCTGAAATATCTTGTTGCATGATTTAGAAAAGAAACACCTACTATTTAAATACTTTACACTAAGCTGGAGCAGGTGGGGCATGCCTGTTAATTCAGCTGAGAGGCCAAAGCAGGAAAAGGACAAAACGAGGGCAGCCTGGGCAGCTTAGCAAGGCTTCACCTCAGAATGCAAATAAAAAAGGGCAGAGCAGGGCATGGTCATGTACACCTGTAACTTCAGCACTCAGGAAGCTGAGACAGGCAGATCGCCATGAATTGGAGGCAAGCCTGGTTTATATAGGGAGTGCAAGGCCAGCCTCAACCACATAGCAAGTATTTGACTCCAAAGATAAAATAAAATAAAAAGGCTGGGAACCAGATGACAGTGCAGGCCTCCAGTACCAGCAATCTGGAAGGCTAAAGCAGGAGAGTGTAAACTCAAGCCCAGCCTGTACAATTTAGCGAGCCCTATCTCAAAAAAGGTGTGAGGTTGTGGCTCAGTGCAAAGCCCCAGGGTTCACTGCCCAGTACCACTAAAAAACAAACACTAGAACATTGGAGATGTAATTTAGGGCTCTGGGCTCTATCCCTAATACCATAAAAGCAAACAAAAAAATCTTTATACTATCACAAATACTAAAATTAAAGAAATACTTTCTCAAAATTCTGCTATTCCAACATTACCAAGCTGTTTTCACTATGACTCAAAATCAAATTCTGGGGAGTCCTGAGATAATTAAAGCAACTCCCAAAATATTACAGATATATTCACTCATATTCATTCTCTTTCTCTCTCTTTTTCCTTTGTGGTATTTGGGATTCAATCCAAAGCCTTCACCCTGAACTACATCCCAGGCCTTTTATCTTGAGGCTGGGTTTCACTGAGTCATTAAGTTGCCCAGGTTGGGTTTGAAGTTGTGATCCTCCTGCCTCAGCCTCCCAGAGTACTGAGAGGTGTACTCCCCCTCCACTTTTTCATCCCACAATATGTAGAGACTGTTTTTGGAATCCTGCTCAGCTCTCTGTAAGTTGAGCAACTATTTGTTTAAAACACACACACACACACACACACACACACAAATACATACATGTATGTGTGTGTACATATGCAGAGCCTGTGTAGGCATGTAGCAATTTGGGGAGGTGACAGATTCTTATTTAAGAGATCCATTAAATGGGATGTTCAGCTACAGCACTTACTGCAGAAAGGCAGATGTGAAGGACACAAATCCTCACTGCTGGGCTCTGAGGAGTCTATATAGCAAGCTGTGGGAGAAAAGACTCGCTTCCCCCTGGTACAGAAAGCAAAGTCACCCTCCGGCTGAGGATATTTTCACATCCGTGACCTCTGCAGGTCACTGCGGACTTCTGACTGCAATGACTCTCCTCACTCATTAATGCTCACTTTCAGGCTGGGGCTGCAGCTCAGTGGTAGAAGGCCTGCCTCGCATGGAGGTTCAGTGCCCAGCACCCCTGGAACAAAACCAACAAAAAGCCCCAACAACCACCCCAGTGACACTTCCTGCCAGTTCGCTTCTGCTAAGTAAGAGCTGCCACAGTGCTCCTACCGCTTTTTCCGACGCTTTGCAGTCTGCTCCTCTGCAGCAAGTTTATTTTTTTCCAGTCTCTTCTGAAACTCTGCATCCAATTTTTGCTGCAAAAATTGTACGTGTAAATACAAATGTTATATATATACACATATACATATGCATAACAACTACACACAGAAAAACAAAACATATCCCTTAGACCTATACTCCACACTAGCACTCTGCTGGCTGTTCCGCCTGGGCAGGGTGGGAGAGTTCTATAGGCCTCACCACTTGGGGGACGTCAGGCACCAGGCAGGTCCCCAGGGCCGCTTTATTTTAAAAGCTTCTCCCCTAGGCAGGACAGGTAATCAATACATCGCTCTCTGATGGTGACATAACTCAGACCACTGCCATACACACAACAAAATCTGCAGGAGGAAACAAACCCAGAGGGAGCACATGGAGGCCTCCTGCAGGGCAGAGGCAGTACTGGCTGACCTGCGTTCACACAGGATGCCAGAGGACCATAGTGGGGAATGTTCAAGTCCTCACCCTTGCTGTAGCCACCAAGGGCATGGTTTTAAAGCAGCCTAACCCATGCACCTGCTGCTAAACACCAACACTTGTGCACCTGTGTGTACTGTATTATTTCCTGGCAGTTGATTCTAAGCCTCAGCTGCTCATCTCTAAGTATACAAGTCTAATGTATAAGCCAAAAGTTTTACTCACTCTAGAAAATTCCCTCATACCTTTACCCAATCAGCCCCTGATCCTGCTCTGAGATACAGTTTTAATTTCTTCTCGCAGAGAAAGGCTGTTCCTGTTCTAGAATTTCACATAAATTGCATCATATAGTATGGTCTCTTTTGGGTCAGGCTTCTTTCACTCAGCATGGATTTTTTTTTTCCTGGTACTGGGATCAAACTCATGACCTTGCACTTGCCAGGCAGGTGCTTACGCCACTGAGCTAAATCCCCAGCCCAGATTTTTTTTTTGGAGACACAGTCTTACTAAGTTTCCATCTTGGGCTCAAACTTGCAATCCTTGTACTTGGCCTTCTATAGTGCTGGGTTTACAGGCGTGCACCACACATCCGGCTCACTCAGCAGGTTTAAAAAAAAAACATGTGGCTGGACACAGAGGCACATGCCTGTAATCCCAGCACTATGGGAGACTGAGTGCAACTGAATGCAACTCTGAGTCCTACCTGGACAACTCAGCAAGACCCTGTCTCAAATTTTTAAAAAATGAATCATTCAAGTTGTTGCATTTATCTGCAGTTTGTCCCTTCTTATTGCAACACAGTCGCTCTGAAATGTGCCCCAAAGGCCCATGTGCTAAAGGCTGTGACGTCACTAGGAGGCGGTAAAACCTGTAGCTGACAAGAGTCCAGTGGAAGAAAGGTGAATCACTTGTGACACTGAGCTATGGGCCTTTCTTTCTCTCTCTCTCTCTCTGCTTCACAGCCACCGTGAAGTGAGCAGCATCCTCGCCTCATGTCCTGCCATGGTAAAGATGCCATGACAGGCCCAAACTGTCAGGGACAGACACACTGAAACTGTGAGCCAAAATCAAACTTTCCTTCTTATAAGCTAAGTGTCTGAGGTATTTTGCACAGCAATGGGAACCTGACACAGTGGTAATTTATTTTATATTTATTAATTTATTTTATTAATTAATGCTGTTTGATTTTTAAAGTATTTTATTGGTTACATAAAAATTCTCTAGAAGAAAGCCAGATGTGCTGGTGCACTCCTTAATCCCAGCACTTGGGAGGCTGAGGCAAGAGGATCACTGCAAGTTCCAGATCAGCCTAGGCTATAAAGTGAGCCAAAGGCCAGCCTGAACTGCATAGTGAGACCCTGTCTCAAAAGACAAAAAAAAAAGTCTCTAGAGTCTGATTTTAAGACAACGTAACTTTTTCCCCTACTGGTAGCAGAGATCACACTCATGACCCCACGCTTAACGGGCAAGGGCTTGAGCCACTGAGCAAAATCTCCAGCCCTAGAGTTTGATTTTAATAACTTATTGGAAAGTCAAATGCTATTGGGTAAAGTGGCTTTCCTTCTCATAAATAGCAGACAAATACAAATTTGAAAGTATCTGTGCCGAAAGAAAGAAAGAAAAAAAGAATGTCTCTCTGAGTCTCCTTAAGATGCACAAATGTATTCCATGAAATTACTAGGTATAATGCCTATGCTGTGGAAAAGAATTGTTTTTTTTTAGTATATGTGCTGCGAGCACAAATTTTTTTAAAAAGGCCAGCCTGAACTACACAGTGAGACCCTGTCTCAAAACAAAACAGCCAAGAATTCTTCAAAAACTAGAAAAAAAACAAAACAAAAAAACTCCTAAAATGCCCAAAGGACCTAGTTCTGTAGAAGACATTAAAGCATGAACACAAGCAAGTACAGAAAAAGACCAACAGCAAGGGCTTGTGGCACAGGTCTGTAATCCCAGCACTGGGGAAGCTGAGGCTGAGAGTAAATGAAGGACAAATACAGTCCACACTGAGTATCATCAACAATCGACACCGAAGTCTGGTCGGCTCAATCTCATTTCCTGATGTGCCACTCACAGCCCGCTTTCAGGCTGGAAGCAGTCTCTCTGACTGCTGGGATTGAGTGAATCTTACATGTTGTTGTTACTTGTGCATATGCTTGTCTCTTGACAATGTTTTAATTACTCAATATCTCTTTAACTGCTCAATAAATACTTGAATGAATGAAAAGAATACATAGGAACACTATACAAATGTCAATATATTTTTTGATTCCCATTCATAGTCAATTAAAATATACAGAATCAGCCAGCACCACCGAAATCACAGAATCAGCCAGCACCACCGAAATAAAAAACCGCTTTTACATATGTGGTGAAAGACATGCAAAATTTCTACAAATCATCAAGATATAAAAAAAGACCTAACCAAGTGGAAACAAACAAACAAACCAAAAAACCCCACAAAATTTCTTAATGAGCTGATTAAACACAACATTCATTCTCATCCAAGTTACAGATTCAATGCAATTTTAGTCCTCTTCAAGAAACAAGATCTTAGCAGGGAGCAAATAACTCAAACTTCAGTTATAAAAGAAGTCAAATGCCCCAAGGGGCTGCTCGTTGTGGCGCCTCCTCTCTGCTCTTACCAGGTGCATATGATGGAATCTACCGCTTTGTTTTAATTCAGAGCCTGGCTTCCTCCACTAGAGTAGAGTAAAGGTGTGAGTGGGCACCTCGCACCTCAATCTCACACTCTCAGCTCACACAATGCTTTCAATGCCTTTTAAAACACACGTGGACAAGCCAGGCATGGCGGCATAATCCTGTCACCCCATCACTCTGGCAGGCCGAGGCACAAGGATTCAAGTTTGAACCCAACCCAGCCTCGGTAACAGTGATAAGTGTGAGCCTGTCTCAAAATAAAAATAAAAACAGGCTGGGGCCAGAGATTTAGCTCAGCAGCATAAGCACTTGCCTAGCAAGCGCGAGGTCATGAGTTTAATGCTTGGCGCCAATAAATAAATAAATAAATATAAAAGGGCTGGTGTAGGTCAGTGCAAAGGCTCTGGGTTAATCCCTAATTTCACCAAGAGGGATAACAAACAAAACCACACCTGTATCTTTAGAATCACTTCAGGTAACTTTTTTTTTGGGTACTGCAGATCCAACTCACAAACTCGAACTTGCCAGGCAGGCATTTACACTGCTGAGCTAAATCCCTGGCCCAGTAATTTATTTTTTTAGCACATCATGGCACCAAAACTCAATGTAGAGAGCTTGCCCTCTGCCTTTCGGATTCTGCCACAGACATGGAAAGGAAGCTGGTTTCCCTGATGACCATACCTAACTTTAAGGCATTCAATGTAAGTAATTGTGAATCAACTAGACAAAATGGCATCATCTATTCAAAACAAGACTGAGGCTTTAGAAATGAATCACAAATGATACTCCAATGTTGAATGTTGCCTTATGGCAAACTCCAATCCTCCTGGGGCACGCTGAGCGCTGTATTTTGGGTTATACTGACAAGATTAGACATTCTGCCAGCTTTCTCTTGGATCACGTGGCTACCAACTGTGATTTTAAAGAAATCAAAGAAAAAAGATTTATCTATGTTTACTTATTCTTAGTGCCTCAAAAAATGGCCCAGTGCAGAGCAGAGCCAACTGCAGGTATTTTGGAAAATGTGCCCTCTAGTGGAAGCTGTATCAAACTGCAAGCATATTTTCATCAAATGGCTCTGCTGTACAAACTGCTACCTACAGGGAGATCTAAACCACCACTTCTCCATGTAACACCTGACTGGCAGTGGTTATGTGAAGAACTGTTGCCCAATTGGTCCTATGTGCTACCATGACTTTTAGTTCTTTTTTTTTTTTTTCAGTATTGGAGCCTGAACCCAGGGCCTGCACATTCAGCTACATCCCAGACCTTTTTCTTCTTTCAGGCAGGGTACTGCTAAGCCATTAAGTTGCCCAGCCACCAAGTTCCCTCACCTCAGCAGGCTGGTGGGCATCTGGCACCATATCTAGCTATGATCCTAGTGCTGCATAGACATCAGGGTCTCTCAATTTCTGTGGGGCTTTTTAACTGCTCTTAATTTTATTTTTTAATTTAAATTTATTCTTAGCTGTTCATAAAACACAAAAATGAGGTACAGATAACAGGTCAGGGGTAGAGTATTTGCCTGGCATGTGGTTTGATCCCTAGTACTGCACAATATAAAATAAAAATAAACTGAAGTTCAAACTATGTTTACGAGGTGCTATGTGATGCTTTAATACATGTAATCCTGCGTAATGTTTAAATTAGGTGAAATGTGTCTCCTCAAATTTTTATTATATAGCTGTGTGAAAACATTCAAAAACCACTGTCCTGCTTTTATGAAATATGCAGCACAATCTCCTCACTAGTCGTCCCACTGTGCAACAGCACACCAGAGCTTCTGCCCTGCTCTATACAAACTCAGGGCCCATTGACCCACCTCCCACATCCTTCTCTTGTACATCCAAGGAGTACATTTCAGGCACATCAAGGGAAGACATTTCAGATCTTTAGGGGGAGAGGGGCACATGCCTGTAACCCCAGCTACTCTGAAGGCTGAGGATGATTGCAAATTTGAGGCAGGTCTCAGCAACTCTGCGAGAACCTCTCTATAATAAAACATTTAACAGGACTGGGGATGTAGCTCAGAGATAAAGGACTTGCTTAGCATGCATGTGGCCTTGGGCTCAATTCCTAGCACCAAAAAACAGAATGAACCAAAAAAACAAAAAAACAAGAAAACCAAAAAAAACCCCAAACACCAGAAAGTTAATATTTTTTTCCTCTTTGAGACAAAGTCTTACTACATTGCCTAGACTGTTCTCAAACTCCTGGGCTCAAGCAATTCTCTCAGCTCCCAGAGTAGGTGGGACCATAAATGTATATCATAACATCCAGCTTTTAATGGTTCTTTTTTATAGTGCAATAAAACTCTCTTATTTTATTAGTACATGTCTGCAATATGTGCAGTTCTCAAACATCTTGGGGAGTAGGTACATGTATACATAATACAGCCCTCGCATCTCCCTTAATGATTCCTAAAGTACAAATTCATTCATTTATTCTTTCTTTTTGAGATCGGGTCTTGCTATATAGTCCAGCCTAACCTTGGACTGAAGCAACCTTCCTGCCTCAGTGTTCTGAATCCTGGGATTACAGGTGTGTGCCATCGCACCTGGCTAAAGTATACTTTCTTAAACAATTCTCAAGCTGGGATCAACTGCTTGACACTTGTCATGAAAAAATGCCACTCAAAACAGAAAACTCAAATCCTTAAAGAAGCAGACACACTGAAAGCATGCCACTACTTGTATCAAACACACAGAGATAACTACATTTAAACACTCTACCAGAGAGAGAAGAAGGGGGAAGAAACACCCTCCATTGGTGTGGGAGCTCCTCCTTGGCCTTTTACTACATGCTAGATCCAGATGCCAAAGGGCACAGGGACTGTGTACTGCCCTTGACACACACAGGAGACTCCTGCCCCTCATTACTCTCCTAGTGTAAGCACCCTGGCACGCTGAGCCTGACTTGTGTGGATGGAGGACGCAGACCTGCAAACAACTGTATTCCCCTTCAAACACTTTCTTTAAAACAATATATGTGTGTGTGTGTGTGTGTGTGTGTGTGTATTTTTTTTTAAGGTGGTAATGCACACTGCCCTGATGCAGAGCTCGCCAGTCTTCCTGCACACTGACCTTCTCCGCCATGGCATCCATGTAGTCCTGCCGCTGGTACTCCCTCCTGCGCAGGTGTCTGTACACATGGAACTCCCCACTGCCAGCCCCAGCACTTGAACCTACAGGCAGAACAGTCCAGAATTCTAGATGAAATCCAGTTACCAACACAAAACTGGACACAACAAACACACAAACCAGAAATCATGGACGGGATCATACCCGCTTCTACCCAAGAGCAAGCACAGTGCTCAGCACATCATAGGAAACATTCAATACCCTGCCGCATGAGACTTACGATGGATTCACTAAAAATTCTATTTTAACAGTATTAAAAGGAGGAACAGATTGTGATTCAAAGACCAGAGATTTATAAGAAAGCTATGGCCTCCCTCTCCACTTTATTTTTTTTTTTTTTTGTCTTTTTCCTTTTTATCGGTACCAGGGATCGAACTCACAACTGCCTGATTGCAAGGCAGGCGCTTATACCCCTGAGCTAAATCCCCAGCCCCTCCACTTTATATTTGACTTTTTTTTTTTTTGAGACAAGGTCTCAGTAGACTTTGAGCTCACTTTGTAGTGCAGGCTGGTCTCGAACTTGTAGATTCCCTTGCCTCAGCCTCCCAAGTGCTGGGATTACAGGTGTGCATCACCACACTTGACAACATTTGACATGTTAGACATTTTGTAAGTTAAAATATGTCTATGATGCATTAAGTAAAAAGAAGTGAGCTACAAAAATAGTACTATGTGTAAAAGAACTCTTTTTTTTTTTTGTCTTTTTCCTTTTTATCGGTACCAGGGATCGAACTCACAACTGCCTGCTTGCAAGGCAGGCGCTTATGCTGCTAAGCTAAATCCCCTGCCCCTAGAACTGATTTTTATAAAAACTTTTTTGGGGATGTACTGGGGGTCAAACTCACAACCTCACACTTGCCAGGAAGGCACTTAGGTCACTGAGTTAAATCCCTAGCCCCTAGAAACATTTTTTTTTTTTTTTTTGGTCTTTTTCGTTTTTATTGGTACCAGGGATCGAACTCACAACTGCCTGCTTGCAAGGCAGGCGCTTATGCCACTGAGCTAAATCCCCAGCCCCTAGAAACATTTTTTGATACGGGGTCTCCCTATGCAGTTTAGGCTGGCCTTGAACTTGCAGCAAAATCCTCCTGCCTTAGCTTCCCAGGTATTGTAATTATAGGTGTGTACCATCAGATCTACCTTAAAAAACATTTTTCATAATTGAGTAGTTTTTGTTCTTTGTTTCTTTTGAGACAGGATCTCATCATATAGTTCAGGCTGGTCCTGAACTCAAAGCAATCCTTCTGCCTTGGTCTCCTGAGTGCTGGAATACAGGCATGTGCCACCACACCTGGCTCCTTGTCCTTTTTTTGAGACAGGGACTCAGTAAGTTGCTAAACTGTACAGTTTGGGCTTGAACTTAGTTCTATCCTCCTGTTCAATCTCCCAGAGTGCTGGGATTATAGGTGTGCTTCCAAATAGTACATTACTAAGATTAATGTAGAAGAACACATGCCTTTAAACCTAGCACTCTGAAAGCTGAAGCAGGAGGGTCATGAATTTGAGACCAACTTGGACTACAGAGTGAGTCTGAACTACACAGTATGATACTATCTAAAAAAAAAATTAACGCAGAATAGTTTTCTAATGGTAAAACAAGCAACTATGCTCCTTCATTGTAACAACAAAGTATTGGAATATTGAATATCTTCCCTACCAAATAACCGACCATTTCTATGTCGTGAACAATTATATTTACAAACACACAGATAAAATACATTACCCATAACATCTCGGACAAATTCTGGGGGAGGTCGAGGTGCCCATTCACTCATTTTTTCTGGAATTGGTACAGCTTTGTCCTGCAGTATTTAAACAGGAAAGCATTTGTAAGTTAAAAACAAATCTGCTGACAAAGTTGCATCTTTTACAATTAAACACTATCAAAGGGATTTAGAAGTTTCATCAGAACCATTGCTGAATACGCTTATGTAAAGTCCACCAAACTCATGCTCAACGGAACAAAGCCAAAAAAAGGAAGAAAAAAGAGAAAAATAGAAAAGGATGAAGAAACCTAAATTGACATTGTTGGAATATGGTGGACAGTAGCCAAATTTGGTGACATTTCAGAAACTATTGCCACTGAAATGGACAAAGGACCTACATCCATGCTCTTGAAAATGGTTTTTTTTACACTGAGAGAACCACATTAAAAAGTTGATGAAGGTCCTAATCCTCCAGAGCAGTTTGCTGCTATTGAACTGTCTGATTCCAGAATTGCCCTGAAATCTGGCTATGGACAATATCTTGTATCAATTCAGATGGATTTCTTGTTGGACGTTCAGATACAATTGGACCAAGAGAACAATGGGAAAAGTATTTTAAAATTGGAAAATGGCCTTATTGGCCACAGATAGTTGCTTTATTAGATGTGATGATGCTGGTAATACAGAAACAAAATGTAAAAGAGCAGAAGAAATGATAAAGATGAGATCCTGTGGTGAAAGAGAAACCAAGAAAAAAGATGGCATCCTAGAAGACAAAGGTAATGTAAAACAATGTGAAATCAACTAGGTAAAAGAATTTCAGGGTTTCCAAGACTTTAAACTTAAAATCCGCAAAGAAGACTTAAAGTCAATAAAGATAGTTAAGTTCTTAAAAAGGCGCAAAAAGACGGATTTTTATAAGAGACACTTCTGGACAGGAGAGCCAAATTGAAAGCTGATAGATCCTGCAAATGACCAGGATTTTTGTTGCTGCCTACTTTTGTCTTTTTCTGAATAAAATATTCAGTGGTAGTGCTTCATACAAAAATGTCCATCGAAGAGGGATGCTTTGCTCCTGAAACCGAGGTCATTTTATGTTCTACCCTATCTTAAGTTTCTTTAGTTCACCCTTTATGCTTGGGTGTAAAACAGCCCCAGACTTCTGAGGGCTGCACTTCCCAGAACAGAACTCAGAAATCTAAACCACCAATCACGGCTAGAAACGTCCAATTTTAACACTACGACAGTTGACTTTTGCTAATCAAAGATATAAAAACACCGTTTCATCCAGTAGTTTTTATGACCTAAACGATTGAGGCCTGGACTGGGAGAAAGCGAGGCGAGAACTGACTTGTCCCCATGTCTCCGCCATGCTTCTTTAACAGTTGGAGCTGTCTGGAAGAAATAAGCCCTTTTTGCTAAGCTACAGATTCTCTATTTTCAGCCTAACGTTTTATTCTGGAAATTAACCTACAGAAAGCCTCAGAGCGCTCCACAGCAGGCTAGCCTTTAACAGAAGGACAGCGGAAAGCTCACTATCTCCAGGGCAGCCTGAGCCTCCAAAAGGACTGTCCTGTGGGAAGGGTACGGAGTTCCAGAGTCTGGCGGCGCGCAGGGCTGGTCGCGGGCCCTCAGAGGCGCGCAAGCAGAAGGAAGTAGTTTCAGCCGGGCAGCAGAGCCCCGTCTTACCGGGTTCTTCATGAGCCGCTCCAGCTTGAGCTTCTGCTCTTCCGCCGCATTTTTGGGGATCACGAGAGTCTGTGGCTCTTTCTTTGGTCTTGGTGGTCGAGCTGCAGAAGGGGCCGAACTTGCCATGGTAGTTTTGCTGTTTCCCCAGGCAAGCGCCTAGGGCGGCGCACGCGTATGGCGTCAGAGATGCGCCTGGCACGCATGCGCACCGAGTCCACGGAAGGGCTGGGGCGGAGTCGCAAACCGGAAAGAGGTCGCTGAATATTCCTGAGCTCGAAGTTCTCCGCGTTTACTTAGCTCAAACTACTTGATTCCATTTTCTGTTTCTCATCAGTGCGCCTGGCGCTCACAACGCTGGCGGAGAGGTGGTCCTTAATGTCCCTAGTGGCCTGTCTTCAGCTGACTTCTCCGGTTTCCGTATTGGTCAACATCTCTTCTTGCTCTGCTTCCCGCGCCTCTGGTACCCGCTTCCCCCATTTGAATACCACAGCGCAAATGAGTAGTCAAACTCTCCGAAAACTGGGGCCAGATATTCTTGGTCAACTTGAAATTAGCTGGCTCCCTCCAGCTATGTATTTGCGAACCTAATGAGCCTTCCTTTTTTTGGTGGGGGGCGGCAGGTACCTTCCACGTCGAGTTACATCCCCGCACTTTTCTTATTTTTTGAGACAGGGTCGCATTAAGTGGTTCTATTACCCAGGCTGGCCTCAAATTTGCTATCCTGCCTCAACCTTGCAGAGTACTGGATTTACAGGAGTACACCATCGAGCCTGGCTGATATCATTTAAATTGGTAGACTTAGTAGATTTTTTCCTGTAAGGTGGTGAATCTCACCTAATTAGCTGAAGTCCTAAGTAAAGCTGAAAACTCAACCTCCCTCCAAGTAAGACGGAATTCTTGCCTGGTGGCTTCTGCACCAGGAGATGCAGCATTAGCTTTTTGTCCGGCCTTCAGACTGGGGCTGAAAGGTGGCTGTCGTGAGTCACAGGCTTGAAACTAGGTTCCTTCAGACAAGAACTACACTGTTGCCTCTTGTGAGTCCCCAGCTTCCTGCAGTGCTTACGACTTGCTGATCTCTGTAATTCTTTGTAATAAAAATTTTCATAATAAAATACATTGTGTTGGTTTTCTCTGGAGATGCTAATATCAATATTTATTAAGCTATCTAATCAGACTCATTTTCACTTCCTGACAGCATCTAATTCACAACAAAAGCATGTTTATGTGACTCCTCCCCAAACCACCTTACACAAAACCCAAATCCTGTAATAAACCCACTCGCACTGAAATAAGAGCAGTCTTCCTTCCTGTAACAAGCCATAAACACAATTTGTTCAATTACAAGTTGTTCTTGAGGATCTTCACAACTGGTTTTTACTTCCCGGGGACTGAGCCCAGGTCCTTTATACTGAGCTAGGTCCCAAGCCCTTTTTAATTTTTTTAAGACAGGATATTGGTAAATTGCCCAGGCTGTACTCAAACTTGTGATCATCTTGCATCAGTCTCCTAGTGCACCGGGATTATAGGCACAGCAGGCTAGCTGTTCATTTTCTTGTTTTGTCATTTGTCCTTTCCTTTCCTTGAGAGTAGATGGTTGGTGTTGCTCACTGCTGTACCCCATTCTCTGGGGCAAGGCCTGACCCTTCGAGAAGTACTCAACAAACATTTGCTGATGAACATGGTACATTGGGGCAGGCACATTGGTGCCACTGCCCCCTGTCCAGCTCAAGACAGCTCTCCACTGAGTCCTCAGGCATATGGACAGATGGGCAAAGGGAGGGTGCCTAGACAGTGTTATGTTAGTCTTCTAACAGCCATTTGTGACTGCCTGGTAGTGAGTGGTTTTCCAAGAGTGAAGGAAATTTGGAAAAGCTCTTGACTGGTCCAGGTCTGTCATTGGAACCTGGGAAAGACTTGACCTGAGTAGGGTCCTACACATAAACTCACTGTCCATCACACACCTACTGACTTGGCACCTCACTTTTCTCCAAACACTGAAAAAAACAAGAATTTGTCTTTGTTCCTTAGAGAACTCCCACAAATCTCTCTCTCTCTCTCTCTTTTTATTTGGGGGGGTGGTGGTAGTGGTACTGGGAATTACATCCAGGGCCTCATGCATGCTAGGCAAGCACTCTGTCACTGAGCTGCATCCCTAGTCCTTATTTGTATTTTGAGACAAGATCTCACTAAATTGCCCAGGCTGTTAGGAATTTGTGACCCTGTTGCCTATGCCTCCTAAGCAGCTGGGATTATAACTTTGTGCCACTGTGTTTGACCCTTATACCACCTTCTTAATTTGTTTTAAATGCTATTTCCTCACTGGGTGTGGCAGCATATGCCGTCATCTCACTACTCTGGGAGGCCGAGGCAGATTCCAAGTTTGAGCCCAGCCCGTGCAACTTAGTGACTTAGCAAGACTTTCAAAATAAGAAAGTAATAAAGGGCTGGGGATGTAGCTCAGCAGAAAGTCCCTGGGTTCAATCCTACCCACCAAATGCAAAAAATAAATAAAAAAACAATTTTTTAAAATGCTACCTCATCCATGAAGCTTTTCTAGAATGCCCTCCACCCCACCCTCACACGGTGAGTTACTCCTTTCTCGTGCTCTCTTATCCACAGCTTGACGGCTGGTGTGGTGGTTACCACAGTGTGCTAACCAGACCTAAGCAGAATCCCAGCGTCTAACCCTGGCCTGGTACGTGGGAAGCACTTCCAGAATGCTTGGGGGAACAGAGGAATGGAAAAGTCAATGAGTCAGTGAATGTGTCCCTGAGATGAGCAACTGATTGGTGAAAAATGAATGAATGAATGAGGAAGTTGAATGTGAAAAAAGATGAATGAACGTTCATTATATAAATGGACACTAGGGCGGGGATTTAGCTCAGCGGCATAAGCGCATGCCTGGCAAGGATGAGATTCGATCCTCGGAACAAAAAAAAAAGACACTCAGTGCACAAATGCAAACTTGAGATATTGGAGTAGCAGAGAGCCACAGAGCCAGCAGGGAAGAGGCGACGTCTGTCCACGGCGAATGTCCCCCAGGCCAGGCGCCCCCAGCAGGCACATGGCAGAGGTGCTGCGTGGTAGCTAAGTCAATGAGTGCAGCGAAGCAGTGCACGGAGGCAACGGGGAATGAAGATGATAACAACCTCCACGTCGAAGTCTGGTCTATGTTGACGTTTTCATCATCCCCGTTATGGAGAGAAGGAACTGAGGCCCACAGAAGAGGACATCACACAGACTCAAAGCTAGGGGCTGGCGCTGGGTGTCTGAGGACCTGAGTAATTATGTGAGTCACAGATGAATGGGACAAGACCCTACTTGGGCTGTCTACGTGGTGCCCTTCTTGGGCTGAAGCCAAATTTGAAGTTCTGCGACTTAAGATGAGAGCATCTGTCCCTCCATGCTGCAGGACCCTCAGGACTCAGATCCAGAGTACTGTCCAGCAACTGCCACCAGGGGGCAGCAAAACCCCACCCAGGTCTACTGGCCCTCAAGTCCAGCCACGGGGCCAGTGCATTCTCCACCTGTTCCAGACCCAGTCCTGGGCACTTAGGCTTAGGGATCCGAAAGACCTGGTGCCAAAGTTTGGTTCTGCCTACCCCGAGACTAGGCAACAACTTACCCTCTCTAGGGCTGTCTCCCATACATAAGTTAGACACAAGCACTTTCTCTTGACAATTTGCCCATGCATGAGGGGGTGCATGGATGGACAGGGCCCAGCACGGTACCTGACACTTTAGCAGGTGACCCAGTTTGGTCCCAGAACTTAGGGTTTACAGGACACAAGACTTTCAGTGTTTAAACCAAGACAATCTCAGGCAGACTGGGCAGTTTGTCACTCTAGAGGAATGGGCATTCCTGACTCAATCCTTTAATTGCTAGATGATATTAAAAATGCTAAAACAAGAAAAGTTTTTACAAACATTCAATAACTTGAGCTTCTCACTGAATTGGTAAATTAGGGTCTTTCTATGTGGTCAGTGACCACAAATAGAGATAAAATCCAAGATGAGGGGGGAGGTAGCTCAGTGGTAGAATTCTTGCTTAGCATGCATGAGGCCCCAGATTTAATTTGCAGCACCAGGAGAAGAAGAAGAAAAAAAGAGAAAACAATTTTAAAGTAGAGAATATTCACTTCAGAAAAATCTGTCATTTCCTTTCTTTTTTCTCTCCTCCTCCTCCTCCTCTTCCTCCTCCTGCTCCTCCTCCTCCTCCTCTTCCTCCTCCTGCTCCTCCTCCTCCTCCTCCTCCTCCTCCTCCTCCTCCTCCTCTTCTTTTCCTTTTCCTCCTCCTTCTTCTTCTTTTGACAGTACTAGGGATCTACATTCCCTCCTCCTTTTTCTGGTCTCTTGAGACAGGGTCTCATTATGTAGTTTGAACTTACCTTGAACTCAGTATGTAACCTAGATTGGCCTCGGGCTCACAGAAATCCTTCTGAGTGCTGGGATTCCAGGCATATGCCACCATGGCCGGCCTTTCCCAGCCCTTTTTATTCACTGATTATTGATTTATTTTGGAGACAAGCTTTATGGGATCTAGGAGACCTGCTGCCCAGGTTTGGGTCCATTTACTCAGGGCCTGGGCAGCAACTTCTCAGGTGGGACTTGGACTTTCAATCCTCTTGCTTCAGCTTCCTTTAGGGCTTGGGGTTAAAGGCATGCATCACCAAGCCTAGCTCGCTTGTCACTTTATTTTAAATGTACACTTAAAGACGCATCAGTTTTGTTCCTAGGTATTTACACTAGAGAAGTGAAAATGTGTGTTCACCAAATGACTTGCATGTGAACACGGATAGCAGTGATTTCTCACTGCCTCCAACTAGGATGAACCACATGTCTGTCAAATTGTGATTTATCCATGAAGTGCAGTACGACTCAGCACTAAAGAAACTGTTGATACTTGGAACAATGTAGATGATTCTCCAAAGCGTTACGCTTAGTCTGAAAGATGTCATTGGTCTGATACTCTGAAAGAGCCAAATTTGTAAGGACAGATGACAGATCAGAGGCTGTCCGGGGCCAAGCACAACAGGAGGGGGTCAGGGGCAGTGAGGCTGAGGGAACTTTTTGGGGTGATAGAAATGTTCTATTTCTGGGTTATGGAGGTGGCTATGTGGCCATACGCATCTGTCAGACGCACCCAACCATGTGCTCAGAAAAGGTGAACTGACTTGTATGAAAGCTGTGGTT